AGCTGGACCATAAAGAAGGCTGATCGCCGAAGAATAGATGCTTTTGAATTATGGTGCTGGAGGAAACTCTTGAGAGTCCCATGTACTGCAAGAAGATAAAACCTATCCATTCTTAAGGAAATCAGCCCTGAGTGCTCACTGGAAGGACAGATCCTGAAGCTGAGGCTCCAATACTTTGGCCACCTCATGAGAAGAGAAGACTCCCTGGAAAAGACCCTGATGTTGGGAAAGATGGAGGGCACAAGGAGAAGGGGACGACAGAGGATGAGATGGTTGGACAGTGTTCTCAAAGCTACGAACATGAGTTTGACCAAACTGCAGGAGGCAGTGGAAGACAGGAGTGCCTGGCGTGCTCTGGTCCATGGGGTCACGAAGAGTCGGACACGACTAAACGACTAAACAACAACAAGACTCTACTCAAGAAAGACTGGATGCCAGGGCAAATATGCACCAGCCATGGTGTGTCCAGGAAATAGGAAACAAGAATCTGTATCCCCCCCCCCCAAAAAAATCTAGTGGTATCTGCTGGCCATTTTCAAAAGTATTACATTCATGAACATGTTCTTTTTTCTCCTCACCCCTTCAGCCCTACTGCCGTGGTACATGGCTTTCCTTTATTACCTGCCAACTCTAAGAACAAAACATGGATTTATGTGGCATGGATAAATAGTTTGATTAAAGAATCTGTAGTCCTTTTCAGTTCAGCAAATTGCAAACTTCCTGTTGGCATTCAGTTGCTGGTGGAAGAAATGAGTTCTTCTAATCATTCTCTGGAAACAGAAGGATATGGGTAATGATTCTAACCTCTTGGTCAACTCCATCAAAGACCATTTAGAGCACAGCTATGTTTATCAACCTCCTTTACAAGCACAATGACCTCATTATCATTGCACGAGATAACCAGTTATTTTGTGCTACACACTGCCTTGCTGTTGAGTTGTGCATTTTACCCTTTGACAGCTTAGTTTTAAGCTGGCAGATCATTTTCTCAAGAACTAGCAATGGATCGCAGGGCTATTTTCCAAAAGGAGGCCTACCTGACAAGGCCATCTTTCCCTGCATGCCACCTCTGTTTATTTCTTTTTAATAAAACTTGAGCAAGGAAGCCACATTCTTTTAGCATTAATACACTGACTCGATTGCTTTCCACATCACTTTCAGGGAACAACTGGTTTGTATCATTCACTCAGAAGAAGTGTAATTTATGGAAGAGTCGGAATCAAGCGGAATTCTGTTGTTGTTGCTTGAGCTTGGCAATAGCTGCAAATGTGAACCATGCATTTGGACCGCAGACCTTCCAAAAAACGATTCCCTTTACACCCTCAGTGGAGTTAATATAAACACCAGGCAGGCTATTGATGGGATATTTAAATCATTGGCCATTGAGAAGCCATCAATCTTTCTAACCCTGCATTACCAGGGGGTCTGAAATGTATGCTGAGAGAGGAAATCCCCATTATCTCAACAGGTTGGAGTTGCCATCTCTACTCTCCAGAGAAAGGGGAAGAAGGAGCAGGTCATTTTTCATTTGCATGTACAGTGGTACTTCAGGTTAAGAACTTAATTTGTTCTGGAGGTCTGTTCTTAACCTGAAACTGTTCTTAACCTGAGGTACCACTTTAGCTAATGGGGCCTCCTGCTGCTGCCGCCGCACAATTTCTGTTCTCATCCTGAAGCAAAGTTCTTAACCCGAGGTACTATTTCTGGATTAGCAGAGTCTGTATCCTGAAGCGTCTGTAACCTGAAGAGTCTGTAACCTGAGGTGCCACTGTATTAATCCATTCAGGTGATTTTAACAATGTCCTTTCCCTAGTACTGGGATAGAGCATATTTCTCTCTCTCCCCCAAATTAGAAACATACATAACTTTGACAGATTCACTTCAGAAGTTAGGTCACTTCTGATAGCTGGAAGGGAGCTCACCACACAGATAGCACTTCTGTTGCTGAGTTTTGAGCTACCATAACTATAATTGCGTGAGGAATAACCCTCGTGAGGTGGAGCCATAGCTCAGTAGGGCAACACATGCTGGGCCTTTAATAGGCCCTGGGTTCAGTTGCTGGTTGCTGACTGCTGAGACAGATGGGCAAGATTCCTTTCTGCAATGCCGGAGAGGTGCTGCCAGTTAGTGTAGACAGCACTGAGATAGGTGGGCCAGTGTAATGCCCTCCTCCAGATGCTGTGGACTACAACTCCCATGATCCCTGACCACTGGCCATACTGATGGGAATTGGCCCATAATATGTGGAGGTCATCACACAGCAATGGAGATTGTCCCCCTTCTCTTGCCTGAACATGTGGGCAATGGCACATCAGAAAACCATCTGAATAGGAGCTTCACCCACACTTTCCATTAAAAACGGTGGCAGAATTTTCACTGGCTGTAAAAGGCAGGGGAAATTTGGATACATGATTGACTTATTTCTTACGCGGCGACAATAATTTTTGCAGCTCTAGCAATGCCAACCATCAGTTCCAATCCGAGGTTTGGACATGCCTCTTCTTTCCGAATGCCGTGTCTGTTTCTGATGAGCCTTTTAAATTATGGGTGTGCTTTGACACTCCACCCTCCATTATACACCCCACTACTAGCCTAGCTAAGGTAACTGAGCAAAACAAATTACATATAACCATGGATACAAGCTGGTGCTTATTGAAACGTGGCACCCAGGCAGAGTTCCATTCTGTGAGGAATTCCATTTGTCATCCCCCCACCCAGCCTTCCTTCAGATGTTCTCCGAGGGTAAAAGCTTGTAAAGGTAGACAGGTTCAAAGGTAGACAGCTGTCAGGGAGACTGATCCTCCCACTCCTTTGCTCCACCATTCTTCCACTAGATAGGCTAGCTGTCTCCGCAGAGATATATTAAGGAAACGACCACACAGTAATTTTTAGGAATGCCAGCTGATTCTAGAATGCTTATTAACTGCATGCCTTTTAACTATTTAAGTGCTACAATGTAAATAGCTCTGCACATTGCCAAAACATCAATACACCATAGATTTAAAGAGCACAATTTTCCCCAAAGAATCACAGGAACTGTAATAATAATAATAATAATAATAATAATAATAATAATAAATAAATAAATAAATTTTATTTATATCCCGCCCTCCCCAGCCAAAGCCGGGCTCAGAGCGGCTAACATCAAATGTATAACAGATTAACATAAAATCAGACAATCAATTAAGATACATCCTCAAATCAGATCGGGATCAGAATAAAATCCAATCAGATGGCAACCTGCAGATTAGGGTTGGGGACCTTAAATGCTCACCAGGCCCAACAGTTTATGCTGAACTTATATGGGCCTGTGAGAAAAATTGGGAGGCCACTTTCATGCAAGTTCTTATGAAAGGGGAGAGGGAGTCAGACTGAACCCCGACCAAAGGCCTGGCAGAACAGCTCCGTCTTGCAGGCCCTGCGGAAAGATGTCAAGTCCCGCAGGGCCCTAGTCTCTTGTGACAGAGCGTTCCACCAGATTGGAGCCACAGCCGAAAAAGCCCTGACAGAGCTACAGTTCCCAGCGCCCTTAACAAACTGCAATTCCCAGACACATGCATGTCTCCTCTGATTTGAATGCAACAAAATACACATGTGCTGTCATCACTTATGATGTTGCACATACAAGTTTTCATACCTTTCCCCACTATGTGGAAGTGCTTTCTGTATAAGGAAAGTGCAGGGTGTGTACAACTTTGAGGATTTTAATGTTTTTGTCAATTTGGCTGTGTCTTTTACTGCTGCTTGGCACAGGACGACACACAGGAGGTGTGGAGGACTGTTATTGTTAGGATTAGCTGAATTTAGCATTGCTAAACTTTGCAATGTTTAGTTTGAAGGGCACTTTTATCTGAGCTATGCATTAACAGCTACGCATTGTGTCACTGGATAGAGAGTGATTACCTGCTTCCTGCAGATAACTGTACGGTCTGGTATCCAACTGGATAGGTGCACTGCAAAAAGATTAAGAAGACTATTAACATTAAAATAATTTTTGGAATGCATCAAATTCAGGAGGGGGCAGGGAATAAATTCAGGAGGGGGCTTGACAACCATATGTCAGGAGTGCTCTGATGGTGTTTCCTGCTTGGCAGGGGGTTGGACTCGATGGCCCTTGTGGTCTCTTCCAACTCTATGATTCTATGATTCTATGAATAAACAAATCTGCACCTTGAACTTCCTTTTGTTTCATCCATCATTGTGTTGCCCAGAAATATGACAAGGGCATTCCAGGAAGGAAAGGGGGAGAGAAAGAATTCAGTGGGCTTCATCAGGTACATTCTAGGAGAGATTCTGAAGGAAATAAAGACCTGCCAGGCTAGGGAACCATCACTGGATGTTTTGTGCTTCTTTACTTGCACTCTGAGGAACCAGTGGCCCTCAAGATGTTGCTGAACTCCAACTCCCATCAACCTCAGCCATCATGGTCTATGGTCAGGGATGATGGGAGTTGTAGTTCCAGAAACTTCTGGAGGTTCACAGGTCCCGCGCCACCAGCCCACCACTTTAGGAGGTGTTGATATCATAAGACAGAGCTGGCACAAACAGTCTTCAGGCTTGCAGGATCCAATCGTGGTCTTTCAATGGAAGCCTGGAGGCACTCAGATAGAGTAAGTTCCAAGTTGTGACTTGGAGGGCAGAGCCAATTGCCCACTGAACCCCTGAGCCTTATGCTGGACTGACCAATACCTTACTGGGATGGATCCAGACTTAGTCATGCTTTGAGTCACTGAAATCAAAGGGACTTAACAGTGCAGCCCTAACCATGCCTATGCAGAAATCAATCCTATTGAATTCATTGGACCTGACAGAGGAAGCTGCCTTATGCTGAGTTAGACCTACTGGTCCATCTAGATCACTACTCTCTACACTGTACGGCAGCAGCCCTCCAGGCTTTTCATAGAATTACGAGTTGGAAGGGATCTCGAGGGTCATCTAGTCCTACCTCCTGCAGTGCAGGATTCTTTTGCCCAATGTGGGCCTCAAACCCCTGACCCAACTGGAGATGCTGGGGATTGAATCTGGGGTGTTTTGCATGCAAGGCAGATGCTCTACCACTGAGCTACGGAATTAAGAGTGCAGCCTTAGTCACAACTCATGGTAACAACTTAAGGCCAATTAATTGGATCCATCTTGCTGTGCTACTCCAGACCACCTGTTTTTAATTAGCACCCATCCAGATTTACTTGCACAAAGCTGACACAGAGGTCTGACTATATCCAGTCTTTATTGAGCACTTGTTCTGATGTGTTGGTTGAGTACAGCTGCCATATGTCCGGATTTTCCTGTTAATGGGATTTCAAAGGCGCAGTTGACATCGGGGGGGGGGGGGGGGTCCAAAAGGCGACGCTTTATCCTGGATCTCAGGCAAGTCAAAATCACAAAAACACTCAACAATTTTGGGGTCTTCCTTAAAAAAAGTTCAACAACTTTCAACAACTTTACTTTTTGAAATACGGCAACCCTATCGGTGGGGAGGTTATACAGCAATAAGTGTCCACCGCACATTTACTCTGGGTGCTTGCTGGGTACATCTTCCTAGTCATCAGTTGTTCACCCCACACTTTTCAGTGCATTTCCCTATGACTTTCCAAACCACAATAAGTTTAAAAAGAAGTAGATTTGTTGTGCTAGGGAGACAGAGCTCTTTAATATGCCTTAACTGTGCAGACATACACAGTTATGGTATGCACATGAATGACACACTGGAAACCACCTCGGTGATATAGCAGTGGCAGAGGTGAGATCGGGAAACCGTAGGTTCAAATCCCTGCTCCCTCTTGCACACTTGCTAACCTTGTGTCAGCATTTGAGAGTGGAGGATGGCATTATTATTATTAATTGAATTTATATACCGCCCCTATACCCGGAGGTCTCAGGGCGGTTCAGCCCTCTTCCGATATACTTCTTTACCAAATGCAAGGTGTCTGTTTGTTCGCTTATTTATTTTTCCACGAGGAACACTCCAGCCTATCCTCTCCTCCGTTGCGGCCTGAGTTGGTACAGCCCAGAATCCTACGACCACCTAGCGGTAATCTTGCTCAGGATGGCACTTGGCCGCCGCCGCCGCCGTGCTGGCAATATCGCCGTCGGCCAGTAGGGGGAGACATGGGCGCGGGGAGAGCGAGCGCAAGGCAGAGACCCGCGGGAGGCAGCGCAGCCGCGGGAACGGCGAACTTTCGGGAGATGCAGCAATGAAGAGAAGCGGCGAGCGGCGACGGCGGCACCGACGGAGCGCGCCTTGATCGCTGCCGCTGGGACCCGAGGGGAGCTGCACAGCCATTTCGGCGCGGGCTTGGCACTTCGGAGCCCCCTCCCCGCGCACCCCGGACCCATGGCTGCTGCTGCCGCCGCCGCCGGCCCGGCTCCGCGGATCCTCCTGCTGTCGTCCTGGGCGCTGCTCCTGCTCCTGGCTGCTCTGCTCCACTCCGCCGCACCAGGTACGGCCCCCTCCCATCCCACTTATTTCTCCCCAGTGAGGGGGTCTCCATCCTCGAAAAGGGGGCGATGAGGGTGCTCTCTGCGTTTTCATGCCAGGGACAGCCCTCCCCATATCCAGCATAAATGGAGAAGTTTACCCCCCTCCGTCTCTATATTTCTTTTATCTACTCTCCACCTTTGATTTCCCCCTTCCTGATATTGTGAAGCCCTCGGGGCAGGGATCCCCGTCTATATTTCTTCTATCTACTTTCCATCTTCGATTCCCCCCCTCCTGATATTGTGAAGTCCTCGGGGCAGGGATCCCCGTCTATATTTCTTCTGTCTACTTTCCATCTTCGATTCCCTCTCCTCCTGACATTGTGAAGCCCTCGGGGCAGGGATCCCCGTCTATATTTCTGCTATCTACTTTCCATCTTCGATTCCCCCCCTCCTGATATTGTGAAGTCCTCGGGGCAGGGATCCCCGTCTATATTTCTTCTGTCTACTTTCCATCTTCGATTCCCTCTCCTCCTGACATTGTGAAGCCCTCGGGGCAGGGATCGCCGACTATATTTCTTTTATCTACTTTCCATCTTCGATTATTTTCCCTCCTGATATTGGGAAGCCCTCGGGGCAGGGATCCCCGTGTAGCCTGGGCTCCCTGTAAAAGCACCTCGGTGGCGGAGGGGAAAAGGGTTCAGCCGTCGCGCTTGTCTGTGTATTCCGGGAAAGGGGATCTAGTCAGAGCCTCACTTCCCCAGGAAAATCTTTTCATTTACAAAACGTGGGGAATGCTGTTGAAAGTCAGCCACAGCTTCAGCAAAAAACGAAACGTCCCGCTGGCGAGGCATTTTTCGCTCTTGAACCTCAGTCCCACCTGCCCCTCAGATCCCTCCTGCTCCTCTTTAGGGTTCCGGGTTCCCCGCAGCCGCTGATCGCCCAGTGACACAATTAAAAAAACCCTAACTGGAATCTGCTACAGCCTTTGCCAAGCTGGCGCCCTCCTGAGGCTTCCGTCTACAACTCCCATCAGGGCTGGGGCAGCCCAGTCGGATGGCTGGCCTATAAATAATAAAATTATTATTATTATTATTATTATTATTATTAAAGCGTTTCGGGGGGGGGGTGCTCGCTAAGGCTGCCGCAGAGCATCCCAGCCCTTCGTCTGGGAAAGGAACTGCCTTGTCCTGGAATGCAAAGATTGCAATTCTTCGAGAGCAGTTCCCTTTCAGCTCTGGGGAAGGAGCAGGCAGACGACCAGGCAGGCAACATGGAGCTGCTGCCAGTCAGTGTGGGACAGTATTGGGCTAGATGGTCCGACTCTGTACAAGGCAGCTTCCTTTGTAGAGGAGCATCTGATGAGAAACGAAGAGCCGGATGCTTGCAGAGAAAGAAACTGGCGTGGCAAATGGAGGCTTGCCCTCACGATTGCCATTGCAGAGGGGAAGTGCTGTGGCTCAGTGCTGTGGCCTGCAGAAGGTCCCAGGTTGTATGTCCAGGTAGGGCTGGAAGAGAACCCTGCCTGAAATCCCAGAGAAGCGCTGCCCGCGCGTGTAGGTGATGCTGATGGCGTGACTCTGTAGAAACTCCTGCGTAAACTCACTTTGGCTTCTGTTTGTGTTTATAATGTGGTTCCTTCCCTCTGTTCCTTGGTACTTTCTCTTCCCCTGGGTCTGTGCATTCTGCTCCCCACCTTCCTGCCTTACAGGAATGGGAGAAGTAAGCTGTATGTGTTGCTACAAGTTCCACACGCAGCCAAGTGCAGGAATTCTGAGCTCCAAACTTGCCCACGGGGCCAGTTCCTTGACGGCAGGCGTTGATCGTAATTGCAAAGACAAGGGGGCTGAACCTGAAGCCGTGATTACTTGCTTGGAAGCAAGTTTCATCGAAGCACCGAGACATATTCTCAAGAAAATAAGCGCAGGCTCATTATGTCTATGTCAGGAAAGCGGGCGGGCGGGGGGGGGAAACCACCCCAGCTAATTTGTAGGCTTTTCCTCCCTTGCTTTTAATGAACAATAATTCAACGATGCTAACATAATGAGTTACGTGATCTGCACCATGGCTGATTTCCTAAGGCAGAAGTTTGTGTGATTGGCTAGTAGTTGCTTTCTTTTGACACAATGTCCTAAATCATAATGGAGCGAATAAATGTGGCAAGGAAAAAACCCACACAACCTTTCCCTGTGCATTTTTTCAACTCCTTGAGAACTGTTTCTTTTGGAAGTGAGCAACAGGACATTGGTTTCCAGGGAGGGGAGCGCCGGAGAGCCATAATATAATATGGAATGTCCTGTTCGGGGAGCCTATGGCTAAAACACCTGTAACCCTTTCAAATATATTTTCTTCCTCCCTCCAGGCTCCTGCTGCCTTTCTGGAATCAGGGTTGTTTGCTGTGGCTTGCAAGCTTCTGTTGGGCTTCCCACTGGTGTGCCCTCCCCTTTGCCCCTCCCATTCACCCCGTAGCCTATAAGTCACTCCAGAGATTGATGGAATGTTTTAGCTGGAGAGCTCTAGCCTGAGAGTCTTGCGCTGAGGCTCAGATCCACCACATTTAACACAGGATTTGCAGCGTATGGATGGGCAGATCAAAGATAAAATACTTTTGGATAAACCGGTGGGATTAGCAAGGTGGTGGAGGTGGGGGGAGTGCTCTGCCTTTGCTTTGGATGGATTTAGGAGTCTGATTAATCTGTTCTGTGTAAAATATTTGCTTGCTTCCCAGAACTTTCTGTTCATCCATCAGGCTTGGGAGGTGAATTCAGCTCTGAAGCAAGCAGCCCTTTGCTCTGGTTGGAAAGATGGGCAATTTAGCATTCCGTGCAAAACAACATGCATGAATCACTGACTTTTTATGTATTACTGCCTGTTGTATTGGGTGCCTTCTTGGGTAGTCTTGATTGTTCTCAAAGCGGATGTCATATGTTATAATGGATGATGGCTCAAGTGTTTAACAGTACCATTCTATGCATGTCTGCTCAGAAGTACATCCCATTGAGTTCAATGTGTGTGAAGGGGTCTTTCCAAGTAAATGTCTATAGGTTTGCAATTTTAGCCTCCTTTACTGAAGACCAGGGATGGGGAACTTGTGGCCTTCCAAATGTTGTTGGATTACAACTTGAATTATCCATGAACATTGGCTTATTGGGGGCGTAGGTTCCTGATCCCTGCTGGAGACAAATCCAGAAATTAATACCCCTCCTCTTTTTTTTTGTAAAGATGTTTTCTTAGGAAATCTTAGTTGTTAATTCATCAAATGGGTTTTACTCAATTACCCTCTACTCCACCATTGTTTAAGATCTAGCTGAAATGAAAATCCAGAATAGATAGGTTTAGGCTGCATTCATTCTCTCTACTGTATTCCATCATAGAATCATAGAACTGTATAACTGGAAGGGACCACAAAGGTCATCTAATCCAACCCTCTGCAGTGCAGCTCTAATCCACAGCCCTGAGATTAAGAGTCAATTGTTCTACTGACCGAGCTATACTACAACAGACACTCTGCATTCAGTGACCACTGAGCACAATCAGTCCTCTTTAGGCTGCATAGTGATGGGCCAATATTCTCCTGTGGATTTCTACCTGTTGGGCAGCAGTTAGTAGCACAAGATTCCTGTCCGAGGAATAAAAAGGGTAACACAGGAATAAGTTGTGGCAGGAGTGGGGAGCCACATGAGCTTTACCTGGTATTGGCATCATTTAATACAGGCATAGAGAACCTGTGGCGCTCCTGATATTGCTGGATTGTAAGTCTCAGCATCCTTGACCACCTGCCAGGTTGTCTGGGGCTGATGGGAGTTGGTCCAGCAACATCTAGAGGGCCTGATCTTACATGCACTTTGCCTACACTTGATCATCAAAGACATTCCAAGGTAGTTCTGCTTCTTGGCAATAAGCAACACGCCGGGACACCACTGAGGAAAGCACCTCCTTGAGCTGTTAGATTGATCTGCACGTCAGGAAGCCGGGCTTCACACGCTTTCCCTAGACTCCTTTTCCTGTATCTGACAAAGTTCAAGAGACCTTCACTGTGCTGAAAGAACACTGCATAGTTTGGCAACCACAGCGCTTCCACTTCCTTTCTAAAAAATATTAGCATCCTTTTCAAAAGTAAGAATGAAAAGCTGAAATTACTGTGGTGAGTGGTAGCACAGAAAACAATGTTTGGGAAAATCCAGATGTACGGCACAAAAACACTCAACAAACTTTCTGCCCGGATTTTCACTGTTTGAAATATGGCAGCCCTACCTGATGTTCCTTCAGGCCATGCTGCTGTTAAGAAATGTTGGACTCCCGGAATGGGATGGCATTCTTTTCATCATAGAATATTTCTGGTGTCTCTTTATGGGCCATGCAATTCCATGGGAATGGCAGTTATGTTTCAGTCCTGCTAGCCAGGCATGCAAAAGTCCCATAGTTTTCACTTGCATATGTGTGCTCACATAGGTTTGATGCCACCAAACAAATTTTGCTTCAGTAGTAGAAGTAAGTTCCCTACCTCCTGCCCCAAAACATGTAAGCAAAAGCTCTTACTTGTAAGTAAGAAAGGGATCTTTATTCAGGCAAGTAACAGTACAGGCTCAGCAGCAGACACAAGGCTCAGAAGTCCCAGTTCAGGAGTTCAAGAGCAGAGCAAGAAGTTCAGAACTGGATGGAAGCAATGAAGATGTCCCAACAACTTTCCATGCTCCACCCTCCAAGCTTTTAAAGATGAGCCCTGGCATGCTCACTCATGAGACTTGCTTGCCATATGGAAATATCAGGATTGCAAACACACGCTCTGTCAGGGCAGGTGGGCTGGCTCCCATCTGCAAAGGTGGCCGCTGGTTCTAGGTCACAAGACCACACCCTCCTGGTCAAGTTCCTGTCTCACCTCTTCCCTTGGCAGCTCAAAACTGCCCCTAGGTCTGGCAGGGAGGGGGGAGAGACAGCATCCCTGCTCTCCTTTCCCAAGTGGCTGAAGTTGGGGCAGAAAGGGGCTATCCATGCTCCCCTATTAAGACTCCCCTCTGTTTCCTCCTCCCCTTCTCCACCTGCTTGAGAGCATGTCAGTCCAAACCAGATCCCAACAGCACAGGGACTTGCACCTTGGTAGCTAGCAAGTCATCAGTAGGGTTGCTATTTTTTTATTGAAAAAGTTCTGGCTCCCTGGGCATGGGTGGAGCCAGGACAGGTGAGACTGGGCAGAAACTGACAGTTTGGGGGCAGAACTTGTAGGACTTTAGTGAGTCATGAGCAAGTAAAGCAGAGGATGCTTGAAGAATTAATTTTCTATGAATTCCTAGAATTCTTGGTCTGTGGTATATATATATATATATATATATATGTGTGTGTGTGTGTGTGTGTCTTGCTATTATTTATTACTGCATTTATTGTAAAAAATATTTCATATCTCGCTCTTCTTCATCATCAAGGAAAACTAGAGTGACAACAAGATCAAATTATACCAATAAACTCATGTCTAAATCATAGCTCTTACTTTTACAGTTATTGGATGTGAACACATGGAATGAATATCGCCCCCCTCGGGTGTTTGTGTATTATCACTTATTTTGTATTCCAGTATTGGTCCAGGTTTTGTCTGTGTCTCTTGGTGTAGACATGCAAGTGGGCTGTTGACTGAGAATGTGAGATCAAATCAAGCTTAGTGGTTTCAGAGTTTAGATAGTGTGATTAGAAAATGTGCTAGAAGAATGACGTTTGAGTACATTGGTTGATGTGTGGGCACTGGTGCGACAGTGTGCTTCAGTGGAACTGTATGGAGTGTTATATTTAGCTGCCATTAGATTAATTTGTGTTTATAATTGTATAGAGAAATGTGAATTTAATTGGATTGGTTTGTTGAGTAGACATTTGGAAAGAGTGAGTCTCTTTTACTTTTTCTTAGTTATTGATCACAGTTATTGATCACATGATTTTAAAATGTACGCTTTTTATTTTTCTAGTTGATTTTCCCTTGAAATATTTCACTCGGTTGTTCTGTGTTCTAAAATGTGGATTTTTTTGTTGTAAGGATGAAGTTGATCAAGCTTTAGAGGATGCCCTATTTCATTGTCAATGCTGGTATTTTATGTGGATTTTCAAAAGTATCTTTTATATTTGGTTTTCATTTATGTTTTAAGTTACATTGGAAATTGCTTAGAAATTTCCCCGGCTAATCTATAAGCAGTATATAAGTTGTCTGAATAAACAAATAAATAAAAAGTGAAGTCATGCCAATGCTACAAAAATACAGCAACTTGATTTTTGAAAAAATAACAAAAGAGCTTATTTTCTTTTAAAAAATTTACTGATTGCAGTTCCAGTAACACAATGCCGACGACTGACTTGTGGTTAGGATCACATAGTTGGCTCTCTACTGGCCTCTGGTGGCAGTGAGGAATACTACCGGTTCAGATGGGTCAACTGTGCAGGAGGTCCCAGGTTTGCCTACGTTGTCAGAAAGCTGCCACTGGTGATTATCCTGTTAGCGGTAGCAAAATGGAGCATTTAAAGGTGGGGCACCAGCAGTGTTGGGTCCAGATACCCTGAAGGGCCAGCTCATAGGATCTGCTCAGCTATGTCATCCTAGAGCTGGCATAATGAAAATTTATAAGAAATTGCACCCTCATCTTCTACCCAGGCTGGTGCCATGCTGCTCTTTCCTGACCCCACTTAGGATTGCACTGCCTGGTTCCATTCCGTTGCATACTTACTTGGAAGTGCCATTGTGGCGTAATGGTTAGAGTGTTGGACTAGGACCTGGGAGACCAGGGTTCAAATCCCCACTCAGCCCTGAAGCTCACTGGGTAACCTTGGGCCAGTCACCATTTCTTAGCCTAACCTACCTCACAGGGTTGTTGTGGGGATAAAATGGGAAGGAGGAGAACCATGTACGCTGCCTTAAGATTATTGGATGATAAAGGTGGTATAGAAATGTATTACATTAAACAATCAAATAAATAAGCTCCATTAAACTTAGTCAAACTTACTTCTGAGTAGATATGCACAGGATCGTGCTGCTAAGTTTGCTCAGCTGGAAGTTAGGTTGTGCCCTTTGCTCACATGCAAACAGCAGATTTTCAGAGCACCGCTTCGCTCATGCAGAGAGTGAGTAATTCTTATTATTACGTAACGTCAGTTAATTTATGTAACCCTCCTTCTGCCTAAAATCTTAAACTCTGTAGTTCATCACACACAGCTTTGAAAGCATTTGAGTCGATTCTTACACTAGAACACTTCGCTTTGTGGGGAGGGTTATTGTTTGTTTGTTAAATACTCCCATGTTGCAATCATATAATTACAAATTCTCAGATCTCTGCAGAAGTTTCCCTTCTGTGTTGCAGTGCTATAGCTATGGAATTCCTTGCTTGTCTCAGTTCAGGGTTCCTCAGGATGAGGGACAGGAGCTGGAGGACTGAAGTGAGTGGAAGGATATCCCAGGGGGGAAAGTCTGCACAGGTCTTATCTATGTAAAGGTCTTCGGTTGGGGATAAAAGTTCCATTCCATAGTAACTTCATTCCCACTTTTTCTCTCATGCCAGGGGTGAGGAACCTGTTTCAAGCCAGGGGCTGCATTCCATTCTGAGCAACTTCCCAGCAGGCCACAGGCCAGTGGTGGGCGGGGTCAGAGGCAAAAGTGGGAAGGGCAATGAACATGAATTGTGTCTTTGCCCAGGATGCTAGTTTCTACAGACTTGCCCAACCCTCCCCATCTTCCATCCAAATAAGCAAGAGGTGTTATCAGACTAGGCAAAAACAACAACAAAACACTCAGGGGAAGTGTGTGAAGTAAGGCCAATGAGGGACATGGCTTTGGGAGAGTGTGTGAGTCCTGCAGGCCCATTAGAGAGGATTGGATGGTCACATTTAGACCCCAGGTCTGACTTTCCGCACCCCAGTCTTACACCTTGCTCAAATGTAAAGGTTTTTTTTCCCAGCACTGGAAAATAATCTTGCCCCAATGCAAGACTGGTTCATACTTGGCCTGTGCAGGGCTAATTATGTTGTGTAAAGTTAAGCGGATGCTGACCTTGCAAAAACATGACTATTATTTCACATGCGGTTTAACTTATTTTGATTCCTAGTCTACTGTAGCTGTAGGGTTGAGACGAGTTTGCAAAAATACAGGGAGACAAATGTCAAAGGCCCAGAAGAAATGAACAATTTAGCATTGCACTCAGGCTGCCACTAGGTGTCTCAAATCAAACCTCTGCACAACCGAACAGTCTGCCACTAAGCCCCGTCTCCTATTAGAAGCTGTGCTTGTTAGAAAAGGAAGCGCAGGAGTGCTTGCAAAGGGTAATTCTCCCATCTGCCACAGCATTTCACAGTCATAAACAGGGGCATGCTTTTAACAGCCTACTTGTGTGTTTATTAAGATTTGTACCCTGCCCTTCAAACACAAGATCACAGTTAAAAAACATAAAGTAACTGATGCATAAGAACAGCAAATGTATAAAAGCAGCATACATGTGATATCAAAGTGATCCAATAAAATAGGTCAGCAAAAATAAAAAAGCCAAAGAAAAGCGGACACATTACCACTGAAAAGATCGTCTCCCTGGTAATAACCACCCACCCTACCGGGGATTGTGGGTGTCTCTCTAAGAGGAGTGGGCAAAGGGAAGCAGTTTCCCTCTCCCACTACGATTCGCAGGTTTAACTTTTTGAAAAGACTGGATTGCTGGCATCCGTCCGCAATCCAGGAGACAATGGAGGCATGTGCCTTTGGGGGTGAGGTCAAGCTGTTGGACGGCTACAACTCCTGCTGTGTTTGTAGAGACTGATGCGAGAGAGATGTGTTTTGTTGGAGCTGGGGCAGGTGAGGGCGTCCAGTTGTGCTGCTGCAGATGCATCAAAATATTTCTTCTCTGTGCTGCTCCCAGCGGTCATTCCTCCTTTGGTCACTGCTGTGGATCCTCAATATAAAAATACTGATCTTCTAGCATTTAAAGAACCTGAGATACGAAGCAAAATGTACAGGAGCACCCCCCCCCCCGTGTATGTGTGAATCTAGTCTTCTTCTCCCATCTCCATTAGTGTGTCACACTGCCCCCTGTTGGTGGTGCTAAAGGGGATGACGGGGTGTGCTGAAGGCAGGGCTGTCTTAAGCATATGCAGAGCCTCTGAGATAATTCCAGCGTCATGGGGAGTTCTGCGGTGATTTGGAGCTGAGGTAAGTGGTGATACTTGCCCGTCCCACAGTAGGCAGGACGCACACTCTGAGCTGTTTAACCCTGTAAGCTCAGGTTCTCCTCAGCGCCGGGGTGCAAAGATCTGCCCGGCGCCCTCCCCAGTTGCCCAGTCCCAGGCTCGCAGGAGGGTGGAGCCAGCCGGCTGCCTCAGCGTCTCGCTGGCTCGGTCACCCCCAAACTCGTGGCACAGAACCGCCCGCAGCAGAAGAGCCCACCGCGGTGCTCCGACCGATGGATGGGCTCTTCCACAGACTCAACTCTTGGCGCCCCTAAGAGCTCGGTGCCCGGGTGCCCCGCACCCCTAGTGCCTATGGGTAAGACGGCCCTGGCTGAAGGGCAACAACACCTGAAGGGCCACAAAGCCACTCCACCTTTTCTGTGTGCTGCTGGCACCCATCATCCATGACCGGGCCTTGCAAGCTGCGGCGACAGGAGCTGGAATTCAACTTTATCTGGAGGGCCAGATCCCTGATTATAATTATACCACCCTAACCACAATCTCTGTGGAGAGGATACTTGAACTGATAATACATAAATAAAAGTATTGCTTGTGTACTGCATATGAAACTTAATAAGAATGTACCACTGGACAAGTTACTGTAGTTATATGTTGTTCTTGAATTTACATGGAAAACTATAAAAATTATCTGGGGGGCGGGGCGGGAGGAAGCGTATAATTATGTCCCTTCCAACATTTCTCAGGTGAAAATAGGGACATCCTATTCCATCCCCTCCAACATTTCTCCAATGAAAATAGGGACTCCCAAAGGGAAAGCGAGACAGTCAAGGATCAAATCAGAAACCAAGATGGCTTCTGTAATTCCAAGACTGTCCCTGGAAAATTGAGACACTTGGTGGGTCTCTAATTATGACCCCATTCAGTAGAACTCTTAGGGCAGTGGATGCTAAAATAACAGCGTTTTGTTTGCTTGCCTTTGTTTGCGTTTGACTTATCAGGTCTCTTCTTAGGTTCTTCTCTTTGCTGTGAGGTTCATTTGGGAGATGGGGTAGGGTGGGGTGGGGTGGGGTGGGGTGGGGCAACGTCCCAGGGGTCATTGGTACCAGGCCTGGTGGCAGTGACCAGAGGATGCTCCCCAAAAAACAGCAGATGTGCAAAACGCTACGGAAATGGAACAGCAGAAGCGGCAATTATAAACATGAATGTGACCTGTATTCCAGCCTTTGCCAACCTGGTGCCCTCCAGTTGTTTTAGAGTACAACTCCAGTGTACAGGGCTGGCTGGGCCCGATGGGAGTTTTACTCAAAAATATCTTGATGACATCAGGTTGGCCGAGGCTGCTGTATTCTAACTCTAGTTTCTTTGCTGCAATGAAAACGTCTGAAAAACTGGCAGGCGAAAGTTGTGTTGTTTACATGGAATTAATTAGTCTCACAACATGTGTTTGGAAATAGGCACAGTGCAGAGATGAAATGAATGGCCACAATCCAAGTGAAATCAATGTGTTTGCTGGGTATTAATTTCCACAGGAAAGTGTTGCACCTGCTTAAATATCTCTTATTGATTCTAAGTGGAGTGTTACTTTGCTTACCTCTGATTTGTGCCCATCAATCTAAAAGGGTGGGTTTGACACCAGAAATCTAAATAGCATATGATTAGGCCTTTTTTTCTTTCTAGTCAGAGTGTGCCAATATAATAATAATTATTGTACCCACATGTGTGTGGGTTTAATTTTCATTTTGATGCAACTGTTTCATCTCTATCTCTTCGTTTAATATAATAGGTTGTGAAATAATGTTTTCACATAAATCAAAAAGAAATAATAACAAAAAAGATTTTTTAACATGGAATCTCCAGATTGGCAGCAAACCAAAACACCCCTGACCTTGACAGCCAGCTCGCCTGGCCCCATCCATATCCTGGTAGGTGCAGTGCCCCAGCTGGTGGGAGGACTGTATTGCAGGTATGTCACCCACTTCGAGTGCCACTGCTACTCTCCAGGTACTCACGAAAGGACTTTTACCTCATGATGGTCTTTGATATCCTTCCCACTTGCCACAGCATATAATACTGAATGCAAATTTATATTTGAGGGAGTATTTCCATTCCTCTGCATGTAGGACTATCCTATTTTAACTTTGCAAGAACACTGCAAAATAGTTTAGACTGAACAATGATGACTAATCCGCCCAATACGTTCCGTATTTTAAATAGGAATTTCAGCTCAGGTCTCCCTGAACCAAAGTCTTTTTACTTTAACCAAATAATAAGCAGAATTCCACAAATACGTTTGGCACTGGCAACTGCCTCTTCTCAATCTGGTGACTGTCCCTTTCTTTCTCTTTGACTCATGTGACAGAAGAGATAGCAAGGGTTTCACAGGCAGGCTCTGTTCAGAAAGTTTCCCAAAATTGTAAAGGTGTGGAGAAAATAGGAAGCCAGATGAGTCATGGGGAAGGAGCGTTTGGGGGTGGGTGGGAACAATTATCTAATCTTTGCTAATCAGAGCTAGTTGGAATTCTGAACTAAATTGAGGGAGGGCATGTTTGCTTCTCTCTCTTTCTCTCTTCAAGACTTCCCAGTTACAGTTCAGAGTGAGCAAATGCTCTGAATTCCAAGTGGTGCAACTACTAGTCTGAATTTTGAGGAGCTGAATCTTTGCTCCCCTCCCAGAGAGGGGGTGGTATACAATAATGCACAGAGGGACTGCATATTCATCTATCTTTCTTTGACAGGCATTCTGGGCAGGACTGAATGAATGGATGATATAATTGGCATTTGTATCCATCCTTACCCATGACCCTTTTGATCGATCCAGTTTTGTTAATATACGACAAAATATATACGTATAATAAAAGGTTAAAGCAAGGAGAACCCCCCTGTATTTAATTGTCCAAGCTATGCTCTACTATTTAAGAGACAGCTTGCTTGAGATCAATGACCTTTGTGCATCCCAGGCATTTGGAGAGTAGTAACACTGGGACGCGGGTGGCGCTGTGGGTTAAACCACAGAGCCTAGGACTTGACAATCAGAAGGTCGGCGGTTCGAATCCCCACGATGGGGTGAGCTCCTGTTGCTCGGTCCCAGCTCCTGCCAGCATAGCAGTTTGAAAGCACGTCAAAGTGCAAGTAGATAAATAGGTACCACTCCAGCGGGAAGGTAAACGGCATTTCCATGCGCTACCCTGGTTCGCCGGAAGTGGCTTAGTCATGCTGGCCACATGACCCAGAAGCTGGCCACATGACCCGGGAGCTCCCTTGGCCAATAATGTGAGATGAGCGCCGCAACTCCAGAGTTGGCCACGACTGGACCTAACGGTCAGGGGTCCCTTTACCTTATTTTAACCCTGCTGGCCTCTTACTTTCTAGGGAAAAGCTGTCACTCAGTTAGGCAGTCTCTGTCTCTGACAATTGTCTGACTTGAAGATATTCTGCTCTGTGTCCAGAGGCCCCAAAGCACCATTAATATATTTGGAAGTTCTATCTATCTATCATCTATCTATCATCTATCTATCATCTATCTACTTTTAAATAAAAAAGTAGCTTGCTTCTTTGCACCTGGAGAAAGCATGTGTGAGAAGGTATGCCTGATTAAAAAAACAAGTGAAAAATTTAATTCAAACCAACGTGAGTCACGAACAGTATTGATAACATAGATATTAAGGGAAAGCACTTCAGTCTGTGTCTTACAGAAACAGAGAGGAGTTATTTTCCCTTTGCCTGTCTAAGGTGTCAGTTTTGACATTCTCCAGCATGATATTTGACAATTGCTTATAAAGGAGGAAGTTTTAAAAGTGAGTGCCGTTTCCAACACTGTTACCTTTGGCAAAGTTTCACTGGTTGAAGCTCATGGATTTTTGATGATCTGCTGGACATATATTTGCTTTCTTCGCTGAATGCATGTTAAAGCTTGAATTTGTGTGCCCTGACTTTTTCTTCAGCCTCCAAGAGAATTTTGGCAGAACCCAGTGGAAAGTTAAACTTGCACTTTAGAGATGGAATGGAAAGACTTTACATAAACATATGAATCTTTCTTGGATTGAAAAAAAAGTCTTGTTGTTGCAACACTGGGTGGAAGAATCATCTTGCAGTCAGGCCTAATCATTGTAACCCAAGACACATGAATGTTTGGGGGAGACCCAATTTATACCTGCTGCTTTTAGAAGTTCTTGAAAACTTCTGGTTTCAAGTCGCAATTGAAGGGTTGCAAGCTTGAAAGCTTCCTTCAGAAACCAAGTGCATTTTAGGGAGATGGACTATATTCAATTTAGGTTGGTGTTGTGTGCTTGTTTTTTGAACTTTAAATTGGGGATGGGGAACCAGGGGCCCTCCAAATGTACAGCTCCCATAAGCCTTTGGCCATGCTAGCTGGGGTTGATGATAGTTGGAGTTCAGCAATATCTGAAGAGCCGCAGGATCCCCAGCCCAGCTTTAAGCAGTGGCTGCAGGTGTCAGAGCATCAGGACTGGAGCCATGGTGATGGATAGGTGTTTAAACCATTTACTCCTACCCTGTGTTTGTTGGAGGGGAGTTATTGTTTTGTTTTATCCTGTATTTTTATCTTGTGAACTGCTCTGGGATCTTCAGATGTAGGGCGGTATAATAGTAATAATAGTAATAGTAATAGTAATAATAATAATAATAATAATAATAATAATAATAAATCCTGATTTAAATCTCCCTGAAGCTACTCTTTCCATCCAGAGAGATGCTCTCTTGCAGTCCACAATGGTATGTTTCTCCTGACACCAATAGCAGTTTTGGGAGAAGAGGGATTTTCATTGGAACAGCGCCATGGAAAGAGTTTAAAAATCCACCCCCTGCATCAGTTCTCCCCTCTACAGCTGCTATTTGTAGCTTTAAAATAATTGCATAGTGCTAAACTGTGTTTTTAATGTTATATGTCATTTGACACTCCTTTCCCCAGGCCAGCTTTTACCCAGCCATGCTACATATGTCAGCATTTGGAGGGTTTTCTTAATAAAAAAAATTGTGCAGCTAAACATCTCTGCAGTGTGAACTCCATAACTCTGTACCATTTGATTTAGCTTCATGTGCAGAGTATTTTAGCTTGGTTCACACATCATGCTAGGGCAAACCATTGTTTAGTGTGAATGGGTTCCTGGAGTGGAGATCACAGCTGCTTTGCTCCTCCCTGGTTGTTTTGCTGAGCTAAACCATGGATTGGCTTAGTGCAGGCTTCCTCAACCTTGGCCCTCCAGATGTTTTTGGCCTACAACTCCCATAATCCCTAGCTAGAAGAACCAGTGATCAGGGATGATGGGAATTGTAGTCTCAAAACATCTGGAGGGCCGAGGTTGAGGAAGCCTGGCTTAGTGTGTTGTTTAGTTCAAGCCAGACAAACCATGAGCCGTCAGCTATTAGTTACAGCTCATGGTTAGTCTGGAGAGAGCTAAACCCAGAGCCCACTGAGCAAAAAGAGAATTTCCTCTCATGTAGAGGCAAGATGAGAGAATACCTGGTAAAAACCAGCATGCCTGTCTTTCTCTGGTATCATATTTTAAGAGTTAGGTCATGAATGATAATGTATTTCAACAGAGAAGAATTGTAATAGCAGGAGGTGACATTTTCTTGGCATCAGAAGCATATTTTCTGTCATGATACATCTTATCAGGTGCATCCGTACTTACCATTCTTCCCCACAGAAGGGTGCACTTTGAGCATAGATGCAGCAGCTGTCGGTAGGTGGTTTGGCATCATTTCACAGGGAGAAGCAGCATTCAGCCCAGCCCAGAGACTGAATGGATTCAATTCCTTTCCTCCTTTCCATTATACCAGACAAAATCTATCCTGCACAGCAGATAAAGCTGGACTACAGCTCCCAGCATCCCTGCCCATTGGCCAATTGGCTGGGGCTGGTGAGAGTGGGAATCAAACAATACCTGGAGTTCCCCACCTCTGCTGCACACCAAGAACACTGCCATTGGGGCAGCCATGTGGATAATTTTCATTTCACTTATCTTTAGACAAGGAGGAGAAATTTGATTTAATATTCATTTAATGCCAAATCTATCCAAACCACACTTTCCAAAACAATACGTGAAGAAAACATAGCTGTCCTCCAACATTTGCACTTATCTGAATGTTGCGATGCAGTTCTCCAACCAAACAATGTTTGCAAAAATGCATTTGTTTGGGGGAAAATGTACATAAAAATGACGGTATTAGAGAAAATAGCAAGCAAATACACATTCTATTGATGGGAATTACTTGCAAAAATGTGTGTGTTAGTCAAAACTCAATATAAAAGTGCTTTTGTTAGGAGAAATTTGCACTAAGTTGCTAATTAATATTTGTTAGGGGTCCCCCTCCTCAAACAAAAATTCGCAATTTGCTGCAATATGTAGAGATTTAAGATGACGAAAATGAGAAACTGAGAACTGAAGTGGACAGACCCTTCTATCCCTACTTACAGGGGAATGAATTCTAACTCCCTGCCGCCAACATCAGGGCTCTGGGGAGCAATGGAGCCACCGCCACATCTGTATCCCAGCTCTCAAGGTGGCAGTGGTATAAGGTGGTAGCAGAGACTGGTAAAGCCTGATGCCAGCCAGTACCAGTTCAGCCCCACCCCTGCACCACTCTGCTGGCTGTGATTGGCAGGTGGCTGTCTGAGTTGGCAGAAGCGAGTGGAAGGATCTCTTTGCTTAATACACACACCACACACAGCCCAGTGTAAGATAGTTTGGATTACAGCATTAAAACTCAACATAAAAATGTGAAAAATGAGTCAGCAAGGCACCATTACAACTTAGTCAGAAAACCCCTTTGCAATTGGTCTCAAATGTTTAGTCTTGGTCTCATCACTGCAGAGGGTCTTCTTACAAAATCAGTGAAGTAGAAAACCTCAGTAGACTGTCTTAACCTTTGTAAGTAGCTCCAGTGCTGCAGTTGAGAGAGTCTCATGTTCTTAAGACGAGAGCTGAAATGTAATCCAGAAGCACAGATCAATGCTCTGTACTGTGACACCGTTAGATGTTTATGTGCATCTGGGTATCCCTGTGATTGTGGTCCTACCATAAAAACCAGTAACATGCTTTCCAGCCCAATGCCCAATGAGGTCTTCATTATCTTAACAAAATAAGGCTACTTTTCAATTCTTCCCCTGGCAATTTCTTGCATTCATCGTTGCAATGAAAATGGGAACTTCTGCAAGGGACTTGGAGAAGATTCAGAGTAGTTTGGAAATAGGTTGGCCATTTGAGCATTGCTAAAAAGAGAGGAAATGTACCTCACCAAGCAATGTAAATGAATGAGGGCACAGACTAGCATAAAATTAGCACATACTAATTTAAATGCATGTATGGAAATTCAGGAGTTATCATTCAAATTGAAATAGAAAGGCATCTCACCACATTAAATAGAAATGTGTCTCACCTGGGACTAGTCAGAACAGAAATGTGTCAAGCTTGCCCCAAGATGCTCTTGAAAGAAACACGCATTTAGGGATTAGGTCTCAGGACCATCCTGTGCCCATGGTGATGAAACATTGTCTGCAGATTATCCCTCCCAGTACAATAAGCTTTCTTGTGAAACATAAACGGAGAAGGTTTCAAGGTGTCTCAGTCCATTTAAAAACCTCATGCAACTTGCTAATCAGGAATTGGCTGTGTTTTTAGCATGTTACTGCACTATAATGAGAAAGGGGAGGCAGAATGCAAACACAATCTACTAAAGTGGAAGAATATAAAACCAACTTAGCAAACCTTTGGGACTGGGCATTTTAGGATGTTAAACAATACAAATGAATATATTCTACCTATACTGAAAACACTAATGTAAAACCCTTGGCCTGATATATGATGAAATTGATCAATAGATTAAATCAGTCGTTAAGATGTTTGGCAAATGTGGGGCCAGCTCTAGGGTTAAGGACTGACTTGGGGGAAGCTCTCCCCTTGATCACAATCCTTTTTTTTAAAAAAAACAACCTTTTCCCTAGCACCAGGTACGATTCTGCTACATCTTGAATTCCTTCCTCCCTCAATGCCTTGGGAGTTGGGTCACTCTGGAGCATTGTGAAATCATATTTTTGTGGTAGCAGCTATCTTCCCCAGCCAGCCCACACCAAAGTCCAGGGATAACTCTCCACTTTCTGCAGAGTATACCTATCTATAGCTACATCTATATGGTTCCTTATTAGAAGTCATAGATCAGCTATACATTGCTGCTGAGTTTCTGTTTTACTCAGTGCTAAATCAAACCATCTACTGAAGCCCCTTGAGAATTGAAACAGTGGCCTGATGCAAACCATATGCTTCAGAGTCTGGGGCCATGTATTTTGAACTGGTTACAACATAAAACCACAGTGGAGTGAGCTGCCCAGTTGGCGGAGCTGAGAGTTCACCTGGTAAATCTAAATGTTGAAGGCTGTTTAAAGAATAAAATAAAAATCTTACCTATATATTTCTTATTATGATTGGACTTGAAGGAACAGTGCCTATGATTAAATCTTGCACGCCACATGGGAACCTGCATAGCTTTCAATTAAAACCATGTGTGTAATATTTATGGCATGGGTGACATGAACCAAGTTCCACTTATGGAGTGGAAACAAACAGCTTGATCTGCAAGTCATTTAAGGTTGAGTATTTGTATTATTATTGGCTGACACTCCAGCCCCAAGCACATTTAACTAAGTCTCATTGTTTTAACAGAAAGTCCAAGGAAATGGCTTAGTTGGAAGTCAATGGGATTAAGAACCAATTTACACAAACAGTGACTTTACAGAACTGAAGGAATGCGTTCAGACATAATCCCAAATTGTGGTTTGGCGTTATGTGGCGAGCCCCAAGGAGTCGTGGACTGACACACCCTTACCTTTCACTTCCTCAACCCCTTAATTATGACAATTACCTTCTTTCAGTCTTTTTTTTTTTTTAAAGCAAACAATAGTGTGACCTGTGGAGGGTGCAAAAAGGCAAACTGGTTTGTGCCCTCCTGCAAGCCAAACTTTGACCCAGGTATGTGAACCGAATTTGCAGGCAAGCACAAACCATAGTTTGACTGTTCAGGCATAATGATAAGCTGTGCTTTGCTGCAAACAATCCTGGAGGAATCCTGCATCTGAATGCATTCATAGAATTCAAAGTGATCAATTGCATCTGATTGTCTGATTATTCGAAGTGTTTGTCTTGGATGTAATGGGTCTGTGCCTTCATTTTTCTCCCGGCAGAAGTCAGATGGAGAGGAGTGAGAAAAGATTGGGGAACTGGAGGAGTCCAACTGAGGAGAGTGGCCCAGCAAAGTGGGAGGCAGTGACCAGGGCATGTTGGAAGACTCATACCCTGGCAAGGGGCTCAGCAGATTGGCAGGTGGTGTTTTGGACCCTGGGGAGCAATTGAGTCAGAACAGATGGCCCTGGTGTGACATCCCAGCTGGTTGATATGGTTCCAGCCCTGCTCTCTGTCAGGGAACAGCCTTCCTTCTTAGGGGGGCACCTAGGGGTACATCTGGCAGTGATCTTTCCCCATTATCTCCACCTCCTTAGATGCACTCAGCCTACATGGGCAAGAGCTCATTTGCTTGCCCAGTCCCAAGGCTGGGGATGCCAACCATGTGAATGACTATGCCCACCCCTCTCTTCAAAAGGAGAGGCATTGGGATGTGTCAAGTGTTGGGACAATGTCTTACTCCTAGCCATGTATAGCCTGTCACTTGACTTATGTCTGGGCACTGTAGTGAATTTTAGAATAAAGTATTCAATCATCATGGAGTCCTGAGGATCAAGTCAGAGCCAGAATAGTGCTGTACCAGTGAGCTGTTGTCTGTCCCAAGGAAATGAAAAGTGATGTGCCTTCAATGTGATTGTAGCATTTTGTCACTTCCCATGTTTTATGTGAGACCTAGTTGTTGTTGTTTTTTTTGAGGGGGGACCAACGAGACTTTAGTGAATTAGCTGAATAAGCAATACTTGCATTTGTAGAATAATGACTGGAAAAATTAGCAGTGTGGAAGTCTGCATTGAATTGCAAAATGACATGCATCTTACGCAGAAAGGTACAGTTAATAAGATTTCCAGTTTTGGCTATGTGTGTGGAAAGTGAGGTGGAAGAGTTCTTTAATCATTCACTTTACCGTTTCTCCTTCTTTCCTGTGTTTATTGTTTGTGCACTCCTGTTTTTGTAATTTTCCTTGAGAGTGATGGTCAACCTTTGAAATTCTTCTGAGTGAAGTCAGAAGAAACTTGGCTTAGTGCAAGAGCAGCATCTTTACCTTCCCCATATAGTACAGTAGTTTGGCCCGCAGAATAACTCAGATAAATTAAGTTCCCAATCTTCTCCTTGTGGCTGTGACAGGGGAGGGGAAGGTTAGGAGCAACTGCAAAACCTGCCAGGCCCCAAGACATTTCACTGCCTGAGGTGGACAAGATGTCTGCCCCCATTTAATGTCCAGAAGCCAATCTGAATGGCAGCTGATTCTTACTTTAGCACTGATGATGCACTTCAGGAGTGCAGGGTAGGCACACACTTCTTTCTCCTCACCCCACAGCAGATCCTGCCTAGGCCCTTTCCTGTAACAAAAAAACATGGTTTATCGATACATTCAAAAGTGTATGTCTGATTACATGGGCTGAGGTACTAAGAGAGGAAGCATCTGTAGCTTCCTCTGCTCTACCTTCTTGCAGCCACCAGGACTTCCGTCAAAAGAAGAGGAGGGCAGAGGGGTTGATCAGGCTGGAGACGCTGTAGCTGCATTTTCTATCAGTTCCTTGGAACACTTAAAAGGACAGCAAGTCTCCATTTCTGATTGCAGACCTAGTTGCCGTGGAAGTTGGTGGGGCTTCTAAATCAGCACTAACTTACTTCATTTCACGTGGTTGCTGTGAGGATAACATGTCAAAGGGTCCTATGTGCATGGCAGCTCAGGTGCTAACTGTGGAGGAGCAACTTCAAGGCCTCTGTTACCAGTGGCGTAGCGTGGGGGGTGCAGGGGGGCTGGCCACACCGGGCGCAACCTCTGGGGTGGCGCGCGCTCGCACTCGCAGCTCTCTGCCCCCTGCTAAAATCCATGGGTTAGGGGGCGCAAATTAGTTGCCTTGCCCTGGGTGCTGACAACCCACGCTACGCCACTGTCTGTTACCCTCCCCTGAAACCACGCTGGGCCAGATAGCCCTTCAAAGAGAACATGCTTTCAAAGAGGGGACAATCCTCTGAAAGCCCTTCAATTCAATCACCTTGCCTCTCCATTAGTACTAGTAGGGATGGGAGAGAAATTTAATTCAGTTTGCATCTATAGGCAAATATACCTAATTTGCACTTTATAAAACAGTATGTGAACAATACTGTGATCCTTCACAATTCATACTTTTTTTTTTGAACGTTTCAGTGTAGTTCTCAAGCCAAGTAATGCATGCAAAATTGCATATACAGTGGTACCTCTACTTACAGATGCGATCCGTTCCAGGGTGCCGTTCGCACCCCGAACAGTCTGTAAGTAGAGCACTGCTTCTGCGTGTGCATGTGATGCAATAGAGCGCTCCTGCACATGCCAAATCATGAAAAATGTCAGGGGAAACCCAAATGTATGGCAACATGATGGGAAATGCAGTGGAAACAGCTCCAAAAGTTTAAAATCACATTTGGGGGGGGGGGGGAGTTTTCAGGACCCACCCGATTCTTGCAACTGTAATCTGTTGCAAGATTGAAAAACTCAACAATTTGGGATTGCTCCCATTCAAATATTAAAATGATTGTTAAATTATTGAAATGTATAAAATTGAAAATCATAAATAAAAAATAAAAAAATAAAAATTGGGTTTGTTTCCAAAAACTTTGCAGGTGTTAGGAATTTTCCTTTTTGAAATATGGCAACCCTACAGTATGCAAGGGGAAATCACTTTGCAAAATGTATTAGGCAAAAATTGATACAAAAATGTGTGTTAGGCAAAATTTACACTAAAATGTAGCTGAATTTTCATGAGGACTTGTTTGTTTGTTTTTAAGTTCATAAACTGATGTGGAAATGTAAAGAATTGGACTCATAAGTGGAAAATGAGGAAATGAGAGAATGACCAACCCCCAACTACTGGTATAAGGTTTTTTTTTTTGTTATTTCTTTAGTGACAGCCATGCTAGACACTGGAATGGGTATGAACTAGATTGTGGAGAAGTTAATTGACTTCCCATTCTGTTCTCTCCTAATTGTTCTTAACTAATGTTGGAATGACTGACCGCATCTATTATTTGGATGAGGAAAAAAGGTCCGTACTACTGTGCTTAGCTTTAAGAAGCCCCTGCAAAGATACTTTTGCATTGGTTTCTAACTCTTTTAATTTTGCAAAAAAACTTTTTTTAAAAAAGTAATATGGAAAGCCAGGAAACCGGATCTCAAGCTTTATAATGAACAATTACATATAAATCAGGCTTACCGCTGGCCACAGATGTGCTGCCCAAAATTCTTGGCATCAGCACGGTGAATTCTGGTGTGCTTTCCCATTGTCTTATGGCAACCAATGGAAGAATTCCTCTTTCTGTGCAAAAAAAGTACTTGCTCTGCGACAGACAAAGAATTTACACAGAGGTTGGCTTAATCCTTTAAACTGATGGGCTATATTCCAAAAGAGGTCAACTTCCTTAATCATCAGTGGCAGACATAGATATGTATTTTCTTTGGGGGGGGGGACACAGTATCTACATAGCAAAGCATTAGGACAGTGGGTTCCTGAAGATGGCGTATGGGAGGCAGAGTTTCAATTAATTTGTTCTAGAAAATCTACCGATCTATAAGTTAAAGGCATTTTGCTCATTTGCTTTGGCTGAATGCTTGCTTGTTTATTCCTGTTCAAGCATTTCGCGGCCTTATCATGCCATCGGTCTAGTTCAGGATTGTCTAGTCTGACTGGCAAAGACCTCCCCCCTAGTCTCAGGATAAGGTTTTTCTCAGCCATCCCACCAGAAGCCCCTCTAATTGGGAAGGACCAGGCTGATGATATTTGGACCTGGTTAGGCTGATGCAGAGGCTTCTAACTGCCTGCCTGTTAGAATGGCTGAGAGTAAGAATTTCTATTTCCTGGTGAACTTGAAGGGAGTTCTAAATCCTCTGCACACACCTTCTCAGTTATTATTAAAGGTTAGGTCAGGGGGTGGCGAACCTCAAGCCCAGACTCTTCCTCAGGTTACAACCCTTCCCATCCACACTCTCCCCCTGCAGGCTACATCTATCAAGGGCCTTGTTTCATATCCTCCTTGTGGGTTTTCCCCTGGCTGGAATCTGTCCCCGAACTCTGATGACAGCCCTTTCTTGCCTGAAAGGAGGATAGAAGTGTATGTGTTTAAAAATGGGCCTATTGCACAAAGGTAAAATTTATACATATTGCCCTGTTGCCTCTGCTGCCCACTGCTGACATGTTGGCTCCCATAAGCTTGCGCAGGAGGGAATACAGCTTTTGGGCTGGAAAAGCTTCTCCACCTCTTTGACTCAGATCTGCAGATTTCTTGTTCTGCATTCCCTGACAGTCCAGGCAGGGCCTCTGAAAAACCAGAGACCAATCCACTCTATGCATCCCAGCAGCGCCACCACAACCTATCCCCATTCTCACGCATAGCAAGAATTGTGAAGCTACCCCTTGAAACAATACCTGCATCATCAGTCTTGCCATTATGACTATTTTTTATTAACTATGCAGGGTGGCTTACAACAATGTGAAATTCAGTCTTGAAACAGATTACAGTTGCAAGAATCGGGTGGGTCCTGAAAACTCGCTTGGCTGCTTCCCTGTAAACACATGGTTGCTACATGAGGACAATATCCCCAGCTAAAATGGTTGTGGGAACGGGCTCAAAATGGCTCTATTAAGGACAATCTCCACAGAAATCAGCTGCTAAGATTAATTGTTCTCCAATGCAACTGTTGCCATGGAAAAATAATAGGAACAATAACGGCTGAGTTGAAAGTTCTGCCATGAATATATTTCAAGCAGGCATTGAAAACTGTGTTGTTTTTTGGTGGGCATTTTTGGTTGCTGTTAATTCTCTGGTAGGTTTCTCTCCCTCATTTCTGCTCTTTTTGTTGCTTTGCTGCTTGTTTATCTTACCTCACTTTGCTATTATTTATTTTAGGGATTTTTAAAAGCTGCCTTGAATTGGCATTTTGCTTAGAAAGGCAGATGTAATATGAATAAATAATTTAAGTAAAAGGGTGTGTGAAAGGGAGGGTGAGAGGAATCAAAACACTTATTCAGAAAGCTAGATTTCATGCCTGTCCAGTGATGTTTGCAGTGCTGCCTGTCTGCTGCTTTGGAACTGTGGTTTGTTTTTACAGCACCTTCTTCCTCATAATGTCATTATATAGACAGGCAGCTTTGGCTATATGCCAGCATCACTAGGACAGGGAGGGCAATGCCTGTTCAGGAATCATTGCCCTAACTCTGGATTAGGGATGGGGGAGAATAAGAGAACTGTAGCATTGGAAGGGACCCTGAGGGTCATCTAGTCCAACCCCCCTGCATGCAGGAATATCACCTAAAGCATCCATGACAGATGGCCATCCAACAGAGGTTGCTTTAAAACCTTCAAGGAAGGAGAGACCACCACCTTCTGAGGGACTGTGCTCCACTGCTGAGCAGCTCTTACCATCAGAAAGCATAGCTGATATCCTCTTTCTTGTAACTAGAAGTCTCATCTTTTAGACTTCTTTTGTTTTATCCCTGCTCTTGGTCTCTAGAAGGGCAATAGACTCCTCTAGCAGACTTCTTCCTGGATGAATAACAGACTCATATAAAAACCTTGCACTCTGTAAATTAATGCAGACTTTTATATACTGTGCTCTGCTTTTAAATGTCAGCGTTCTTCTCTTTCAAATGTACCATATTTTCATAACCGGCACATTTCAAACTCTTGAAAACTTAAGACGGCAAGCCAGAATTAGGGCTCTGTGTAAAACATATGTATGAAATAGGTTGCCTCTTGAGAAGTATAGAAAACTGAGAAGAACATAATAAACACCATGGGCAGCAAGCTAAGCATGCTGTAGCTAATTATGTCCTTCTTCTCAATTTGGCTTTTAAAAGGCTTGATGGTGCCCTTGGTGGAGATATCCTTTCATGTATATGTACCCTGGCAGGCATCAGGGCCAACTCAGGGTATTTTGCTGCCTGGGACAAAGGACAATGTTGGAACCCCACCCTTCTTATACCTGCCAAGTGCCCTGGAAAAAAACAGGACATCCCATTTTTTCTTGTGAGATCGCGGCGGCCATTTTGGGTGCCATAACCTTGCATGCCCTTGCACTGCAGTCTCGCCCTGAAAAAGTGCTTTTTGGGGGGACATGATACTGTGTGGTGCCAAAAACACATGGTTTTGGGTGCCGTGTGAGAGCTCCCCCTAAAAAAGTGGGTTTTTTTTCCAGGGTCCTGGGATCTTACTCAGGAATGTGCCCTGGATGGTGCATGTCCAAGTTTGGGGTTTGAAAAAGTTGAACAGTAAAATTCTCAGGGTCCCCCAGTAAAGCCTACTGTTATCTGTAATCAATAAGGTTGTGGCCAATTTAATCCCAAGATCTTGTCATGTCGTTTTTGTTGCTGCTACATTACTGCCCCCCTTTCTGATTCTCAGGGGACACCGTGCGTAGGCCCGCAAATAGCAGATCTGATCGATTCGGCTTCAGATGCAAACTGAATCAAATGTCTTCCCCAGTTCTACTTGAGACAGTATATCTTTACCATGTACACTACACTCCAATGTTTTACATGTTCATATAACAGCATGACATGTGCATGTAACAAATGCATGCTTGCCACGCTGTGCATCATGCAATTACGCATACCAGGGAGCTGGGATAGGTTGCACCTCCACGTTACATGTACATGCAGTAGTGGCAAGTTTTCTGCTGTGCAGAACTATTGATCTTTAGATCTGGAAGGAACCTTGGAAGTCAATCTGGTGATGCAGAAACCATCTGGGTGCTAGGCATGGGTTGCCCCTCTGTGAGCATTTGCCCTCGTGGACCCGGCACTGAAAGGCAAGCTGCACGTGGAAGATTGTGCTGCTGCCCACAAAACAGATCCGTCTTCATGGATCTGGGATGGGATACAGAATGTGTTGCAAGAACAAGATGGAATGCTGTTCTTGGCTTTGGAAAGGAGAGTCGCAGCTATCTTCTGGGCTGATATTGGACAGCTGGAATTCTGCAGCTCCTCTCTGCGTTGGCTCATCCCAAGCGCATCCTTTCCTTCAAACAAAAAAAGAAAGGTTTAGGTTTAGCAGCAGTTAAAGGCTATGAAGAAAGTTTCAGAAAGTGAGACCAAAGCTTCACTTTTACCCCACCATTTCCAAACGTAGGGTGAAACAAAGGGCACATTTAAAGCTACTGGGAGAGATTTAACACTAAGCAGGATGAGGTGTTGATGATGTGTGATTTCTCTTTATTTTTATTTTTTTGTAACAAGCATCCTGGGAGGTAGTGATGGTGTTAGATCAGGACTGCAGTGCTGAGGGGTGGATTTTTCAACCCTTTTCACCATGCTTCCCCCCCCCATGCAAATCCGCCTCCCAAAGTTGCTATAATTTGCCTCAATAGAGAACACAGTCATATCTTACAACAGGGCTAGCAGTTGGAGGCATTTATATCATTAAAAACAGAACAGGAGAAGGCTTAACTCCACCCAGCAACATGGTCTCAATCCAGTTTCTCCTCCCTGCAGTGGCTTGCAAATAAATAAATAACTAAATAACTAAATAACTAAATAAATAAATAGTTGAGAGATCCCATGGCATGGCTTTCATGATTTTTATAGGAGTTAACACTGAGTAGATAGAAAATTTCCATCTGATAGATAGATAGCATTTCCATCTGTATAGTCAGATAGAAAAGAAGACAGAACTCCAGTGATATTCGCCGATAATGTAGCTTCAGAGAGGAGATGTAAACACTGTGTTGCTGAGGGTAATCTCCCCCCCTTCGTCTGGTATTTATTATTATTATTCTTTAAAACTCACAAGGCTTTAAATCACACCATTAATGTAACGTGTAGTTAGGCCCTGGCTTAAACACATTTGGATCAATCTTAGCGTGAGGGGAGAGTTTTCTTGTTGCTTGGGAATATACTCTAATCTCTTTTATTATGTTTGAGATCTGTTCAAAAGCTTGGTGAATACTTTGATCTGCTACCCAAGTACAAAAAGAGCTTAACTCAGGGATGGGGAACCTGTGGATCTCCAGATGTCGGGAGTCTCACCATCCGTGGCTTAATGCTGCAGGAACTATTCTAGATAAACGCAGAGTTATCAGCGAAAAGTCATGCTCCAATAAACTTCTTTTGACATATCTATGCTTCAGACTTAACCTGGGATTTGTAAATGCCATCTCTATGCTACAGCAGGTCATGTACATGTGACAGACAGGAGCGCTTAACGGAATTCCCAGAACCAAATACAATTGCCAGGATTCTTTAGGGGAAGACACGCAGGTTAACCTTGTATAGAAACCACACTGGTCTCTAGCATCTTAGGCTTGTCTTTTTGCTATTTGTGTGGCATTTACTTGCTTCTGTGTAGGCCTGGACACTTCATAGTTGCATCCATCACTATTTACTGTACTATTTATGAAATATACTCAGAGTCGCAAAGTGATTTCATGCTCTTTATTCAGCTCATAGTGGTGAGGAGGAATGAATGAATGTCCCCTCAAAGTATCTGCTTTATATACATTATTTACACAATGGGCTGCACATGATTGGCTAATTCTGGAATTCTACTGTAAGCCAATCAGGTTGTGGATTCACTTATATCTGGAGCATGATTGGGTGGTTCCTGCCAACCAATCATACTGCTGCATTGTTCTAGGACCAATCAGACTGCTGCATTCTGAATCCTATTGTTCTAGGACCAATCAGACTGCTGCATTTTGGATCCTATTGTTCTAGGACCAATCAGACTGCTGCAGTTTGGATCCTATTCAACTCAGTACATAACAATTTATTTTGTATAAATCACATTTTAATGTGTTTCCTTTTCACTCCGATCTTCCTTCCATTCTTTGCAAGCATAATTCTGCTCGCAAGCCAGTGTGGTGTAGTGGTTAAGAGCAGTAGTCTTGTAATCTGGGGAACTGGGTTCGCGTCTCCGCTCCTCCACATGCAGCTGCTGGGTGACCTTGGGCTAGTCACACTTCTTTGAAGTCTCTCAGCCCCACTCACCTCACAGAGTGTTTGTTGTGGGGGAGGAAGGGAAAGGAGAATGTTAGCCGCTTTGAGACTCCTGAAAGGGAGTGAAAGGCGGGATATCAAATCCAAACTCCTCTTCTTCTTCTTCTTCTTCTTCTTCTTCTTCTTCTGCTGTCTTATCAGGACACATTTCTGCTTATGCAAACCATTTCTGCCATTGAAAACCTGGTGGTCTTTGCAACTCAGCAGCCACTTTGGAGTGGTTAGGTTGGCTTTCAGACTTGCTAGCTCCACAGTTTTTCTACACAGAATGCATTCTGGGTCCTGGATTGCACTGGTGGAAGTTCTTGGGTTGGCAGACCCTTGGAATATTATAACAGAATAGCTGTGGTGTGACTGCTTGTTTGAGTGGTTTGTTTGTTTGCCTTTTTTTAAAAGAAGAAAAATAATTCTTCTTCTCCAAAATATATGTTTGAACAGTCAGATGCATAGTGTGCTCTATAAATAATAGAGGAATCAAGTCTGTGCAAAGTTTAGAAAGGCAACAAGATTCAGCCATTCCCCCACCCCTTATTTTTAAGGGATTAGTTGTATATCACTGCATCTCACGTTGTGTGTGTGTGTGTGTGTGTGTGTGTGTGGTCTAGTGAAATGCTTGCTCTATGGGACTACTGTGAGTTAGCCTGCCTTCCCTATTTTGAGGTTCTCACATCTGTGCATAAAAATCCTGTGCATATTTTCTAAAAAGTTAGTCTTGCTATATACAGTTACTCCTGGGAAAGGGTGCATAGGAATCATGCTACATGCCGTTAACTTGAATGCAGTGGTACCTCTGGTTACTAACAGGATCCGTTCCGGAGGCCGTTTGCAACATGAAAAGAGTACAACCCGCAGTGGCGCCCCTGTGCAGGTTGCAATTCGCTGCTTCTGCGCATGCACGCGAGGTCATTTTGCACTTCTGCGCATGTGCGAGTGGCGAAACCCGGAAGTAACCTTTTCTGGTACTTCCAGGTCGCCGCGGGACGTAACCTGAAAGAACGTAACATGAAGCAAACATAACATGAGGTATGACTGTATAGTTTCCCAGATAAGCCTTTTTGGCAATATTGTCATAGCTTGCTATATAATCTTTGAGGTTGCAAGCCAGTATAGAACATTAAATCATGGCTGGGGAGGCCCAGGGTCAGAGTGGGAGACAGCCCCACTCTCAGTCTTTAGCCTACCTCACAATTATGTGAAGATAAAGGGTGGGGGGCGGACCACAATGTGCAGCAAGATGCCTACAGGAAGCTCACAACCAGGGCATGAGGCAATAGTCCTTGCTATTTCCTAATGACTGTTGTTCAGAGGTATGGTGTCCATGATCCTCTAGGTAGCATATAGCCACCAAGTCTTGTAGTCTGTGATAAACTTTTTCCTCCATTGATTTGTTTGTAAGAGCATAGGTCCTGGATAGATAGGGGGACCACCTATCACTGACCACAACTGGTGAATACAGCAGGGGAGGCCAATGGAGAGGCAGCAGTTCTCTCGATGGCTCATTTGGGCAAACTGGTTCTCTTGGTAGGGTGGCCAGATACCCCCCCCCAAAAAAGAAAAAAAAGCAGACAACATCACCAAAACAGAGGGCACATATTTGCGTAAAATTTACATATGCTCATGTATGTACCCATGCATATTTAGGAATAATTGCCCTAATTTAAATCAAAATAGAATACTCTAGTGAAGAAGTCTATGAGCATGTGACCTGTGTACCTGCTTAATATGCAGTCCAAGCACTAGCTGTTGATGGGCTTCTTCTGCTCTCCCTTAGTATGGGTCTATATTTTTCAGCTGCACTTGGACTGGACAGCCCTTCAAATAGAGGAGTGTTATCTGTAAAGTGGAACACACTCTATCTCTGGCGCTGCAGCAGGACTGAATCCCAAGTGCAGCCAGTAGTCTTCTGCAGATTTAAGAATGTCTGCTAAGACCTACACAGATGGTGTTTGGTTTTTTTGGGTTTTTTTTAAAAAAGGAGAGCCTGCAGTGAAAATTTGAGCAGATAAGCAGTTTCTTGCCTAAAGCCGCATTTGTTTTAAATGCAATGCTTTCCATATGACTTTCTGGCTGATTTGGTTCCTTTTGTATCCTTTGTCCCGTGAAAACTCTTTATACTAATTCCAGTTGGAAAGCTGTGACGTTTATTGGTGGAGGCAAAACTGATCAACTGCAGACTCCCTTCCTGCCAAACCAAGCTAGCAAAAGTTCAGTGATATTATGTGGCCAGTAGGAATGTATTCAGTCTTCGTAAATAAGACTCATTTATTGCAGAATGAAGAGCCAGGAGAGATAGCAGTATGTGGATGTGCAAGGTCTGTAGCTCTTGAACGTGATGCATTTAAAGACCTTAGAATAAAACCTGCTACATAATAGAATATTGAACAGTCCTGCGTTGCTGGCAAAATTGCATTATTGTTCATAGGACTCGTGCCTACTGTTGCATTCTTTGTGAGCTGCATTACAAGCCGCAGCGCCTGTAATCTAGACTTAACTGGCTGGTAAACCTTGGCCTATAACTACTTCTATGGGTTGCTGGAGGAATACAAAATGAACATACTGTAGTAGTTAGCTGCACTCTTCAAAGACAATTTACAACTTTTAAAAGAAAATACAGGAAATAAAAAGGCTGACTGAAAGGTTTTTAATTGAAGAAAGGGCAGTGGTTGCTGAAAGGGTGATCTGTTTGCCAGGTACTTTATTGTATGTAATAACTGCCTAGAACATCAGTTTGTAGTTTTAAAGGGGATATGGAGAGGGTAGAATGCTTTGGGTAAATAAAGGTGAGGCCTGCAGCAAAATGTTGCAGTATGGAGTACTGCCTGATCAGCATTCCACTCGCTCCATTCTATTCCCCCTCCTCTCACAGTCAATGAGCATTCTATTGCTATGGAGCATGCTCAGTCTTCATCAGGCTTTGTGTTCCCCCCCCCCCCATCTAGCATTCTGTGCATTGCTACTGAGCATGCATAGCCTTCATTGGGCTGCTTAAGGGATTTCTTCCCCCCCTTAATTGGGAGGAGTCTGCTAATTCATTATGTTTTCCTATTATTCCATTTCCTTTATGGATATCTATTTGTGGCTTGAAAGTGAGATTTCCATCTTCTACCCATTCACAGCCTGTGTTGGAGATACTTCTTCTGCAATTTGTGTGTCTCCATAGTTCAAAATGCTTGAGAATGTGTGTCAACATTTGTTCTCTTTTTTGTCTCCCCAACCCCCTTTTTCCTATCTGCTCATCACATTACCTATTTGCTTGTTGGAAGTAATGGCTGGTGACTGTATGTTTAACAAATGATGCAAATTTAGCTGGTGTATCCTGAGACTTGTTGTTGGATATATACCGTATTTTTCCGTGTATAAGACTAGGGTTTTGTTTTTTTACCCAAAAATTAGTTTTAAAATTGGGGCTCGTCTTATACACGGGTAGTGCTGAGGGGGTGTTTTCTTAATTTGGAGTCCCACAAAATAGGGGGTGTCTTATACTTGGGGGCGTCTTATAGATGGAAAAATACTGTACTATGTAACTTGTGCCTTCCTAGAACTACCATGCTTGCAAACATCTTGCAACCATGATTTCAGGGTATCTGTTATAATATGCCACAATGGGCATATTATTGTCCCTATTTTCCAGGGATAGTCTCAGATTTACAGAAACTGTCCTGGTTTCTGATTTGATCCTGGAATGTCCCACTTTTTCTTAGGATGACCCTATTTTCATTGGAGAAATGTTGGTGGGTTTGGAGTTATCTGACCCCTGAGCCATCTGAAGGCAGCCCTGTACAGGGAGGTTTAAAAATGTTTAAAGTTTTTATTATGTTTTTGTTTATGTTGGAAGCCACCCAGAGTGGCTGGGGCAACCCAGTCAGATGGGCTGGGTGGGGTATAAATAAGAATAATAATAGGACGTCCCTATTTTCTTCGGATAAATGTTGGAGGGTATGGTTCTTGTTTTGTTCACCTCTGAACAAATCAGTTTCAGTTCCTTGCCATAAACTGTCAGGGATGTCTCTAAGTGTCATTGGCTCCTGGCATTTCCTTTCTGATATTCCAAACACGTGGAACATCTGGACACCATATCTGAGTATTCATGCCTGGCCAATTTAGTATGTCATTTCCCTCCCCCTGCTTTTTTTGCACAATACAATGCCAAAGCATCCTGTCTGAATCTTCTTTAATATGCCTGGTGTCAGTGGTTTTTGGAATAACGATTCATTCTCCTTGGAGTACAAGTCCCCTTTCTGTTGTTAACTCTGCTTTGATGCTCCAGAAGTCCTTAAGACTTGATTTTGGGCCAATCTCCTTTTATCATCCTAATAAACATTTTCATAGTTTCATCTTTGTTTCTTATTTCTTCCATTTTCTCTTCAGTGGCTGGAATGCTTGTGAATATCATGTGTCAAAGAGCGAGTCGGCAGTAAATCACATGGTCAAAGTTGGAGTTAATGCTTTATTAGCAAAAACACAATCTTCACAGACTGGGCTGAGTGTCAGGCCTAATGAGCAAAGCAGCTCATCTCTGGTAGGTCTGGCCACATTAATCAGTTGCCTCTCCACACCACAGCCGTCAAAGTCCCTTCCTCTCCAGGGGTTTCCTAACAATTAGAGACATGTTCAGCCTGCCTCTGCTCTGCCCATTTCAGCTCTCTTCTGGTTCTGGGAGACAATGGGGAAATAGAGCTTGTCATAGAAGGATGGGGAGAGACCCATGGCTCTTCACCAGCCTGACTGATCTCTGCCTTTTGGCCACCCTTCTCCCACTTGCCTGTTTCAGCTTCTGCCTCTGATTCTAGACTTCTCTTTGCCACTGACTCTCCCAGCTCACTAAGCCCTGTTAGCTCTTCCCAGTCTTCTCCCTCTTCTATCTCTGACCACTCGTTGTTGTAACACCCCTACTCCCCAGGCTCTGCGCCTTCTTCCCTTGGTGGTTCCCCGGCTGATTCCTCCCACCATTCCTCTGCGTCCAACCTGTCCATGACATCAAGTGTACTTGCTGCTCCAGAACATCTTCCTTTGTAGCAGAGGCAGTTAACCTATGGCCCTTCAGCGGTTGTTGGACTTCAGCATCCATCAGTCCTAGCTAACTGATGGGAGGTCTATCCTGACAACACCTGGGGGGCTATGAGTTTCCCACCCACTGCTGTATAGCATTCTTTCTAGGTAGAAATGTTTTGGTTGAAAAGTTTGCTTGATGTATTTCTGTCCTTGGTTTATAGCTAGTTTTTCAGACCATATTTCAGAAGCAGGGGAAAACATGATTTACAATCTGGCTCAAGTTGGCACCTCAACTTGAGGCTTCTTCATCATGTTCTCCAGTGGCTTGTGGTCTGTCTTCACCATAACTGTTGTTCCACCATAGATGTATTCATGGATATTTGCACAATCTACCACAATTACAAACATTTCGTCTCATCCCTAAGCCTCTACCACTTGTGTAAAGTTATCACTGCTAACCCTGGAGAAAATCTGACTAAACAGTTAAACATTCCCAATATAGTTTCCATCTCTGATATGGATGTTGAGGTTTCCAGTTGTTATATTGCTGCAGTTTTGCCTTAGATCTGGTTTTATTTCTTTTGGAGCCAGTATAAGGCCAAAAAAGTAATATTGCTGATCTTTATCTGCATTTTATTTTGATTTAGTTTCTGGGTTTTTCTTTCTGCATCTTTGCAGCTGTGTTTCCTGGTTATGTTCCTTCCACATAGAGCCATGCATCAGCGTATCAACAGTAATGATTTTGACACCTGGTAATTCAGGGATGGAGAACCTATGGCCCTCCAGGTGGTCCTGGGCTCCAACTTCCACCAGTCCCAGCCAGCTTAGCCAATCATCAGGCATGATGGGAGTTGGAGTCCAACAAGACCTGGAGTGCAATAAGCTCCCCATCTGTACTGTAACCCTTCTAATAAGGTTTTCCTTTGAAGGATTCCTGGGTGGAGGAAATTCCTAAAGGCACCCTGCTGAAGTTCCATCAGCCTTCAGTGCATTGACTTGTGTCAATTGGCTGGTTCTTAATCTAGCATCAGCTGCCAGTATCTTGTTTGTGCATTCAATATATTTAAGTACTTGGCTTGTGACAGCTTGTATGTAAGAAGCTTGTAGTGTGCTGTCAAATTTAAATCTCTTGGATTGAAGACGTTAACTCTGCAGCCACCAAAGAGTTGACCCAATCTGCCACTTCGTCTGCACTCGCCAGTACTCCAGTTTGCACCATGTTCCATTTCAGTTTTTCTCTTTGAGAAGAAGATTAATGTTTCCAAGTGCATGAATAACTGGTTATGCATCTGGCTTCAACTCCGTTTGACACTGGTTTGGTACACAGCCTAGATCTGCAAATTCATCTGCAAGCATTCTTTCCGTTTTTGCTTTCTGGGGGCCAAACTATAACTTGCGATTTATGTATAGCATGAAGCTCCATCTCCATTTTTCTTGACTCAGTTACAGGCATAGAGGGATTCCAGTTGTTACTGGAGCCACAGTGCACAAGGAGAGAAGGTTTATCGCTTCCCTCCCTAGCCGTAAGCACCAATCGCCCCTCCTTGCAGTGCTACAAAGTTTTGTACAAAAGTTCTCATTGGCACCAAAGGGTACTGCCTTTTTTTTTTTACTAATACTTTCAAGGCAGACAGATGCCAACAACAATAATAGCCATGATGGTGGGGGGGTTTTGAGGGGGGGGAGATGTTATGACTAGAGAAGGAAGGGAGAAGCCTTCTCCTCCTCATGCAGGCCAAAGGCTCTTCATATTTGGTCTAAAGGAATGTGATTGTTTATCTTGTTCCATATCTTATGATAGGGCAGAGCTACATATTGTATATAGCTCTGACAACAAAAAGTCTGTAGAGACTAACAGACTGATTACAGAGTAAGACTTTGCAAACTAGAATCCACATCTTCAACTGGCATGAGATATACATGGGTAGAGAAAAAAATGGGGCCAAATGACTATGAAATGTAAAAATAATAATTGTCTGGGACCATTCTATGTACCATGTAAAACAAGCACTGTGACCATTTGCAACAGCAATAATTGGTGTTTCTCAGCTGTTATTCTGAATAGTCAGTTTACTTACCTTAAGCTTTATATAGAATTGTCACAGTCCTTTTGCATTTTGTAGCCATTCCTCCCTGATTTTTTCTCTATACTCCCTTCCTCTAGAGTAACATAGCACGGGTACCCTCCAGAAAATGTAGTTCTATGATTTATTTATTTTTTAAATCATGTAAAACACCCGTGGTTGACTTCCAGTTGGGAAGGGAAGGGAAGAGGTAGAAGAGTGAGCGTTCAGCCCTTTCCTTCCCAACCACTCAAAATCTTACAGTTCTTTATAGACAGCCAGGCCTTATCAAAGCTAAGCAACCAAACTCCTTTCAATATTGGGTGGGTGTATGGTAGCTGCCCTTGCTGTATCCTCAGATTCTCAGGGAGCGGAGGAATGAGCTGCTGGCAGTGGCGGAGCTTCATGCTCCAGCACCAGGGGGGGCGGAGAGCAGGTGGGGGTGGGGCTGGCATGTGTCCTGGGGGCGTGGCATGCCACCTGCAGGGGTGTGGCGTCCAGCGCGGATGGGGGTGCAGCTGCGATGGCACTCCACTGGGATCGCACTGCCAGGGGCGGTGCGCTCTCCCCGCACCCCTCTTCCTCCACCAGTGGCTGCTGGCACCTCCTAATCCCTTCAATGGTTGTCAACCTGATGAACCCTAAGCCTCCTTGGGAGTGGTGTAGAATCGGGAAGCCTCACCGGACCCTTAAAGTGATGAATTGATTATTATGCACCACTGCTTCATTTGTCTAGCTTTATCTCAGATTCACCTTTTATCAAACTTGTCTGCTCAATTAATAAATTGCGAAGGTTAAAAAAAAAAAAGGTGCCACTTATGTTAAACAGTTAACACATGAAGAGCGCTTAAGAGTAACTCTTGATTTGTGTGTTTGTGTGTTTTTACGTTTTTTTGAAGAGAAGGAAGTGCCAAGCAGACCTTTAAGAGTGCGCGGCCGACCATCATCAGCTGACAGGGCGTTTGTTCGGTGGAGGCCACCCCATTCTTCAGGTTCAAGGAGCCTACGTAGATATCCAGGTTACCTCTTGGGATATGGAGAGAGCAGCAGAAAGATGAGTTATAAGCCACTGCCAAAAGAAGAAAGAAGTCATGAGGTTAAAAGATTAGGTAAGTCAAGGCCAAAGTTTATTTTGCACAAAATAATGTTTTCACTTTTGTTTGGGATGATGAAGCATTGGGTTGGGTTCAACTAACCAGGCACCCTAGCGGAAGCCAATGCAAGGGCACCCAATAGTGCAATAGTCCCCCCCCCCCGTACCATCCCCTGTGCTACTCTAGAGGGTCAGGAGAATGCCCAGTGCAGTGCACAGCTGGGCAAGTGAAAAGGTTTGTGCCGATTCCTTCTCCCTAGTAATTTGGTTCAGTGGGTTAATTCCCTCATTAGAGCAGATTCCTGAAAGTGTCTAATACACTTATATCTAGAATTTGACTGCATGTGTTATGATCTGCTATGTAAGCAGTTATAGGTGTTTAAGCAAAAGTAAATTCTTGGCCAGGATGAAAAAGGCAATGGCTTGTATCCAACTAAGTTGTCCTCAAAGTTGACCCATTGAAATTAATGAGCCCGAATTCGTCATGCACATTACTTTCACTGGGTCCACTCTGATTATGACCATAGCTGTCAACGTTTCCCTTTATTTAAGGGAAATTCCCTTATTCTGAATAGGATTCCTCGCAAGAAAAGGGAAAAGTTGACAGGTTTGATAATGACTACTATTATGTTGAATTACTCAAGCTAAGTTGTAGTAACTTCACAGAAGAGGTAGCTTATAATTTTTGTAATGTTTCAGCTAAATTGAGCGTTAGCAAGCCAAGTGTTACTCCACTTCCAACAGTTTGGTGGAGATAAAACTTGGCAACACTATTAGAACTGGTAGCTTTCAATGGTTTAATTGACCCAAGCTTCAGTTAATTAGTCAGAGGGGTCCAATTTCAAATATTAGGGGTCAATTTTAAGCAAAAGAGCTTCAAATGAAGGGAAAACTTGTACTTTGTTTAAGCCTCATTTGGTTCTGATGTTACATACTCCACATCTTTAGACGTTGTGTGCCACATTTTAAGAAAAACATCAACAAACTGCTCACTGAATCGCCAGACAAAGAGAAGACAGAATCATAGAATTGTAGAGTTGGAAGGGACTGTGAGGATCATCTAGTCCAACCCCCTGCAATGCAGGAATCTTTTGCCCAATGTGGGTTTCGAACCCATGACTCTGAGATTAAGTATCTCATGTTCTTCCAACTGAGCTATCCCAACCAACAGAAGTTATCAAAATTTGTCTGATGGGTTTGCATAGCCCCTTGGTTAGTGTTTCCATATGAGGTAAAATGTAGAGGAATTTCAGAGTAGAACAGCTGAGGAATTTCCTACAGGAAAGCGTACAGGTGTGGAAACCCCAAAGGTGATTCCCCTTTGAGAGAATTGCATGTGAGGTGTGGCAATATAATTCACTACACGCTGCATGACTGCTACTTTATACTCAAACTGAGACTCAGAAGAGAAGCTGGTTTAATTTCTGTGTAAACAGTGCAGGAAATACAGCTGTAACTTGTTAGCTCAAGATGGAACAATGGCAAATGAAGTCACCCTGAGCTGAGGTGGGAAGAGCAACTGGTGGGAAATTAAGGTTAGAGGCTCTTGTCCAAGTTCTAACCTCAAGATGGCTGTTCTGCCAGTCCGCCAATGCATGTAGGAATATGCGGAGCAAGGTGAAGAAGGTTGCCTTGAAGGAAGGAAATGACAATCAGCTTAATCTTAAAAAGCAAAACTCATATTGGCTGCAGCATAGCCAATGCAGATGTAATGGAATAATCTTATCTTCATGTGGTACAGTCTTAAACTATCTGATCTAATTTGTCCCCGGGGGAAAGAGATGAAATCCTAGTTACTTAGTGATGAATTGGGAACAGGTGGTGCAAGATAGGAAGCAGAGACTTTGGTTTTAGCTGGTTGACTTGTATAGTGTTGGTGTGTGTTGAGTAGTTCATACTGGCTTCAGCCCATGACCCTGGTCACAGGGAATTGTGCCACATCCGTGGGTGGCTATGGAAACGAAAGAAGGCTGGCGTGGAACTATCATTCAATATTTTTAAAGAAGAAACCTGCTAGGATTCACACTTAATTGGATACTGTGCCCTCTACCAGTCTTGCAGCCTGTTCCCAGATGTATGCAGGCTAGTTGGGTTCACTCAGGAATCCAATAACATCTGGAGGGCCACAGGCTTCTCCATCCCTGCTTTACTGCATTTTAAGATTGATACTGACATTGCATGGCATAGACATTGCTCTGGAGCTGACTGAGGACTCCCAGGTAAGTTCCACCCTCTATTCTGTGTGCAGGGCAGTCCTAACCGTACCTCGTCAACTCCCCTAGCAACACCTCCCCAGCTGGGATTGGTTAACTGTCTGAGGTTAGGCGGGAACCTCCAGGTATCCAGCTTGGGGAGGCGAAGCCAGTCTGACTTGCCGGGGATCGTGTAGGGTCAGGGGGCTGCGTGGGACCATGCAAAAAGTGCCCCCAATTTGAAGTGGGGAGCAGTCATTTCTAATTTAGGGTTTGAAAACAAAAACAGCTTAATCACAGTATTCTATATTTTTGAGACTATGTCCACTATAAATTACCGGTATTTAACTCCAGCCATTTGAGCTATTGATCATGGTTTACTAGCATGAGTAGCCAACCTGTAAGTGGCCATAATAGTAAAGAAAGAAGGCCCTGATTGAGGTCGCCCATCTGAGGTTGAGTGGGCTAAGGGGCTAATCAGGATAATTATGTAAGCAGGACCATTAAGCCTGGCCCAATATAGAAGCATCATGTAGTTCTGGTGCAATAAGAGGCCAATGCTAATAATGATGATGTCCAGAATTCTCATTACTGACACACTGTTGTGGTTGTATTTCAGAAGAGGATGAGCTGGAGGAGACAAAAGACATCGCTGTTCGTGTAATGTCTTCTCAGTCCGTGCTTGTTACCTGGACAGATCCCATCTATGAGAAACAGAAGAAGCCTGTCTCCTCTAGGTACTAGAGATTATTTTGTTTGCATCTAGATATACCAGAGGTGTTCCAAGTCCAACCTGTATGAAGCTACTGAAAGATGGCATGGTCAGGGGATCACTTCAGGATAAAATAAAGCGAGTGGTTTCATACCTTCCTTTGCACATGAGTAATAAGGCTGACCTGTACTAGTGCCAATCCACAGCATGTCTGGTGCATCTTGGTGGGTATCTGACCTCAACAATCTACAGTGTACTGCCTAGCAGACTGATGTCCCTTTTTCATTGCAGATAAGGTGTGAAAAGTATTGTTGTGGATGGTCATGCCTTCATTTTCCAGAAGTGGTATTGTTTTTCTTCTATTAGGATTGTTTTTAATTCAGCACATGAAATAGATGAGGACAGGGAAGAGAGAGATTTCTATAAAAGGCCTTGCAGAAGTTGCCTTACCCAGTGCTGGCTCCATATTGGGGGCCACCCCGGAAGTCCCCACTCTTGCTTTTCCATTTGGAAGTGTTTTTTCAAACACCTCGTGCTGGAGCATTGAGCAAAGACAGTGAAACTTAATTGGAGCTGCTTGTGCAAGCTCTTACAGAAGCACTAGAACCATTAGGGTTGCCATATTTTAAAAAGTGAAAATCTGGACACAAAAGTTGTTGAGCTTTCTTGGGCAAAATTTTGAGCTTTTTTTCGGTCAAAGTTGCTGAGCTTTTTTGGAAAAAAATCATAAACACAACATTTTTGAGGTATTTTTCAGGAAGATCAACAAAAACGACACTGCCGGCATGGGTGCTGCCATACGTCCAGATTTTCCCAGACATTTTGCCATTTTCCGTCCGGACACTGCTTCTGACTGCAGTATTCTGGGTGTGTCTGGGAAATTCCAGGCACTATGATTTAGTGTAGAAGATCATGTGACACACGATCAGTTTTAATGACACTCCTGTGTTTGAGGAAATGTGATCATAGCCTTATTATTGTGACTCAGAATTGCTATGTCCCCCCAAACATTTAACTTGTACTTCTGGTGAGTATAGTCCAATGGACTTGTGATGAGCTGAACAGTTATGGTTGTGCTTTATATCTTGTGACTGTGGTTAACAGTGCATTCTTCCATGTTTTATTCTAAGGCAGTACACTGTCCGTTATCGAGAGAAAGGGGAATCAGCGAGGTGGGATTACAAACAAATACCCAACAGAAGGGTGTTGGTAGATAAACTGATTCCAGACACCATGTATGAATTTGCAGTTCGAATCTCACAGGGAGAAAAGGAAGGCAAGTGGAGTGCCTCAGTTTATCAGAGAACCCCAGAAGCTGGTATGTATATTTAAGAATGTGATTTATACGAGTTAATTGCTTGGGGTTGGATCTGCGACTACTTGGGGCTGCTTTACACAGAATTCTACACCATTCAACATCTCATTTCTTGTGTCAGCAATTGATTACCCAACTGAAAAGAATTGTGTTTGAGGGCCATATATGAGATTCCACCATATGGGCACATGCTGCCCAGACGGATTTCATGGGAGGAATTCAATGTGTTCCATCAGCACAAGTCTTGACTGATGGAACAATCCCCCCTCTTCTCTCATTGTGCATAGTTCTGGGAGTTCTCCTGACACCCCCTGAGCCAATTTGGGGATGGGCATGAGGGAGCGCAGGGGGAGGAAAAGGGGAAAGCCCCATTGTACAACTGGAAGTCATAGCACAGGGCTTCCACTGATGGGACTCGTCAGGTGAATCCTGCCGTAATCATTTTGCTCCCCTCTCTCCTACTGTAATATCTAATAGCACATATCTCGTGCTGTGATGTCACACCATTCTTTATTTCTGTCCCCAACTCACTCTACATCATTGCCCCTTGGAAGTGGTCAGAAAATGTGGAAACTTCATAGCATGGGCAAGTTTTAACAGGAATAACAGAGAATGAGGAGTAGATAAATGCACTTCTACGATTTTGGGTGAAAGGTGTACATTTTACTGTGATGTTTCGTTTGGGCCCTAAACTCACATGAACATTTGTGAATGATGGTGTCAGTGCCATATACACAAGTAAGAAAAAGAGGCTGGTTTTGTTCGGGTTCTTTTAGTCCAGTCTTTCCCATCTTTGTTTCCTCCAGTTGTTGTTGGACTCCAGCTCCCATCATCCCTGACCATGGAACATCCTGGCTCAGGGATCATAGAGTCCAAAAACACCTGGAGGGAACCAGGTTGGGGAAGGCTGCTTTAGTCCATTTCCAAAGTGTTTTGCAGAATCTGGATTTTTAAAACAACAACAACAACAACAACAACAACAACGCAGCTGATAAAAATGGGGATGCTTTCAAATTGCTTCAGGTGGCACCTACCTCTTTTCAAATGCCTGGATTCCATCGCCCAACTCCATTGCTTATTTTCACTACTCCTTTCCCCCTTTTTCTTCTTGGTCTGTTGTATATGTCACAGCTCCCACTGGTGCTCCAGAAAACCTGAATGTTTGGCCAATCAAAGGCAAAACAGCCACTGTTGCTGCTACCTGGGATGCTCTTCCAGAGAGTGAAGGAAAAGTGAAAGGTAGGTGGCGACCACATAGATATTACTGTATGTATAGCAGAACAACTGTAAATCACCTTGAAATTAATATGAAAGGCAATTAATACATTAACAAACTAACATGAAAGGTTCTAAGCTCCAGCTCAGGTAGAGCCGCTGAGCAAAGATGAAGGAAACCACATATTCAGTCCTGAAAATCCAGTGGCTATAATGTACTCAGCTTCTGCTTGTGGCTTGAAAATCCTGCTGCTCTGCTCTAGGTCCAGGGCTGGGGGATCTGTGGCTCTCCATATCTTCTTGAACTCTGACTCCCATCAACCACAGCCAGAATTGCCAAGGATCAATGTTGATTGGGTTATAGTCCAACAACATCTAGAGGGCTGCTGGTTCTCTGGCCTTGTTCTAGGTAATATGCTCTTATTGCCTGGTGGTCTGCTGGCAGGCTGAAATGTCTTTGGTTGTTCGCAGTGCTGCAAACAGAGGACTTTCAGCTGTGGAACATTTTGACCTTGACTCCTGAGTGCTCAGCTACACCGCAGATCTAAAATGGCCTGGTAGATTTTCCTTCTCTCCCATGGCTTTTAGTTTTGTGAGGGACCAATAAGAGAGAATTCCCGCAACTTTCGTTGAGCCACAATCCTTCAGATTTTCTTTGACTGCTTGATTCTCTTTGCAACCTTTGTTCAAGACATTTCTAGCCATCAGCATGATCTATGCACAAGTTCCAAATTCTACACCATAACCCCACATAGAGGGGTAGGTTGTGCAGACAGACCAGCATGGAACCAAGGTGTGGGTCAAGAATGCTGAACTGGAAGGGACTGGATTATACAGGGTCGTGAAAGCAGCCACAAGAGAGGTCTATTTTTAATTTGCACAGATACTCTGACTCCTTCTGTTAACACTAGATGAATTTTGTTCATATATCCAAATATTGCCTATTTTGGAAGAACACGTGCCCCGTATAGCTATTGCTGGCAAGCCGTGATGCTATGTGTCCTATAAACGGCTGGTAGAGTCTATATTTTTCAAAGATAGTATTATCCACTTGTCTTTATTTTGAATTTTCTGTTGTTTTGAGTTATCACCATAGGCACCACTTTTTATATATACAGAAGCAAATTCTGAATACAGCAGCTCATGCAAAGCAATTGCTCTACTTTTGGTACTGCAGAAAAGGGACTGAAGCTGTGGGATCAAGAATTCAGAGTTAAATTCTGTAGAGGAAGCATTTTTACACAGCAAATCAGTTGTGGAGTGGAGGGGTTCATGTGATCTTTCTTTGGGGTGAATGTAGAGTTGGGGGAGGGCATTAATGTCTCTTACAAACTGATTGATTCAATTTGAATCTAAAGGGAAATCTGTCAAATATTCACTTTCCAAAATATGGGAAGCAAAATACAGTAATCTTCTGAAATTCACACTTCTCTTAATTTTGCAGCTCTGTCCTCCAACAAACCAGCATTTACAAAAATGCATATATTGGGGAGGGTGTATAAAAATTAATACATAGGTGAAAATAACATACAAAAACAAATTCTATTAGAAAAATGGTTTGGTTGCAAAAATGTGTACGTTACTCAAAACTGCATACAGAAATGTGTTTATTATAAGAAATTCACATCAAAATGCTGATGAGATTTCATGAAGATTAAAAACAAACACAAATTGTGGCAGAAACCTGGAGAATTTAAGATCGGAAAAATGAGAAACAGAGAGAACCAAAATGACATGTCCTTCTGGTGTGAAGCCAAACTCCAAAGTGAAGCATTGTGAGCACAAGCGCCAGATGAGTCAAGTGGCAACAGAGAGGAAAAATACTGTCCTAACCTACCTATTGCCTTCCTTCTCCAGTTAACGGTCTCATTGATTCCTGATCTGAAGCCCTGCTGCTTCCCATGCTGTTGAGGAAGTGCCAATGCCTTGTGTCACTGTGCCCCAGTTTCTGAGAGGGATGATGCTGGCTGGCATGAGGAGGAGCCAGCAGCTATGGTGTGGGCTGCTTTCATGTTGCCTTACCTTGGCAGTGCAGAAAGGAGCACATCTTCATTGCTATCGGCACTGGGTTGTATCCAGTGAAGTCATCTCATCTGCACATTGACTTCTGCTTGCAAAACAGAACTTTTCTTCCCTGTCCTCTCCCTACCTCCTGCAAATCTGCTCCAGAGATTTGCAAATCTACAACAGATTTGGGGGCTGGCACACAAGGAGAGAAGAGGAAAGAGAAGTTCTGTTTTGCAAGCAGAAGTACTTGTGTGAATGGGACAACTTTGTTGGGTATAACTCATAATTTTAAAAGGTAATAGTAATATCTAAATGCAACTCTAAAAATGACATAGAGCCGTTCTTAGTTATCTTTACATTTAGGGCTGGTTGAGGTGTAAGGCTCTAAGATATCAAATGATTGACACATCAAGCAATAGCTGGAAGAGTTAAGAGTGCACATCTGGCTTAAACCTTCCCATGCTTGATGGCATATGATGTTGAACCAGGGAAAGGTGGGCATGGTTCACTGAAAATGGCATGGCAGGCCAACCTCAGAGGTCTGGCAAACCTATCTAAGCCCATGGGCCATGGGTCCATCAGCATTAATATATAGCCATGGACTATGTGCCTTTTATGAACTCTTTTTTTAAAAAAAATAAACAGCTGATTCACTGTGTTATTTGCAAAATCTTATGATGTCCAAGGTAGGGGTGGTAATATAAACGATAAATAGTGAGTGAGAGAGTTGGGTATTTAGTTAAATATATTTGGACATTTGCAACTAAAAAGGCTGACGGAATGCTTGCTCAACTTACTATGTATATGATGTCTTTGATGCCCCAGCTGTTGACTTGACGTGCATTGCCAGTGTATTAATTTTAGTAATGCACGTTCTAATTCATCCTACCCATACAGTCTGTCCGCTGGAAACAGGATTGTTTTCAGTTTCCTCCTTCCAACCGTCTGCCAAATCATTTCAGAATACATTCTCTCATACGCCCCCGCTCTCAAGCCCTTCGGAGCAAAGTCCATTTCCTACCCGGGAGATACGACATCCGCCCTAGTGGAAGATCTGCAGCCTGGGGAGCGCTATATTTTCAAAATTCGTGCCGCAAACAGGAGGGGCCAAGGGCCTCAGTCTAAAGCCTTCAGTGTTGCCATGCCAGCAAGTAAGTATGATGTTGTCACAGTTCAACCAGCCAGTTTCCTCTTTGCTATTTTGCCCTATGTTCCATTAAAAGCCATTGGATCGCTCTGGAGTGGTGACTTTGGAGTGGGTGGGCCATGTAAACATTTTACAAGTTGGCTAAAGTATATTAGATTTCAGTGTAGAAATGGACATTCTCATCAGAATTCTACAGTTGCCTTTAGAGTGCAATCCTGTGTCGATGGCTGATTAGGATGCTGCATAGTCACCTCTACATTGGCCTCCATTAGCAGAGAGAGCTGTTGCCAAATTGGAAGGTGGGGTGGCTCCACCCATGGGGGCCCTAGCTTTGGCCAGCTAGTAGGAAGCTACCACTACTGTTTCTTCTACTGTATCTAAAGCCCTGCAGATTCTGTGAGGGGACCAGCCTGGTACTGGCATAACAATTTTAAAGTATTCCATATATATATATTTATATTATATGTGCTTCCCAGTCCTGTTGAATGTTTGAAATGGCCATTTACCAAGACAAAGGTCCATCTCACTCATTATTGTGTATTGCCTGGCAGTGTCTCTCCAGGCACCGAGCCACAGTCCTTGCACCCTGGCTGGCATGAGATTGCAGGGCTTGGGATGTGGTGGTTGATTGAGAACCTCACTGCTTCCTGGTTTGAATTGTGCTGTTTGTCTCTGAGATGGATAGATTTGATCTGCAGTGGCATTTGGTTTTTGGCATGCAGTGGCATTTAATTGTTGACATTTCACAACTGATTCCTGCAAAAAGCAAAACAAATGAAAAAGCTTACAAGTCTTAGGCCCTCACATTTCAAATTAAAATTTTGTCTTAAAATGCAACCTCATAACATTTCAAATTGTCCATTTTTTACTATTTATGAATATTCATTACTGTGTTTATTCCATGGCTATGTGAACGAAAACTGTAGATTTAGGACAGGGCTTTGAATCACCATAATTTAAAACATGGTTTGGGGTTGCTGCCAGAATGTTTCATTAGGCAAGCTATTTTCATTTTCTTTTAATAACAGTTGGTTACTTTTATAGATTTCTATTTAATCTCCTTCCTTCCCTCTGCCCCTCTCTTCTGTTGTAGCCAATATAGGTGAATCAAGTATTGATCAACAAACAAATATTGAAGCAGATTTGGAACCGAAAGCATCTAAGAATTCTGCACCTTCTTCCTCTGTTCACACCTCTTCTGCCTCATCACCGTCCTCTTCCTCTAAGCAAACTTTGGGTCATTCATCCACTTTTCTCGGTGGCAGAGATTCAAAAAGTTCTGCTTCTGACTTAAAGAATAAACTCCTAGCTGGGAGCAGAGTCCCTACCAAGTCTCAGGTGTCTTCTAGAAAGGGAGCAGAGCTAGAAACTGATTCTCTCTCCAGAGAAGACACTGCTGACCACAGTCCCTCCAAAGAAGCTGCAACAGTGCAGCCACAAAATCAGGATGTTAAGAGCAGTGTGAAGTCACACTCCCCAATTAAACCTCCACACTCTGTCATTTCCTCAGGTAAAACACCTCATAGGTCACGCACACCTGTAAGAACAGGGCAGGCAAGCACTGATAAGCATCGGTCATCACCACCCTCCCTCTCACCACACCCTTCATTACCTTCCATTCCTAACTATCCCAAAATTGAAGCAAAAAATCTAAGACAGAGCAGCTCTAAACTACCTTCTTCCCATGAAGTCACGCTGGATAATCTGCCGGTTGATAATGAAAGTAATGATCAAGTTGACAGTTCAGAGGAAAAACCTAAACCTCCAGAAGTTAAGCATTCAGTTTCACATTCAAATCAACAGCCATCTGGATCTCGGAAGGTAGTTCAGAATCACCCCACAAAACCATTCCTTCCTTCTGTATCATCTGCAGCCTCAGATTCTCAAAGTCATTCACACCATCCCTCTTATAAACTAGTTCCCCCTGATACCAGTGATGCTTTTGATGCTGATAAAAGCAAAGAAACCAAAAAAAGAGAGCAAAGACCAGGTTCTAGGCTCTCTTCTCCTCAGGGCAGTTCATCTGCATCTGTGCAAACAAGGCCTCTCCTGCACTCTAACCGCCATGTGCCACGAGATCCGAGAGTTTCTGCGGTTGCTGCTGCTGCTACTCATACTTTACCTCACTCACATAGCTCATCTGCTAAACGTAAGGCTGAGGGAAAAGAAGGTTCTGATGCTAATAATGGTGAAAATGATGAAGGAGAAGATGAAGAGAACAGAAGAAGGCCATCTTCTAGATTCAGTTCTAGGTCCTCTTCAAGTTTGTCCGCATCTGAACGCTTTAATTTGTTCAAATATAGATCAGCCCTTACTGCCAACAGATTTGCCAACAAAGGCAGTAATATATATGGTACCAGGACTCCACCCCCAAAAGGCCCCTCTACTACACAGTCCTCAAAGGTTCAACCTCAGCCCAGTTTACGTTTGGCATCAGGCAGTAATCACAGGTCCAGTTCCAATAAAGACAAAGAACTGGAGGATGAAGATGAAAGTCCTCTGCCTTCAACTCTTCCTAATGCTTATTCACCATCCTTTTCTAAACAATCTTCTTCAGTGGACTATACCAAAAGGAGGAGTTCTCTGGCTGAATCTAAGAATCATCACAGAGTTATACAAGAAAACTATAGCAAAGAACGAGAAGCTACAGATATAGATTCTTCACTTAAAGTTCAACACTCTGATGCTGTGTCTTCAGTGTCTAGCCAATCCCCTTCATTAAGCAGAACAAACCATCATTCTGGTGTTTCTTCTCAGTTAACAAATGGCCATAGTTCAAGGTCCAGAGGTTCATCTCCATCTTCTGATTCTTTATTAAGGACATCTATGGAAAAGTCAGTTCCTTTACAGCCTCCTGCATCTAAATATCAACCTGACCATCTTGAGAGCAAAGATACACCTCCTAAGTCGAAGCAAGCCTCACCTTTGTCTAAAAAACCATTGATGGGAAGGTCTCATGCTTTATCCCGTAAAACTCTTCATCCAGAAACCAGCTATTTCTCAAAAGCATCAACGGATCAGTCGCAACATTCAAGAAGCCACCTTACACTATCATCCCACCAGAGTAATGAAAAACTAGAAGACAGAGATGATGACAGTTTGGAGGAAAACTATTATAAAGAGGCAAGTGATAAAGAGGAACAGAAGGGTTCTTATTCAATACCTGCCAAAGAAGTCTCTCCATCTAGGAGAATATCTCAGGGAAGAACCAGCTCTCTTTCAAAGCATTCTGAGTCTCAGACCAGTAAATCTGGGCAAAGATCTTCAACTCAGCGAGAGTCTTTAACCTCCTCCAGAGGTTTAGGTCTGTCACCAGGAAAACATACTGGGTCAAAGATTATTGTATCTAGTGAAGATACATCTGATGCATATAAATTGCCTGCATCTCCCCATCAATCCAAATCTGTTCAGCCAGCATCTACCTCTAACAGAGACCTAGACAAAGACCATCACTACAGCAGAGAAACTTCTTTATTTTCAAAATCCTCCTCTACTTCTCTGAGACAAACTCATCCTTCAGCGTCCCATTATCCATCTGGCTCCAGAGTCCCTACTAGGACATCATCTCACACAGACAAAAAATATGGACTCCTGCAGCCAGCCCCAACAAAAGTTGAACTTTCTCCCAAAATGTCATCCTCTAAAACACATCAGTTGATAAACAGTGATGTTGATTATGAGGATTATGACCAGTCAGAAATGGAGGAAAATCCAACATCTCCAGCAGCAAAGTGGCCATCTTCTTCGGTTTCTAGGGGCAGTCAAAGCCTAAATAACAATGTTGCTGGTGATAAAAGTAAATCACCAAACCCTGCATTGCCCCCCAAAGCAAAATTTGCTGATGAGGAAGTGTACAAACAAGATGAGGAAGTGTACAAACAAGATGAGGAGGAGGAACAGGAACAGCCCACTTCTAAAACATCCAACACTGCATTGAGTAGATCTACTGCTTTAACTTCCAGGTCTTCCCAGTCTTCTAACAAACTGAATACATTGCCTAAAGTGAACTTGGCTTCACCACGTTCCTCTGGTTCTTCTTCTGGATCTTCTCAGCTTCATCCCAGTCACTCTGCTTCTCCAACACATTCTTCATCCTCAGTGTCCTCCAATCAACGAACACAAAACTCAAGGTTATCCAACCCTTCTCAACGACAGCAGCTTAGGCTTCCTAACAGGCAAGGTAATGCATTGGTGATGCTTGTATTAATGCTTGTTAACTGGGTGTTCCTCCCATCCTAATCCTTTTATGGAGAAAATGTGTTATTATAAGATGCTCCCAAACGTTATGCTTTGAGATCCCATCAGTGGATATGGTTTTGTTCTGAAACTGTCTATCCGTTCACCTACTTTGCTAAGGGGCTATTTAATTCCTTGCCTCATTTTGGCCCATCCCCAAATCTCATTGTTCCCAGCTGGCCATTTCTCTCATAATGTCTCACTAGTGTGTCCTAATTCACTATTTCTGCAGAAGATTATTCAATTCAAACCTAATGTTAGGTAGACCTGACCACTAGTGGGTGAGTATTCAGAGACTTTCATAGTTTTTTTCAGGGTATGTCCTGATAGGTCAACTGAATTTTATTCCTTAAATTGATTTATTATTAGTCACACAAATCCTGTATATCTAGCTAGTATGTAGAATTTTGATGAAAAACAGACAAAAAACATCTGCAGGTGAAATCTACTATGACATAAGAATATCCCATGCCTAAATATAATGTGTAAAGAAGCCCATAGTAAAATCGTAGTGGTCCCTAATGTCAGACCATAAAAATCACAAATCTGTACCAGTGTGTTGGACATATATCCAGTTTATTCCCGCTGAATATAATTGGGCTTGTATAGTTTAATCAGTGTATGTATGCTAACTGTTAGAATCACTGCAAGTTGCTTTTTAAACCTGCATCCCAATAGAATACCTGCATTATTTCATAAATGAATATATTGTACAAGTATGTATATAAAATACATTTATATGTTAACATATGTTTTATTAAACAGCTTTGGGGTTTTATAGTTTTATAGTTTTTTATAGTTTTATAGCATACCAATTTTATTAAATAAATATATATTGTGTTATTATAAATATTTGGAACTATAATTTTACTGAATGGACAGAGTATAGACAAAGTAATGGATAATGCATGCTTTGTGTTGCATATATTTCAGGAAATGGTGGCAGGCCCAATCTAACCACAAAACCAGATCAAAATAATAAAGTAGTCCCTGGTACAAATGGAAAGCGAAATGGACAGAAAATAATAAATGGTCCACAAGGAATAAAGTGGGTAGGGTGACCTTATTTGAAAATCCAAAATACTTTTAAGATTTAAGGTTATATTATTTCATGTTGGAGAGCCTTTCAATCTACACATTGCTTTTAGATTGTAGATCTTGACCGAGGGCTGGTGCTGAATGTTGAAGGAAGGTACCTCCAAGATTCCCAGGGGAAACCTCTCAGAGTGAAATTAGGAGGAGATGGCCGGACTATTGTTGGTAAGCAGCAATATGAACATGGGGCGGAATGTGGGTTATTCAGAGTATGGGTTCTTGTAACACAGGAGGGGAGACCTGTGGCTCTGCAGGTGTCACTGGACTTCAAACCCCCTCATTATCCATGACCATTGACTATGCTGGCCAGGACTGCTGGGAGCTCAACAACATTTGAAAGGCTGCATCTTCCCCATCCCTGTTCTATTGAGTTACTTGATACTTTTTTCTATCTGATGAGCTGAAGAGAGCCCATTGGCATAGCAATCTATACAATACAAAACTATGAAAAGGATGGGAGATTGTGTTTGTGTGTTTGGTATTCTCTAGATACCAATGCAGCATGCCAATGAATATCATTTGCTGGGAGCTGCAGGTGAGGAGAGTGCATTCAGGTCATGCTTATGGGCTTCCCATGAGAATATGGTTTGCCCATGTGAGAACAAGATGTTGGACTAAATGGCCTTTGGCCTGATTCAGCGTGTCTCTTCTTAAGTTACAGGGCAGCCCCTACATGTAGCTAGCTTTGTTGCAACAGAAGTATGTACCTATTCTTCCTAACAATCCCTCTGCTCCCGCCCCAGTAGTCCCTCAAAGGCCACGAAGCAAAACTTCATGGTATTAACTGTATCTGAGGTAAATTTTTGTCTTCTTTTGTTCTTTTAGATTCCAAAGGAGCTCCTGTAGTAAGCCCAGATGGTTTGCCGTTGTTTGGGCATGGGAGATTTAGCAAACCTGTAGCAAATGCACAAGATAAACCAATCATCAGCCTTGGAGGGAAGCCCCTGATAGGCCTTGAAATGGTTAAAAAAACAACCACTCCTTCCACCACAACAACAACCGTGAGGACAACTACTGCAACTACTACTACCACTCCTGAACCAACCACTCCTGAACCAACGACTACTGAGCCACCAACTGAGAAACCACAGCCTACCTGCCCGCCTGGGACTTACGCAGAATATGATGAAGAGGGGAATATTGTGTTAGGATTTGACGGTCTGCCTGAATGCAATTCCGAAGGTACTGACTTTTATGCTAGTTTATGTGTATATGTATGTGGCATTTCTATTTAAATAGTTCCAGTCGCAGTGCAGACAGGTAAGATTTGGGTGACAGGTACCTTATATGAACACTGGCCATGGATGAAGCAACAAACCAAGATGTGCCCCCTCCCATTTCCTACCATTTTCTGTTGTGATGAATCATCATGTTGCTTGAGTTAGCAGAGATGGAAGAATATTGCATACCATCCTTTAAAACCAGGAGGAGAAGCACATCCTGGTCTTTAGTTGTGTAAAACTAAATCTCCTCCCTAATGAGTATTGGGTGGGTATGCCAAAATAGCACACAAACCTGCCGGCTGCTTTGTTGATAAGACATTAGGGTCATGGTTCCCAACGTGGGGCACACGCTCCACAGGGGGGCAATTTGATTTTTAAGGGGGCAATTTGAGAATGAGTTTTTAACAGTGAATGGCCTTTGAGGCTTCCTCCATGTGAACAGGAGTTCACTTTTTGAATAATAAGACTTATATGTCATGGGCATCAGGATTTTAGAGGTGCGTAGGTGGGGCCTGGCCAAGAAAAAAGGTTGGGGACCACTGCATTAGGGTGAAGACTTGACCTCAATGATGCGTTTATCATATAGAACAGGGAAGGGGAGCCTATGGTTGCAAGCTGTTCTTGGACTACAGCTCCCATTATCCCTGACCAATGCTGGTTGAAGCAGATGGTTGTTGAAGTCCAACAACATCTGGAGGGCCACAGATTCCCCAGGCCTGATATCAAGGTCAGCATCCTCTGCTTTATATCATATCCTTGCCACTGCCATCATGGAGCCCACCATTTACGATGTGGTAAATGCATGCCACTACTTGCCAAATGGTAAGAAGTTTGGTGAATCCCATTTCTTGCTGAGGGGAGTGGGGAGAAGTGTGGTAAGATTTGGGAAGTCTGTACAGATGACTGATTTACCAAGTGGTCACTTGATCATTTTTAGTGTTGCTAATCTAGTTTTGACTGTTTTTGTACTATGCACTAAAATTTTATTTTTGCACGTCACTTTGAGACTTCAAGGGAAATGACCAATGAATCAAATCAACGATTGTAAAGATGCACTATGGTAGGTTAACCACTCCATAAATATCAAGGCAGTCAGGACACTGAATGTGTATTATCTTGTCACCATCCGTATTATACCCATTCGAATTTCAATGCCTTCACCATGGAACACCACATCATGAAATGGCTTCCTGCATTTAGCCAGATAATAAAATACTCTTAAGGAATTACTTAGAAAAATGGCCACTAAATGGATTTAATATCAAGGAACAAGAGCGGGATGAGGATGGAGCACTTGGGGTAACAAAGAAGGGGTTACAAGAAAATAACTGACCATGAACCTGAAAGAGGAAGCAGAATCTCAGCAAGAAAAACAAGAAGGAAATTCTCTTCAAATTTGTACTAGGTGAGTAATCTCTGCCTGAGGGTGTTTTAAAAATAAATAGATCTGAATGAAATTATTATTGTTCGCTTGCACTATTGGCCGGGCTCTCTGGAGGAGAGATGAGGGAGCCAGCTGTGAACCACCTAAGCCTGGTGAGAAGATCCAGCCCCCTGCCCCTTGGTGTGCAAGAAAAATATTTATTAATTTTCTACCTTTCCTCCCAAACGAGCCCAGGTACTTTGTTTTGTTCTTTTGCCTGTTAGGGGCTATCTGCACTATACATTTTAAGCAGTACCATACCACTTTAAACAGTAATGGCTTCCCCCCTCAAAGAATTGTGGGAACTGTAGTTCCTTAAGGATGCTGAGAGTTGTTAGGAGATCCCCTATTCTGCTCAGAGGGCTACAATTCCCACAGTGGTTTAACAAGCAATTCCTCTTCTCCAGGAACTAAATAACAGCCAACTGCCTGGCACCAAGGGATACCTTTAGTATTTCAAATGTAATGCTTTGCATGAGCCCTTGTACATATTGTATCTGAACCAAACCAAGTTATAGTAAATACCTTTGTGATTTTCTCTGCACATTGCAATATTATAAAATTGAATTGTTGATTTTGTCTTATTTTAGTTTGTTGGAATTGGATTTTTTTTACATGTTATGTATTCTGATGTATATTGGTGTGTGTTGAGAGCTGCTTTTGGCACTGTGGAAAGATGGCATATAAATAAATTAAAACTGAAACTTAAACAAAATTTAAATCAGTAGCTGCCGCCACTGCCTTTGTAGCTGGAGTCAGTCAGAGCCCCATTTTCTCAGGCCAGGTGGGAATGAGCAAGACAGAAAACAGGGACCAGGTCATACAGGACTTGCAGCTAAATGTTATCCAAGTCTATGTCATTTTTTTTCCTCTCTTGTTTGCATCCATGATCTCAAGCCCCATGGGAACTGTGAGGCATATATGGAGCTCCAATATCAGTGAGGGGCTTTCCACATATATTGCATTGTTAGAGTCTGCTCTGTGGAACACAATGTTTGTGCAAGTGCACATATGTGATCAGAGCTGCTCCTCAAACCAAAATTAATGAATAAGCATGCAAAGACTTCTTGCTTTGGATACGTACGTGCTTAGGGTGATATCTGCCTAAGTAATATTTTGGAATTTGATTTCTCTCTCTGTGTGTGTATTCTTTTCAGCTACCACTTCTCCAGCTGGCCTGGCCCTAGCATTGCTAACCACACAATATCATTTATGGAGTAAAGCAAAACTATTGAGGGACTGATGCTCTGCAAAATAAACAGCTGTCCTTGTTGAGATGTCCAAGATTTCAAGGGCTCTTCTTCCTGTAATTCAGATGGAAGTGTGGAAAAACAGAATGCTGCCTGAGCTATTTTGCTTCTTACACACTGAAACACCTGAGCAGTGTAGCAATGCACCAGGAGTGTATGAACATTTCCATGAAGGATAAATGTACGAGCTCTGCTGAATTTAGGCTGGCTGGTTGACAGAAACAATAATGGAGAGAGCGTTGCAAAAAAAGACCACTACTCAAGAACCACATCTGAGGATGGATGCAGTCTTACATTACAAATATTGCTACCAAATGCAGTAAAAATTAGCCTGCTAAGAAAGTTCCAGAATGTTCTCTCAAGATGGAAAAACAAAGCAGCATACTCAATAGAATACACTGTCATTTCTCAGGAATCCGATATATTGACATGTTTCCAAACAGGCTAAGAAAATGTGGTGTGAAAAATGCTGCTGTGGGTTCTACTAACCCTTTGGTCCAATTTCCTGCTCAGGATTTAGAAAGATGACTTTACCAGATATGATTCTGTTTTATAGTCAGAGAATACACGAGGAGCCCAAGCTTATGTGGCACTGAAACTCCAGGCAGCTCAACTTCTTTGAGGAACTTTAGTCAACAAAGCCATTAAAAGCCACTTTTATAACTGCTGCTATCACATTACTGGAAAATATAGGCCTATAAACTTGAAGAACAGTAATAAGCATGAAAGTATTAAAGGACCAGTCTTTTCATATTTCCTGCATATCTGAGTTTCAGTAATTTGCTGGCTGTGTTAATTTTTCTTTTTTCTTTTAAAGATGCTTGGTAAAGCTAGTGTTTTTCTCAATTAGCTTTGTTCAGTGCATTCAGAATTCACTGGACTGATGCCCAATAGACTTTCTGTAAGCTTGTTGTGTGTGTGGGGGGGGGGGGGAGGTAAGTGAGTGGCTGGATGTACCGTCAGGGGACAAGCTTCAAGTGAAAATGATGTGGTTAATATGCTCGTAAGCAGAAATGCTGGCAACACTTTTGTAGAAGAATGAACCATTTTTCTGTTACTCCCTGCTCCCCAGGGTTTGCTTTGACATGGAAACAACAGTTACATTAATTAAACTGCTTTTGAAATATATAAAATGTAAGGGCAGAACCAGGAAATAAAATACTGGTTATGCTTCAGAAACAATGCTATTGCTCAGATATCGTTTACATCTGCTTGGTTGCTACTGAAAATTGAACTTGATCAGCCAGGCATTAACCATTTGCTTTACCATGAATCGGATTAATATTAACATTTTTTAAGCAGTGGATTAGAGTCTGTTTTATGAAGAGTTGCCATAAATAGGCTTTTTAAAAAAGTGAAATATTTGGGAATCTGGTTGACATCAAAAAATATTAACTTGTTTAAGGATAACTATAAAATGTATTATGATAGCACTGGATAGAAAAATATATGGCAAATATTACTAGGCTGTTATAGTCATATGTTTAAATCTAATTGTTTGCACAGTTGCGCTTCTTACAGAATAGTATCTGTAATTAATGTTTTAAAGGAAGGCATCCATTTAACAATAATCTATATGTAAAAGCCCCAGTGCCCAACATTCTGTCACTTTCTAACATAACCAAGGGACAGAATATACTAGAATAGAACTATGCAGATAAGAGCAAGTTGCTCATGAGCATAGCATCTTTACTAGCTCCCATACAAGTGATTATCTGTCATCCATTTGTACAGGAAAAATAAAGCTTTGCACTGGGTGCACTGTTGTTAGGAAATCTCTGGGGCAAAGGGGGACCTGCTTCATCCTTCCGATGTCTTCTTCTTTCCATAGATACATTCTCAGGGCTTGATGCAGATGTGGCGGGAACTACAGAGTCATATGTGATATACGATGGAGGTAAAAGTCCTTTTCTGAAGTGCTTTGAATCCCTTTCCTTTCTGCACTGTGATCTGATAGCATAGAGCCAACACTCAGGTCTAAATACATCTGAACAAGAAAATGTAGCTTGCTGTTCTGTTTTTAGTACTATCAGGCTCTCAGAACAACAACCACCTATTATTATTATTATTATTATTATTATTATACCACCGGCCTTCATCAGTAGATCTCACAACATAAAAATAAAAGATAAAAAACACAAAATACGTAATAAAAAAGAATAAAAACAAACCAAAAATTCCCACTCCCACAACACATTTTAAAGTGTATTGGATGGATGTCAATCAGCCAAAGGCCTGGTTGAAGAGAGGAATGTTTTGCCCAGCGCCTAAAGGTGTATAATGAAGGCATCAGCCAAACCTCCCTGGGGAAAGCATCCAACAAATGGGGAGCCACTGCAGAAAAGGCTTGTTTTCATGTTGCCACTCTCCAGACCTCTCGTGGAGGAGGCACATGATGAAGGTCCTCAGAAGATGATCTCAGGGTCCAGGTAGGTTCATATGGAGAAAGGTGGTCCTAGAGGTACTGGGGTCCTGAGCCATTTAAGGTTTTATAGGTCAAAACCAGCCCTTTGAATTGGTCTCAGAAACTAATTGGCAGCCAGTGCAATTGGGCCAGGATTGGAGGAATATGTTCAAATTGTCTTGCCTCGGTGAGCACCATCAGAAGTGATGGTGGCAGGTCCACTTGTGTAATGAGGAGCTTTTATTTAAAAACAAACAAACCTGAAATTGATTGATGGATTTCATGTTGAAACAAGGATCTGCTCTGATGTAGAAAGGACTGGGCTTATTCCAACAGCCAAAGGAATGCATGACTGAGGGTTACTGAAGTCTATCTCCATCCACTGCTTTACTCTTCTGTAACCTTGTGTACAAGTGCTTTTCTTTCGACCCAGCTCACTTCATATATTAGAGCTTGGCCAAAGAGGAAAGGGAGGCAGGGAGACAGACTGCAAGAAAGTAAGTCTTAGGCTTGGGGGTAGCAGGTGGGTAGTTTAGTTAGCTAGCTAATTCATTGAATTTCTGAATTGCTACCCACAACAGACAGTCCTGAAGCAATTTACAAGAATTGCTGTCTACATTTGACCTACGTCTTCTTTCTGCATAAGGGGGAAAGATCCAGGTTGTTGTTTTTTTAAATAAAAAACCTGATCTTATGATTTATCTGTTTCTCAGTTTAGTCTTATTTACCAAATCCTAGTTCTTTCAGAGTTTTTGTAGCAGGTATTCAGTTAAATATTGCCAAATAGAGGGCATGCATCACCCAAAGGAAGTGTGAAAAAGACACACATTTGCGTAAAGTGTGCATTTACTAATATAGAAGTACTATAATATGAATAAAAGTACAGTACATCTCACCACAAGACTATGGCCACGTGTACTTGCTCAGTGTGTTGTCCACATGCTAAATGTGGATGGGCAATTTCAAGGCTCCTTCTTTGCTCCCTTCGACTGAGCAGGCCTCATGCAGAAGATGCCTTCAAATAGAGGACTGCCCTCTGTAAAGTAGGGTACATGGTCACCCTGTTTCAGAATAGTATCCTTGGGCATGACCCAATTTTATTTATTTCATTGCAACATATGTACACTGTCTTCCTCCCCACAAACAACATTTGAAGTAACTAACAACAAGTGCTTAAGACGAGCCATTCAAACAAGCACAAAGGAAAAAGTGGATTAAGAGATGCAAAACAAAGCAGCAGGAAAGTAATGTTGCCAATAAAGCAAGTCACCACAAATTAAAACAGTCCCAGCTGCCCAGCTGCCAAACCTAAGCAGACACAACTTGGGCAGAACGAGAAAGGAAATGCCAAAAGCCCAGGTACACAGGACAGCCTTTGTTTGGCATCTAAAGGAAAATAGAGAGAGGACCAGGGTAGGGAGGCAGCAGAAACTTGATTCAGTTCACATTTGCGGACCCAGTTGCAGTGCCATCCACTCCTCGCTGATAACTAGATAACTAGACTCAGGCAAACACTGCGCTGCAGAAGCCATGCACGGCTAACCTTTTATGTGTTGCTATCTGGCTTGGCGTGGCAGTGGGCAGTAGCTGGCTGGCCAGCAAGGAATTCCCTCACAACCTGGGTCCTGATTGGCCCATTTGAACCTGGCTTACTGTGCAGGAAGTTACGCCCCCATAACTGTGCAGGCAGTGGAGGGAAATCTCCACCAGCCAGTGACCATGTGCCTTCCAGCTGCTGGGAAAGAGGTGGAGAGCGAGGGTCTGCAACCGACACCCGGCAGGAAAGCGGTGAGCGCCTGTTACAGGAGAACTTACCTGATTTGCACTTTCAGAAACGATATGCGAACTGAAACACAGTTGGCTCTTCTCCAAATTTTGCAGCGCAGTTCTCCAGCCAAGTATGCATAAAAGTCCACATATTAGTGTAGAAAAGATTAACATGCATTATATTAGGGGAAATGCTTTGCAAAAATGATCACATAATACAAACATGTATGTTGGGAAAAATTCACTGAGGAATTTTCATAAGGATGTTCCTTTGATGCCCCTCATCCTCTTTCTTATGTAGATTATGAGCTTTTTGAAACCACTTTGGCGCCCACAACCACCACAACCACTGCCGCGACCACCACCACCACAGAAGCATTGCCCGAGTTCAGTGTGGTGGGCTCGGATCCTCTGTTAGAATATGACGCTGCTGGAAAGAGGCGTTTCACTGGTAAGCAATCAGTAAGATTCAAAGACTCACGTGTTATCATGTTACTACTGTATCCTGTATGTTGTCACTAAGCAATGTGTTTTAGGAGGGAAGTGGCTATGAGTTATTTATTGCTTAGGATCTAGTAGCTAAATTATGGAAGCAGTCCCCCTTCTCAAAAGATAAGCAAACCCTCAGTTAAAGAACCTTTGAGGGGGAAAAAACACATTATGTTCACAAGCAGACTGACACATGGTAAAAGATTTTGATGACGATTAACCTTTCTTTATAAGGGTGTTGCTCTCACCCCTTGATCATTTGGTCAGTATGCCAAATTCTAACAGTACTTGGAAGAGAAATCAGCTGAAGAAATGCTGTCTTTAAGAAGAAGGAAACACATAATGCAGAAGATCTATTCTCGAATGGTCCAAATAGGGACACTTAAGTTAGAAATAGTGAGTGTGTGCATGTGTGCATGTTCCCACATTCTGATAGGGAAATATTTTCCTAAAATCAATATTCACGCCAGATGCAAATGCAGAAACTATTGACTTATAGGAAAAGAGATGGTCTATGCAGAAAGAAAGGTATGAATGATTCTCAGTCCTACATTTGCACTTCACCAGGCAAGTCATTTTCCCTCTTTTGAAACTGATTCAGCTTCATCTGGACTTAAATAGGTTTTATTGCTACACTTCTGCTCCAAAGTCAACCTTCCTGGAAGGGAGAAGCTAGAAAGTAATGAACTGAGTTTCATAGGATTTTCTTAACAGAAAGCAAACCATACTCATAAGAGAGGGGGGGGGGAAACAAACATAGAGTCAGAGATATTAAGATATTAAGACACTCTGCGTCTTGGTGTAATTGCAAACATCTGATACCCTGTTGTTTGAAATAATGTGTATTTGTTTCATTAAAGTTTGCTACATAATGTGAAATGAAGCACTCCTTTGAATTTTTAGTTTAGGCCTATAGGGAAAAGCCTTTTTTAAGGTGGGGGAGGAGAGAGAAATATTAAGATTTTGCAACAGTGGTTAGGACAAATCTTATCTCTGGGTTAAAAGTCCCATTGTACAAAAAGGAAAGGGGAGCAGCACCAAAAGTAGCTGAAGAAACAAAGAAGGAAGTAAACATTGGGGTGACAATAAAATTTCCCAACAGGGGTAACAGTTACAGATTCCTCAGAGTTCTCAATTGTGAGAAGGAATTGCTTTATTTTTATTTCATAAAAATTGTATACCACTTGATTGTAAAAACAAAAAGAAGCATTTTACACAAAGCTCAATGTACTTTTTTTATGGGCAGGTGCTTGCAAAGTATGCACTTTGTCTCCTTTCCTCCTCACCCGCTTCGGAAATAGCCAATGGAGGCCTCTGTGTCCTTGAAGGCCCAACTGGGCATTCTGCTTTGGGCTATCAATCTGTTTCTATTGTAAATTTTGCAAATTCACAACTGAACTGAGCAGCAGCGAGGCTTGCTTCTGGTGTGCTGTTCACAGAAATGGAAATGTTCACAGAAATGTTATGGATAGGCTTTGAAGTGTTGCTCCTCCTCAAACTGACGACAGACATTCTGCAGCCCCTGATTCTTCCCGACACTGGTGATTGATGAGGGCTCTGCAGGGACAATGATGTAAAATGTCCACCCCAGAGTCCTTAGATGTCACTTGGCAGAGTTAGTGACCTAATTAGTATTTATATATATATATAAAGTCATAAAATGGTTTTATACCAATCAAGACTTTGACTAGCTGTTCAGCTAATCTCTTTTGAGCAGTTGACTGGCCTCCCTCTCCTCTCCTGGACAGGGTTTCTCAGTCATTTGGGAATAGAGAGCCCTTGGAGTGTCTAAAGATAAATACATGACACATTCTGGAAAATAGCTCCCTGGAGGGCATGAAATCTAACAAGATAAACTAAGAACATTGCTCTTTTATAAACATTTCAAGGCATTTAAGGGGAGAAAGAGGAAAAAATTACCCATCTAGCAAAATCTGTAAACTGTCGCTGAATAAACATTTCCAGTGACTACAGTAAAACATCTTTCAACTTGAAGATGACCTTTGAGGGAATAAATGTGCCTATTAATTCCTGAGCAACGTTGGAGTGAGCATCATGTTGTTATAAAATAGAAATACAATTTATCGATTGTACGCCAAATGTTCATTCACACGTGTGTGGTTTTTTTTTTGGGGGGGAGACATTAATAGGCTTGGAGGGGGGCCAATATGGTTCTCCTCCATACCAGTTTGTATTCCTTTTCTCTCTTTCTTTCTTTTTAGTGTGGCTAATGTCTGTTTGCTACCACTGTTTCCCCTGACTACTGCATTTTCAGTGCCATTTTATGCCCTCCTTTCCTTGAAATGATCCCAACCAATCAGTAAGTGCAGCGGTGTTACTGAATGCAGACGAAGCTGAGGCAGAGCGAAGTCAGTGCACCATACAGAGGTCACTTGGCTGATCCAAATGACACAGGAACAGGTTGCTTATCCTCTAAGTTAGCAGGCCACTTTAGAAGGTGCAGAGTCTTACCCCCACTACTATTCCCCAAACAGGGATTATGGCATGATCACGCTCATTTCATACAGCCTCTTGCTTCTAGGTTGGCAACTGCCAGGGGAGCAAATAGAGTCCCTAAAGCAGCCAGAATTATCCCAGGGGCCACCAGTTGCTGATCCTTCGTATAAAGCATTAGTGCAACATCCCGCATTGCTGCTGAGCATCAGAAGCAAACCCTAATATGCACCAGTTCCTTGTTGCTCTCCGTCTATTGCCATCAGAATGTGGCTTAGTCACAATGAATATTTGCCATGCTGGTGGTTTCCTCAGCACTAGGTTTATGTGCCTTCTCATACCGCTCTAGGAGCTTTCCAGATGGCATCACTCTGTATCCTTGAAAATTTTAGCAAATGGTAGGAAAATACACAAATTCTAAATCCAGGAAATGAATGTCTAATTTACAGTGTTTAAAAAACAAATGTATACTTTATCTGGTTTGCAGTTTCAATACACTGGAAAAAAATTCTTTTGAACGTCGGGAATTCTTTTTTTAGTAATCCATCTGTCTGTACAAACTTTTGGAGTGAATATTCTCTTTCTCTGTCTCTTCCAGCTCCTTATGTGACTTATCTAAACAAAGACCCAGCAGCTCCTTGCTCTTTGACAGAGGCACTAGAACACTTCCAAGTGGAGAGCCTGGCCGAGCTCATACCCAGTGACCTAAAAGGCATAGAGATGCGTCCTCAGAATGCCCCTCACAATATCACCATAGTAGCGGTGGAAGGCTGCCATTCCTTTGTGATTGTCGACTGGGCTAAGCCTACTCAGGGGGATCTGGTCACAGGTACAGTTATTCCATTTCCTGGCCATTAATATTGGACTGGGAACTGCTGGTTGTTTTGTCTTGCACTGCCTACCCAAGCAAAGTCATTTTGCCCAGTGTAAAAGGAAGTAGTGGTAGATGAGGCAACTCTGATCACCACTTCTGGTTTTTGATCAGGTGCAAGGTACAGGGAGCTCAGCACAGTGCGGGTTTGAAGAAGTATTTGGAGTCAAACATGTTTCTAGCTGTTAATACTACAGTTGAATAAAACAGCAACCAATGCTCTGTTTCAGTTTTGGATTTGCCTAGGGGCTGCAAAAAGAAATTGCAGACTACAAAACCTTTCCATAACACCAACGTTATGTTATTTGGTGTTTTAAAACTTGCTAACATATTAATGACCGCATGCCAATGTCTCTGAAAATAGATTGATCTAGTTTAAGATTAGGTTAGTGGGTTGGTGATTTCCAGCTTTGTGAAAGCTCAAGAAAAGACTACCAGGTGCATTGGCTCAAAGCCAGCCGAAGAGAAAATAACATATCACAAATGCAATGTGGAATGTAAACAACTAATCCCAATGAAGTGAATAAAGAGCGTATTGTAAGCTGTGAAGATTGCTGCTGGACATGGACAGGTGGAGCACCTACAAGGTAATTCTGATAACCTGTGTGAAGGTGTGTCTGTTTGGGAGTTGCCAGTAGGCTTAGCTTTCTGCTTCAGTGCAGAAGTAGAAGAAGTGTCAAAGAGTGTACTGTTGAAAGAAGTTAGGATGGGGTGTGAATTTTCCTGTGCTGACATCACTCCTCTCCTACAAAGAGTTGAAAGAAAGAAAGAAAGAAAGAAAGAAAGAAAGAAAGAAAGAAAGAGAAAGAAAATGCCAGAAGTTAAAGGAGAGGCTAAAATACGCCCTCTCCTTTCTTTTCACACCTTTTTCACCTCCCTGCCCCAATTCTGTAACTGAAAGTTCTTTTCAAATAAAATTTTGGCTGAGTGATATTTTTCAAATAGTTGAAAAAAGAAGGAAAGTCTTGATCGGCCTTTCTTGGCTTCAGAGGAACTGTCTCCCCTAACAGGATCTTTTTGCCCCTTGGGGATGGAGACAAAGGGCAGGTAGGGGAGTAAATAAGTGTTCAAATGGATGATGGACATATTCTCCCCTTTCCTTGGCAGGATATTTAGTTTACAGTGCATCTTACGACGACTTCATCAGGAACAAGTGGTCAACTAAGACTGCAGGAAGCACTAATTTGCCCATTGAAAACCTGAAGCCGAATACAAGGTACTGATATGTTTTCGGAATGTAGTTTGAAATTGTTTGTGGCCTAATGATAAAATAGGTACGTACCGTACTTTTCTGTGTATAAGACTATGTTTTTTACTGTAAAATAATGTTAAAAATATGGGCTCGTCTTATACACGGATAGTATCTTCCCCCCATTTTCTTAAATCGGAGTCCCCCAAAATAGGAGGCTTGTTATACATGGGTGTGCCTTATAGATGGAAAAATACGGTATGTTAGTGTTAGGAATGGAAAATAATTTCACGAAAATAGAGTTCAGAAGTCACCAAGCCATTGAAAAACCATCCTTGTCACCCTCAAATTTCACCTTGGCTTGTATTGGCTCAGCACCAACTCTCTCATCTGCCAGTTCCCCTCCTCCCCTTTCCTTTCATAATGTACCAAATTGTTAGAGATATATGCATGTGGGGTGGAGGGGAAGCAGTCTATGCTAAAGCTGAAGGCTGCTCACCAACCGTTGCAGAATTTCTTCCAATGAGAACTCTGGAAACATATTTTAAATTCCTTCTAATTCATTTACCGGGAGGTGGGGTGGATTCTATGATTTCCAGAGTTCCTGTTGAGTGTGGAGGGTCCAAGCATGCTCAAAAACCTTCATTGCTGAGAGCAGAAAAGTTATGGAGGGCCTCTCGGCTGCTCTTTTTCCATACTTTCCCAGTCTTACAGGTTGGGTAGGAGGAAGAAAGAAAACTGGCAGATGAGAGGCCTACTAATGCTACAAAGCTGGAGAGGCTTTCAGCTGCCTTGCTGTCAATTGTGTGTGTGTGTGTGTGTGTGTGTGTGTGTGTGTGGCTTTTTCTAGCCACCATAACCAATTTCTCCATATGCATTTCCCTAGATGCTAAGATCATCAGAGGCAGTCCTGCTTTGGCAGTCCTGTTGTCATTTGCGAAGAAGGACCTTGCCTATTGTAAAACCTATCTTACAGTATGCCTTTCCTTGAGAGGTCCATTTTTTTGAATCCTTTAGGTGGTTAAAATGATTTTTAAAAACCTTTGAAGTATCTGGTGGCTGCTACTGAGTTTAATTGGTAACTCAACTACCCAAATCATTTGTTTTTTTTAATCAATCTCGGTATAGCTGGGGCAGAAGTATTGTGTTCAGTCTTGAAATTGTATTGGAATTGTCCTCCTTTTGGCACTTCTGAATTATAGCAATAACACACCCATACTGGGAGGAGATACAAGCAAAGATCTTGGCAGAGCAACTCCCACTTCATTAATCTGTTCAAACAAAAGCAGTGACACCCAATATAGGGAAATGGGGCTTTATATGATAGTCCACTGGGTTTATTAAAGTCTCCATTAAAGTGAGTGTATCATCACTTCAGTCAGAGATTACTGATGTCAAGCTGTTCCTTACGAACCAAGTGGCTTTTAATAGAGAAGCATGGGTATAGGAATACATAGGGGTGGGATGATTATTTTTCTTTGGCACAGAAACATGTGCACCACCAGCCAATATCATTTGTGTTTTCTCTGAACCCCACAGGCTGAAATAAATACATATCACAAAAATAGCTCCTCAACCACTGGCAATATTTCTGTAATTGGGCAAACACGAACTGGAAGATGGAGCTTGACTAAAACCATGTGTTCATGATTATGTCCATATTGTGAGGGGACTCTGATTTGGGGAAAGCAAGTTACCAAGGCTGGTTGTAGCTCTGAATAACAAGCATTTAGGATTGGGCATATGCATACCTCTCCAAAGTGGATTTCCAAGCTATCGTTTAGGTGAAAGTAAAGCTAAGAAAACTAGGATAGATATATTTCAATGCATTCAAATGCTGATGATTTAGTGAAATATATGCTAAAAGGAATACAACAACAACAATAGGTAGATACATGGATTTCCATTGCTTTAATGTAAGATTTAAATGCTTATTATTGTCCTGCATTTGTAAATCCTAATCTGTTTCCAAGACCTTATACGTATCTGAGGAACTGAACAATTCTGCAAGTCTTGCAAAGCCATTTGCACAGGACTCTGCAGGTGCCTGCACATCGCTTTTGGCTGAGCCATATATTTACCTGCTCCACACCTGGGAACATATATCACATCATGGGGAGATGTAGGGGGCATAGTTAGGCTCTTGGGCTGGAGGTTCCTCACCTCTGAAACATAGGCGTGATCCTGTATTGTGAGCAAGACAACTACATCATTCAGTCTTCCAGTTGATGATAGGGAAGGGATGAGCACTTACTTGGAATTTAACAGGGTAACTGTCATATTGGCAGCTGTTTCTGTAACAGCATCCGGGCTATGGAGCACCTTCCCCATATATATTTACTGGGTTACCAAATTTAATATATTTTAGGCACCAAGTGAAAGCTGTTTTATTTAGTTGAGCTTTGGGTGGGACTTAACTGTGGATAGTTCTTTAATTATGCCATTTATTCTGGTGGTTTCTGTTTGAGGTGGGTTTTGATTATTTTCTGTTTCATATTTGTATTTGGTTTGAAATCTTGGGAATGTTATGTCTGAGTGGAATATCAGTTGAACTCTTATATTAAGCTCACCAGGGAATGAACTTAATGGAAGTGAACCTCTGAGTAGACATGTATAGGATTATGCTGTTAGATCTTTTTTACCTAAGCTACCTTGACTACCATTTGATAGCAAGGTGAGATAGAAGCAAAGAATCATAAAGTTGGAAGGGACCCAAGGGTCATCTAGTCCAACCCCCGGCAATGCAGAAATCTTTTTTTAAGAAAAGAAATCAAGGCCATATATCCAACTATATAAATCAGCATGATTTCACAGTGGTACCTTGGGTTACATACGCTTCAGATTAAAGACGCTTCAGCTTACAGACTCTGCTAACCCAGAAATATTGCCTCGGGATAAGAACTTTGCTTCAGGATGAGAACAGAAATCATGCAGTGACAGCACAGTGGCAGCAAGAGGCCCCATTAGCTAAAGTGGTGCTTCAGTATAAGAACAGTTTCAGGTTAAGAACAGACCTCCGGAACGAATTCAGTTGTTAACCCGAGGTACCACTGTAGTATGTTTAGTACCTGATTCAACTCTCACCAACTAAAATTAAGGGCTCCTTTTGTGTCCAGTTCCTAGTTTCTCTCTGGTGCTATGAAATCACTTTTTAAAATGTGTTTTTAGAAACAGTAATTAAGCTGAGTGATGTTTTTAACATCTTGACTCTGGAGGGAGCCATGGTAGAACATTGCTGTTTGGAATAAATTCAAACAGTTGCAGTTAAATTAAGCACTTGTTTTACACAGTTGTGTGGTAATGTATTTTCATAGGAGAATTAATTATATTACCCCTTGCGTGTTCACATTCAAACACAACATTGCCTTGCCTTTCCAACATTCTGGTCAATGACAGAAAGCTTCGAAGGGAAGATTTGTGATGGTGTCTTCTCTGACTTTCCCGGAAAATAATTCGTTTCCAGTTGTTGGAATTGGAAAGTGTATACAAATAGAATGCGATTTGCCAAATATGACTGTAAATCATTCAGCGTTTCATTGGCTGCTTAAATTAACCCACAGCTCTAAGCCACAATATCTACATTGATTCTGGTGGTTTTTTTGTCCAGCCTCTGTCTGCATCAGAAGAGCCCTTGGGGCGCAAGCAAATCAGGATGAATTCCCATTGTCCTATAAGGACCCCTGGGGTAAAATAGTGCACATGTCTATCGTCACACATGAAAATGTGCAGAACTTTTGATTACAGGAGTGTATGAAATGGTGTCTGTGTGAAATGGTTGTCAGGGTGGAACTGGATGCTATGAGACCTGCCACCACTCTGTGTGTCCCTCCCTTCCATCTAAATTACTTAAAACATTAGCAGAAGGTGCCTTGAGTTGTCAGCACATTGTGCAGTGCTTGTTCTCCAACAGCCAATGAAGCAGAGTGGAGCAGCTTGCGGGGCAATGATGTTACCTGCGTCACGCATTGCATCAAGCTTGGTGATAAAAGGGAAAGAGGTACAGCAGTAGCAGTCAGCTCTGTGTCTCTTGTGACATCTAGTTCCTCCTTCAAGCAAAGATTTTAAAGCAGCAATATAAATAAGTGCATGGCTGAGTGCCTAGAAAGCAGCATGGGATTGCTATTTGTTTGCCATTTCAAAAAAAGAAAGAAAGTCCATTGGCAGTTCAGACTCCTGTTTTGTTGTGGGCAAGTCATAGGACTTGGATGTTAAGAGCTCCTGGCAAGCCTGAAGACTTCTAGCGTACGAGCCACTTGGAGCTCTCTTCTAGGATTTAAGCGGACCCAAGTGTTTGCATAATTACACCACTTAATTTTGTGCTCTCATGCATGGAAATTAAGCAGCTGTGCAGCTGCCAAGCGGCTTTCTCATCAACTCAGTCTCTGGTCTCACAAAGCTCTGTGGCCCATCTTCACATCCACAAGGAAGTATTTGTGGCCCATAGTGATTCCCATTGGGCATGGCTAAACTGCTCAGTCAAATAAACCTGAGTTGGCTTTTTTGTAAATTAAATTTGGGGGCACTCTTTTCTCCCCTTAAAAAATATTGTGTCCATTCTTAGGAATGTAGGAAGCTGCTTGGTATTGTCCTCACTGACCAGCAGCTCTCCAGGGTTTCAAATTTTCCTTATCCCCACCTGGAACTCCCAAGGATTGACTTTCCGCATGCAAGGCAGACACTTTGCCTCTGAGTTATCATATCAGAATCAACTGAAATATACTCGGAGTTGAGAGTGGATTTCATGCTCTTTATTCAGCTCATAGTGGTGAGGAGGAATGAAAGTTTCCCCAAAATATCTGCTTTATATACATTATTTACACAATGGGCTGCACGTGATTGGCTAATTCCGGGATTCTCCTGTAGGCCAATCAGGTTGTGGATTCACTTCCACCTGGAGCTGGATTGGGTGGCTCCTGTGGACCAATCATACTGCTGCGTTGTTCTAGGACCAATCAGACTGCTGCATTTTGGATCCTATTCTACTCAGTACATAACATCAACCATCTTGGCTCTGTCTTGTACCAGAGCCTGAGGTTCTTGCAGTAAATATGTCATAATTTAGACCAGGAGCAGGCAACCTGTGGCCTTCCAGATGTGGCTGAGCTCCCATCAACTTTAGCTGTTGGCCATGCTTTCTGGAGCTGATAGGAAGTGTGGCTTTGCAGCAACTGGGTGGCGACATCATCCCCACCCCTGGCATAGACATTCATCATGGTGGACAATCATTCGGCAAAAGCTGCTGCTAGAGAGAGTCTGTCTGCGGTGGTGCTGGGTGGACAGGTAGTCGCACCTGCTCCTTCCACTCTGAGCAAAAAGTATCCTCCTAGGTCACTTCAACAGCTCTTGCTCCTTGGTAGCTTTTGAATTCAAAGTGCACAGAGCCGTATCGCCATCCCTCATCACTTCCCCAGATTTGGGGAGCATGAAAGTTGGCGCTGGAGGCCTTGGACAACTTTTCCTCTCTTGCCATATACTACTTCAAAGGGATATGGTGGAGATAACATGAGATAATCCCCTATATAACACTCTGAGTTCCTTGGGGGCAAAGCAGCCTACGAATCTGATAGACAGAGAAATGAATTGTGGTGGCTCCCATCCCGACATTAAGGGGATATAGTTGGTTGCTTTGAATCCTAGCTTGCACTCCTTGAGCTGCGGAAAGCCCGTTCAGCCGCAGAAAAGAATGAGGGCCTATGTTTAAACCGCTGGTGAATGTTTCCACATTGCAATGGACTGTGTCAGGGAAACAAAGGGGAAGAAAAGAAAACATAGCTCTCCTCCGTTCCAAGCTTTTATGTGGTTTTCGTCTGCCACAGCTAGGATTACATGGAGAAGAAAGTTATGAGGGGGTTGTTTTTATTTTCCCTGCAGGCATCACACGGCCCTTAATTACATTCAGATCAGTTTGCAGACAAGTGGAAAAAATAATTAAACGTTGGTCATGAGAAAAGGAGATAGAAAGACTCGTGGCATAAAGATCTATAACTCTGTTGATGTTCACTGTGTGCCAGATAGGGACAGGGGAATAATTCAGATGACACCATCTACTGAAAAACAAACAAACAAACAAACAAACAAACAAACAAACAAACCAACCTTTAAGCAATCCCTTCTTCTTTGTGAGAACATAAGAAGAATCCTGCTTGATCAGTACAAAACTGTCATCCTGTTCTTGCAGTGGCCACCCAGATGCCTATGGAAAGTTAGCAAGCAGGACATGGGTGCAAGAGCACTCTCCCACTCTTGAACCCTAGCGACAGATATTCAAAGCCATGCTGCTTCTGACACTGGAAATCCTATCTCTCCTTGATTAGTAGCCAATGGTAGCCTTGTCCTCTATGAATTTCAAGCCTTGGTGGACCCAACTGAATACATGCCGCCATTGTGGGAAATGCCCATTTCTTCCTACTCTTGGCTTCCAGTTCTTTAACTAGTCACCAGTCAATAAGATTTCTCCTCTTCTCCGGTAACCGTTAGTTTTGCTCATGAGGGAGTCTATCAAAAGCTTTTTTAAAGTCCAAGTAAACAGTGTCTACACGCACACCCAAACCACATGCCTGATGACACTTTTTGAATTGTTGTTGTTGCTGTGAGTGAAACTAGATTCTAGTACATTGGCTTCAACTTGACTTCATCTGAAGTGCTTCTCACTACGTTAGAAATGCATAATGAAAAAAATGGAGTGGGTCCCAGAATACTGTACATGTTAGGGCTAAAGCTGGGTTTCAGGTCTGAAAAGGTTGAAGGCTACTGAGCCTTTGCAGGTAGGTCAGAGTTCGATGATGAAGAATAAAACAAATAGCTTGTTTTTCATTATTTTACAATACCCAGAGGCATATGTAATTAATTAATACAGTGGAACCTAGGTTTTAGAATGTAATCTGTTCCGAAAGACCGTACAACTTCCAAAATGTTCAAAAACCAAGGATCAATGGGCGGTTGGCAAAATCGATTGAAAAAAATGAAGAAATGTGCCTTGAAAGCCGTTTGACTTCCAAGGTGCGTTCAAAAAAGGAAGAAATTACTTCCGGGTTTTTGGTACTCGGGTTCCAAATTGTTCGGCTTCCAAGACACTCGAAAACTGAGGTTCCACTGTACAGCAATATTTTTTAAAAATCAAATAAACCAGAACTATGCACTGAGTGGAATCCAAAGTACTGGTTGGTCCTGGGTACCTGAAGATTTGCCTGTCTTCTCCAGGTACCCTTGCTGAGTGGAGTATGGCAGGTGCTTTCTTAAGGAAGGGCATCTCTAGGAAGAATATTCCACACTTGGTGCTCCATCACCAAGAAGGATAGCATCCCTGTCACCACATGCCAGGACTATAACTCAGTGGCTATGAGGCTAATAAATAAAGGGCATAGGCGTGTACAGAACACCTATGCCTTCCTAGTGAGGAAGCTCTGTGTTTAATACAACAGTATTAATTAGTTTTTGTATTATATGATTCCTAGTAATGGTGATGGATGATTAATAAATGTAGATTATATATTGATATTTCTTGATTTTATTTCATTTACATTCCTAAGAAGTGGGGCAGGGGTCGATGACAACTTTATATGCTCGACAAGGGGTCAGTGAATGCAGAAGCTTCTGAAACCCTGATGTAGACGATGCTGACCCAACTCAGCAGAAGTCAACTTTCTACGTTCCTAACCTCTGGAAGGGCAAAGACACCCAGAACAGGGTTACGAAGACCCTAAAGTATGGGCAGGTTCCTGAGAGGAAAGAGGAATGTACAGCAATAGGAAAGGAGCATGTCTATAAGACACACACAGCAAGGATGATCCTAGTGTGAGACCACCAAAAGTCGCCCTCCCAGGGTTTGCATAACCACTTCTAACCCCATGGATTTTCTGTCATATTTCCATTGGCACTAGAAGCAACACAATGGAACACAATGGAATTTTTGGTTATTATAGCAAGTTAGTTCTTTTCTTTGGGGATATAAAAATAGGCGGGGGATTAGCTTTTCATATAGTTGAGGGTGGCATGATAGGACCACTATTGCATACTTCTACACACTCATTTCATAAACAATCATATATTTTGTATTCTTATTGGGTTGTGTGTGTTTTTTGCAGCACATGCCATAAGCATTGTCTCCTCTATCATACCACCTTCAGCTCTCTGAAAAATGCCTTGTCTCCAGCCTTAGTAATAGCCTGGAGGCCTAGCATTCGGAACGGTAATTGTCTTAGGTTTTTCTAGGCAATGCAGCATTTAACCTAGTTAGAAGCTGAAAGGAATATTGCCAAGGGAAATAATCCAAGTTTTGGTGGCATTTTCCCTGCCTGAGCCAGTCAGTTAGGAAGGTCATGTGGTTTGAAGCCTTCAGGGGATGCTGTTCTTTTGGCAAATCTTGCATTTGGATAAGAAGCAAATGAAGTGGCCAAATCGATGCTGGTAATTAGAGAATGCCAGTGGTTTTTTCTTGTTGGGGTGGGAAGTGTGTGCAAGTGCAGGATCCAGCAAGACTTGTTTTAATAGCACCCAGTGACCTGAACTCGCAGTATCCAGGTCTCTGTTGAATATGCAGCAGAAGGTGGTTCTTGTGCTGCTACTCTGACTCCTCCCTCAGTTCTCTGACCTATCACCTGGAGTTGCAAATCGAGTTCCTTGATGCATGTCAGGTGATAGATTTTCCGCAGCCTCCCCCTATTGGATCAGAAGGCCATTTATCATAGCACCCCCAATGCTCTATTCATATTTAAAAAATGCAATATAAATTAAACACTTCTCTAAGCAATATGTGCTTCGAATAATTAGGGTTGGGTTTTTTTTTTTACTATTGACATTTTGGTTATGGTACAATAATAAAATGAGCAGATCATCCGGCCCATTGCCTTTGTACCATTCACAGGGTTTCATACGGCTAGTAGTATACGCAATTGTAGTGACAACACAGTGGAAACTCTTGTTTCCATTGTCATTTTCTTCGAGTGTTTCCTTGTGGGTGGGGAATTCTGCACACTGCTTAATCTTCTCTTGCCCTGTGTGAGGTGGAAGCTTTATCAGAGTGGTAGAAGGAACCAGTATCATATTCTGCCCCAGCTAAAGTGTTTCTGATTGCTTGCTGTTTGATTGGATGAATGAATCTGTGATTCTTGTCAGTTATGTGCACCCATTTACATTAGCACAACATGGGGTTCACCTGCCTTGTGTTAGTTCCAATTGTTAAAATTCATGTTCTGAGGAAATCTGGCTTCTCCAGTGTGGTTGTTGTGGTTGGCTTTAGCTTACACCTTTTGTGTTTCTGATTATCTGTGAATCATTCTTCTGCACTGAGCATGAGTTTACAGCTACAGTTGTAGTATTTCTCCACTTCAGGATAACAAGTTACATGCTGTAGTTTATTTTCTGATGTTTTCTTTTTAAGTGCCTTTGTAATTTTGACAGCAGATTCAGCTACATTGAAATTGACTATTGTACAGGGAAGTAGTCGCGTTGCGAAATTCCTAATCTTTGGTAAACTGGGGGTTTATTAAATTGATAGCTTGTGGTCCACTATTAAGAATCTCAGCCTGGACTGAGAAGTGTTTCAGTTAAACACGTTGTAAATTTAAACAGGGAAAACAGGTAGAGAAAAATGGGACTCTATGTCGCCAACTGATGGGGCAAAGTTCTATCGCATATAAAAAAGGTAAAGGTAAAGGACCTCTGACTGTTAAGTCCAGTCACGAACGACTCTGGGGTTGCGGCGCTCATCTCGCTTTACTGGCCAAGGGAGCTGAGGTTTGTCTGCAGACAGTTTTTCCGGGTCATGCGGCCAGCACGACTAAGCCGCTTCTGGTGAAACCAGAGCAGCGCATGGAAACGCCGTTTACCTTCCCACCGAGCGGTACCTATTTATCTACTTGCACTTTGACGTGCTTTCGAACTGCTAGGTTGGCAGGAGCAGGGACCGAGGAACGGGAGCTAACCCTGTCACCGGGATTCGAACCGCCGACCTTCTGATCAGCAAGCCCTAGGCTCAGTGCTTTAGACCACAGTGCCACCTGCGTCCCACTCTATCGCATATAAATCACTTTTTCTTTACCAGTCTAGCTGAGTCCAAAGTCTGCCAAGTCTGTAAAGTGGCACATGCCTTTGTCTGTCTCTGGTTACCTTTAGTATCTGGTAGTCTACCCAGTTCCCCAGAACCTGGTATGAAGCAATTACTGCTACATTTTGGAAAGAAATGCATCCTGACCTTCCTTCAAGCCCAATGGCCCAGCTAGCTACAAATTCTGATCTGCACTATTGGATAGCTATAGGGTGCAGTAGGATAGTTTCCTCATCAGAATTGTGGACTTAGATCTAGATAAGCTACCTTACTACAATGTAAATTGTGACATTTCCTTGTATGGTGAACCGCAAGGGCCAATGCACTTTAGATACTATGTCACACAGCGACTATCTGTTTGACATTTCCCTAACGTCATTATCATAAATGGATTTAGTGCCATTTTCATGGATGGTTGTGTTCTCTCTGCCCTTCTCTTTCTCTTCTTTAGGTATTACTTTAGAGTCCAAGCGAAGAATCCCTATGGTTACGGACCTATAAGCTCCTCAATCTCCTACATCACAGAATCAGGTATGGTTTCACCTCCATGCTATGGAATTATGTTCTTGCTTTTAAAAACTTCCATTGATTTCAGAAAATCCCAGACTTTCACTAATTATATTTGTAAAGAACATGACCTGACATTCTTGCAGTGTTCCTCCCTGCTAATGTTTTCCCAACTCTGCCTGAAGCTACAGGGCAGGTTGCCATAGTTGAAAATCTAAAAATACACCATGAAATGTATAGAATAATATTGTTTAAGCCCCCTGAATATAACCAAGTGAGTAGAAAAAGTGCAGGAATCATTGTGATTTTTGGAAGGAATGAAGGAAGACTAGATTTTGATGGAAGAAAGTGGTTAAGGAACAAGTTACTATAGGACCCAATATACAGTATAGGCCCCAATAGTAGAGCGTAGGTGAAGAGAGAATTGAAGAAAAGAGAATTAGCCCCAAAGAAGACAACTGGAGGTGGGATGTATTGTAAACAAGGTTGCATTTCAAGGTCATGTTGAGAGTTAACTAAATCTAGCAGCAAAGTCAAAGGAATTAAAGCAGGGGCAGGCATCATGGCACCTTCCAGTTGTTTTGGACTGCACTCCCATAATTTCTGACCACTGGAAATGCTGGCTGGGACTGATGGGCATCATGCTGGCTACCCCTGAATTAAACCATGCATGTGTTTGGAATTTCTGCCAAAGAATCAAAGCTCAAGAGTCAACCTTTATGGTAAATATGGGTCAGTCAGTACATTTGATGGCTGCCATTATCCCACCTCTGTGCTAATCCCACAGACAGGAAGTGCTCACATTAGGTTGCTGGATGTGTGAACCAGCTCTATCTTTTGAAATAGAAAAGATGGAGACAGGGCGGATGGAGACAGGCTTGTTGGGCAGGCAATAAAGCAGAGAACAGGGACAAAGAAGACCCAGGAGCAAGATAATTTGGTGGTATGGGGGATCAGAAGAGAAAGGAATCTCCCGGGATCATTCAAAAGCATGTGGCTAATTCATAGATTATTCCTCCTGATTGCATGCTGACAAAAGGTGTAAGCATGCATAGAAAAGTAAAGCATGCTTTTCAGCAGGTGATAGAAGCAGTAGCTTGTACAATCCAGAGGTTCAGCATGAACCTTGCAGAATCAAGATGACATGTCAGGGTTCCAATCATCCTCTGCCAAATGGGAGGAAGTAGGTCATGGAGCTTTTTCCATTTCTAGTAGAGGAAGCCAACTCTTAACTAACATTTCTGGCCTTGTGCAGGCCAATTGTCTTCAGAGCTGCCTGATGTGAACTTGGATATCATTGCCCTGAGAATTGGGAGGTTAAATTAAAAAATAAAATAAAAAAAGGGTGTTGAGTGTGCCTTTGCTAAATTGGCGAGACACTTAAAATTAGTTTTTTAATTGTGAGCAGCTGAGCAGCTGGAGGTAATTGTCTGGAAGGAATATGGGAAACAATTTTCCATTTCAATTTTTTACTCTTTTGGTTGAAGCTTGTTCCCGTTTCATAATGGTGATATTTCTTTGACAAGGCTTTATAAAAAGGTTTTTTTCTTTTAAAGCATAGTTAAATATTTTATTTCTTTTATTTTTGCTGAGATGGTTGCTCAAAGGCCAGCCAGCACAGTTAAACATCAAAATACAATGTGTTGATCCCTTAACAAACTCAGGATAATCACTGGCCATTACTGCCACAGACTTGGGCCCTCCAATAAGTTGTTTTTTATTCCCGTTCACCCCCTAAACCTGATTCTAGAGTTCTTGCCACAGAAGTTATAGGCACTTTTAGCTATCAAAATGGTATTCTTGAAAGTTAAAAAAGTCAAAATCAAGTAAAGCGTTTTATATAATGGATTTATAGGAGGGCTGTAACATTTAAACGATTAATAGTTCAGTCCTGTACTTGTCTACTTAGAAGAAGGTCCTATTGAGTTCAGTGGGACTTACCCCCAGGTAGGTGGATTGCTGCCTTAATCAGGTAGAATTTTTTAAAATAAATACTAAAAGATGTTGCTGATTAACTAGGCAGTATATTTTTAAAGCACATAATTTTTAATACAAGTAGGTATAGAAACTGAAGGTGGCAAGCATACCCTTAAAAACGATGTCCCTCCTTTTCTCTTAAATTGGAGGGAATGTCTGTTCTTAGATACAGTGGTACCTCGGGTTACATACGCTTCAGGTTACATATGCTTCAGGTTACACACTCCGCTAACCCAGAAATAGTGCTTCAGGTTAAGAACTTTGCTTCAGGATGAGAACAGAAATCGGGCTCTGGCGGCGCGGCAGCAGCAGGAGGCCCCATTAGCTAAAGTGGTGCGTCAGGTTAAGAACAGTTTCAGGTTAAGAACGGACCTCCAGAATGAATAAAGTACTTAACCTGAGGTACCACTGTAGTGTTCACTGCAACACACGTATGCAGCATCCAAAAGCAATGCTTCTTGCTTCAGAATCACTGATTTTGCTCATGCAGACTTAATAGAGCAATTACCGTATTTTTCTGTGTATAAGACAATATTTTCCCCAAAAATTTTTAAGTTTAGAATTGGAGGTCATCTTATACAGGGAATGCTGCAATTAAATATATAAATAAATACATGCTGCCATCCATGTTCTCCCCCTCCCCCCCAGCCTCCCCTCACTATTGGCCTCAAACCCTGGTCTGGTACTCCCCCCCCCAGCAGCCCCCACTCTGGACATTGTCCCTTCCACCTGGTTCCCTCAGCCGCCCCCTGGCTACCCAGACCCCCCATTCCCCAAGCGCACTCACTCTGGCAGTCGCAGCTCCTCGATCAGCATTTGCATCTGCCGGCGCTTGTGGAGTAAATACGGTACATACCATAAATACTGAGATGAAAGTGCAACACACAGTCTGGAGAGCTGGAGCGCAGCTACAGTGGAGTTGCACTGAGCTGACAGGAGCAGCCGCCATTACACAGCTTGCCTCACTGTTTGATGTTTAAATATATGGTACTAAATATACCAGTGTTTTGAATATTTAATAAAATATCAAAGTTGTTCTGTTTGGTGTTTAAAATATTTATTTCTTAATTTTGGGCTTAAAAAAAATAGGGGTTGTCTTATACATGGGGGCATCTTATACACGGAAAAATACGGTAACTGATTAATGGACTAGAATTCTTACAATGAACAGTCTTGAGAGTTATGAAATTGGGCAACAGCCAGGTTAGTGTTTTGTTAGTAAGGAATGTGTTGCATTACTTTTTAAAGTGTGTCGCAGGAAGGGATGAAAGCATTCCACTTAGTCCTAAGGATAATTTTGTCTTGCTGAAAAGCAGTAGCTAATCACACCACGTATGTGTGGGGCTGTCTGTGTGTTACAGGGCAGCATGATCTAGCCGTGCTATGCCACCTGCTGAATCTGGCAGGCTTGACCCACCACTGCCATCTGCAGATTCGGAAAGGGCTTTATGCACATGCCAATCTATGCACAAGAGCTCCTCCCTACATGGGGAGAAGGAATCCGGACTGTCTATCCAATCTAGTGCTCACAACACATGGCTAGCAACCAGGAGTGATGGCAAAAAGCAAGGCTAGCCCTCTTTGCACATTCTTTCACATTTTCATGAGAGTAGAGTTTTCTGAATGGTTCATTCAGAAGCACCACCTTTCCCTGTTTCATATTGTAATTGTGTTTCTCTTCATTGATCCCCATTCAGCTCTTTACAGCTTGCTATCATTGCAAAAGTTATTTTCCACGATCATCCCCTGTTGAAATGGCTGGCTCAAATGGTTGGCTAGCTTGACATTTCATGGTTGCCAAGCTACTACTCAACACAACATGGTTTTCTCTACCTTCCCCATGCTGTGCAATTGAAACATTGCCACGTTTCAAAAAAACAAATCCATAATAAACAAATATGCTAATTTCACTCACATAAATGAAAAAAGATGGTTATAAAGGCAAACATAATGTAAATACATTTTGTAAAAAATAAGGAATATTGCATACTCAACTATTTTTTTGTAGACTGACTTGCGTGGGAGTATTTTTGCTTTCAAGATAAACAAGAAAATTAACTTTTGCAACCCACCATTTTTGATGTAGCATTTTGGTTTTTATTTTGGCTTCAGGGGATATAAATCTTCAGTGTAAGCCACTCATGCATTTTCTTGTTCCCTCTTTATAGATAATCCTCTACTTATTGTCAGACCACCGGGTAAGTCTCCTTGCTGTTTTCAGATATTATCTTGTCCTGAGTACTGCAAAAATTAAGGTTGTGACATTGGGCAGCTGACAGAGAAATTTAAAATTATTGACTTCCTTTGAAAGGGAGAGGGGGATATAAGTTTTACGAATAAACAAGAGTGCGGAAAACTGCCCTTTCACCTGATTCTGTTATCTGCTTCCTTTATGCTTTCTGGGGCAGTCAAGTTCTGGAGACAGGATACTGAGTTTTAAAGTTTGGATAGTGCATTGCTGTATGTCCATTTTTAACTGTCTTATATATCCATTTAAATTTATTTATTTAGAACAGCCTTGCATTTATGCACTGGCCTGGTAAGCACAAGTGACAAGGAATTGCATGTGGTTGGGTGGAGAAGGGACAGAGCTATCTACAGGAGTGGTTTGCATACTAGGGCAGGACCACCCACCCAGTACTCAGATCTTTGCTGTTTACCTGGATCAGCCTGGGATGGGGTGGCGTGTCCTCTGAGCCCAGACATTGCTGCTGCCCCAGCCTGGTCTAGGTAAGCAGCAACAGGGAGTGCAGATCCATCGAACCACACATGCCACTACCAGTGTCCTGTCTCTCCTCTGCACCCAGCATAGAAACCAGGGAGGTTGCTGGAGGTAGGAAGCTTCCTCTCTGACACCTTGCAAAGATGTGCATTAGTAATAAGAGAAGTTCAGGGGGCTGCTGAAGATGATCTGGAGTTCTGTTCCCCTCCTCTGCCTGCTCCCGGCAGGCTACTAAAAGATTTTGCAGGCTAGTAACTTTCATGGGATATTTTCAAGGCTGATTAAAAACATATATACCCCACTTTTCACCACACAGTTTGAAGCATTTTGAAAGCTGCTAGATATCCAAAACATCTTTTTGCATAAAAATGGGAAACCTTTTTGAGCTTGAGGGACACCTTCCCTTCTGGGAAACCTTCCAAGAGCCACATGCCAGGGTGAGCAGGGCTGGAGGTGAAAGTGGGCAGAGGAACAAACGTAGTTTACCTTTGTAGACTAGGCTAGTTTCTACATACCCTCTTTCTCCTCTGTCCTGACAAGAAAGTGGCAGTCTCAGAGCTCAAGGACACAATCCAGCTAGGCAAAAATACTCAGGGTTTGAAGCAGGCCACTGAGGGGGTGTGGCCTGGAGAGAATAGGTGTTCTGAGGGCCACATAGATAGGTCTGGAGGGCCACATCCAGCCTCTGACGTTCCCCACACTATCTCTATCTTTTAAGGGACTTTAATGGGAAATGTGAACTAAGATATATTTACATGCAATTATCTGCTACTATTAAGGCTTAAAATTATTATTGGAATGATAATTTACCCCAGAGTTTTGTGCCTGATAACTCAGAGGTGCCAAATAACTCTTCCAAGCAGAACTGAACGTATAATGAAAACCACATGGCATGCTTTACAGCACCAACTATGGCAAAGGATAGCCAGTTTCACTGAGATTTGTTCATGGGGAGACACTATGCTGATGAATAGCAAGGGAATGTTGAGTGCTCTGATTCACATTCATTGTGTAGTTTTCTTTCCACGAACAGTTCATTGTTTTGTCTGCACTGAGAATATTCTGGCTGAAATACTGGAAAGAATGGCACATGTGAAAAAACTTTTTGGGTACAAAAGAAGTCCCATTAAACTCAAGTCAGTTGTACTGAAGCCCGTCTCAACCAAACTCAATGAGACTACTCCTGCGTGTTATTCATGAATTTATGTGTGTTTACAGGATTATGGTGTGCTTCTTTTGGAGTCAAAAGAATCGATTAAAGAAAAGACCAAATGTTGCTTTGTCTTTTCTCCTTTTAAAAATGTGGTTCCCATCCCATGGAACAGTTGCCAACAGCATAAGGGAGACAGAGCACAGGGGGAATGCCGTGAAAGCAAGGAAACAACAACTTTCACATTGTAACCTTCCCTTGTCCCGTTCGTGGGTAGAGTAGCAGTTATTCTAGAAGCAACATAGATTTTACTGTTTGATCTATTTACAGCTTGTAGCTGAGAATTCTTTTATGTGTTCAGTCTGTGCTGATATTTTTATAGTCTGATCCAACACTTAGGAAGTCTAAGTATTTAGTGCCTATCGCCCGATCAAGTGATTTACTGCAGGTGTGGGGGCTCTGGGGCAGGCACAGGACTCTACCCCCCACATGGACACTGCCCTATTTATTTCAGTCAATGGAGCAGCTCCCTACATAACCCTTTCGTATTCACAAAACTACAATTTACATCTGAAATGATCCGGTTGGCGCTCGGCTGCCTATGTTTACACATCAGAGCTCATGGGACTTTGAATCAGGACAACTGATGTCAGCTTGAGTCTTCACAAATTCTCACAAGCTTATAGAGGTGGTGAACATTAACCCTTTTCAGGCACCCCCCCCTTGTATGATTACATGAGAAGGAGGCAGGGGCACTTGCTAGCTCCACTCCCTCTGTTGCGTTCTTGTTGCCCAGTCTCTGCACCTCTTTCTGTAAGGGCAGCTTCTGCAGTGGAGATAACATGCTTTGCTTGTATGAGATTTCTTTGCATTATATTTATCCATTTATTTATTAGAATGATACACCATCCTTTATCCGAATATCACAGGGTGGTTCACAACATAAAAATACAAAATGAGAACACAAAATACACAATGGAATGAAAATGAAAACAAACCAGTAGCCCCTCCTCCCAGAAATACATTTAAAAGGCCATCGGACCCAGCATGCTCCCCACAAGGTCCCCTTATAGCACATGAGAGGCACATGAACTGGGCAGCAAAGACATAAGAGAAGGGAGGAGGTCCTAGAGCAGGCGAGGGTCAATCCTTGAATAGGGCCTTTGAATGCACACTGAAGTAGTTTCCTGATCCATGGTGCCCTGATTGTGGTTACTGCCTTACCAGCAGTGGCAGATGTCGTGGTGAGGCTGTGTTGCTCACTTGACCTCTGTTAGCATGCTAGGACAGGAAGGGATGTGGTGGCAAGCTGGCTAGGTACCAGTGGCACAGTGGAGCCATTCAGGCACTCCTGCTGGTAAGCTTCCACCATGCCACTACTGTGCCCCTTCCAATCCCAGTGTGCTGCAGCAACTCAGCCAGGTGGCAGTCAGGTGAGCAGTGCATTCCCACCATACCAGCCACCACAGCTTGTCGCCACTCAGATCACTTTGAGACCTTTTGCAGTGGTATAGACTATAGACAGCCACGGGAAAGGAACCAGGGACCCACTCCCTCATTTGGAAGCATCATCATAATACAAGGGTCGTATGAGATTGCCTTTTTAAATCCAAGTGCTTCTGTATAACCAGATAGTGGATTGGGCTGTCAATAAGTGGCGGCATTTACTTATTGCCACCACATAGTTTGAAATGGCTAACAACAGTTGCTGTTCAGAAAAGACCTACTTGGCTTTCTTGCTTTTGTGCAATCTGTTTTGATTTAATGTTAGCTTTAGGGGAGGGGGAACAAAACAGAATTTCAGTTCAGAAAAAAAAACCCCTCAAAAGTGCTTATGTTTCTAGTCTCATTTTAAAATATCAAGTTAACAGATAATAATGCACACCGAAGTCAATAACCCTTTTATGATTTGTTGGCTTTAGCTTTCTTCATTTCCTTTTTCTTTTTAAAAAGAAATACAGAACCACAAAAATAAAGTAGTGCTTAAATATTTGTTTTGATGAGAAATCATCTTTAAAATGCCCATTGCTGCAGCTATCCTAACAGTATTATTTTACAGCTGTCCTGGATTTCAAACACATTAAACTGTATTAAGATTATAATGTTAATATACTTAAAAAAGTTAAAAGCATTGGGTGGTAATGTTGGACACACCATTCTGTTAAGTACCAAGGAAACAAAGCACATCCCAATTTCACTAACACAATGACATGATGCTATATTACAATATACTATTACTTCATTCTAAGATATTGACAACTGCCCTGAAGGCTCGGTGGAGAATATCAGGTTTATGCCATTTGTGACTTGGGCTACAGTCCTAAACATATTTAATTGTAAGTCAGCTCCATTAGGTAAAATCAAGAGATTTCCAAGAAAATGTCTTTAGGAATGGATTCATATGTTGGTTATGAAGACTTTTTATGGCCTCTGAAAATAGAACATCAATTAAGATATGATGATTAACATAAACAAGCTAAGCAACTTGATAAAGGAACTTTTAAGTCTGTTACTTTAACTCTTTTCTTAGGTGGTGAACCAATCTGGATCCCATTCAGTTTTAAATATGACCCCACATATTCCGAATGCAGTGGCAAGCAATATGTGAAACGGACATGGTACAGAAAATTTGTAGGTGTTGTTCTTTGCAATTCATTGAGATACAAGATTTACCTCAGCGATGACCTAAGAGGTATGTATCTGGGTCAACAGAATTATGGCTGAGCCAAAATTCCATATTTTGTGTGAACATTGCTGCTGGTAAACCCCCATCCCTCCAACATATCAAGAATTTATCCTTTCCTAGAAATTGGTAGGGAAATGCTGCCCCACTTTTGCAGGGGAGGGTGATTTTTAGGTTATTGGAGGAATTGAGTGTGGTAAAAAGAAGCCGTGCTTAAGACTTTTTCAAATGGGGTCTTGCATATGAAGTGTGCATGAAGTGTGGCTGGCCATTCTTGCTCTGTGTGTGCTTACATTGGGGTAACTGTGGTTGATGATTTGGGGTCTTACTTAAAAGTGAAATAGTGTCTAGGCGTGTGGATGTTGTGGCTTCTGTCCCCAGCCTGATTTAGAGCCTTCCATTTGCATCCTATGGAGCCTTAGCTGTAACCTAAAAGATATAAAGTACTGCCCAAGTTGGTTGATTGGGTGTTTCTACCCCAAAATCTCTGCCCTCAGGTTTACAATCCAAAAGACGTGACACAAAAGGAAAAGGGAGAAAGTGGTGGGGAAGCAAGCTCAGGCACCAGTTTGCAAAGTTTTGACATATGTAGCATGAGAGAAAATACTAAAAATGCATATTTTGAGAGGGAAATGCACTTAAAATGCATATTTGAATGTGCTTTTTGTGCAGATTTAAAATATTTATAGCAGAAATAAAAAGACTTATGAGGGAACACATGCAAAAATGACTGGGGCCAGAAATTCATAGGTTCATCCAATCCTAGTTGAATCGCTAAAGCTCAGTTCAATTTTCTAAGCCAACTTCAGTATTGCTCCCCCTGCTCTGAGGTGTGTGCTTCCCTCTTCTGATGAGAATATGCTTCTACTTCACAATAATGTGCATTCTTAATTGTTGGTGTCCATCTGTCTTGGGAGACAATGGAGGAGTGCTCCTTTGGGGGTGAAGTCAAGCTGTTGGACAATTGCAGTGCCTGCTGTGGCTGTAGAGACTGGTATGGGAGAGACATGTTTTGTTGTAGCTGGGGCAGATGAAGACGCCCAGTTGTGTTGTTGCAGATACACCATGGCGTTTCTTCTTTCTGCGCTACTCCCAGCGGACATTCCTTCTCTGGTCACTGCATTCTTAATTACACTTTTTAAATCACTTCATTCTACCACTGTGCTGGTAGCTGCTTTAAGATGCAAAGCTTTCCCATTGCATTAAGTGCAATTAGTTGATGTGCATTCTTAATTGTACATCAACTAATTGCACTTAATGCAATGAGAAGGGAGTCTTTGCCTCTGAAAGCAGCTACCAGCACAGTGGCAAAATGAACTCAAAAAAGGAGAAGACACGAGATCTTCAAGTGGGATTCTCAGCCAATAGCAGACATAAAAATCTGTTTTACTGACTTCAGGAATGTTGGCGAGGACCACTGGCTTCCTTTCATACTGTGCCAGTGGATTCTTTTACCATAACGCTCCTATTATTTCAGCTATATTCAAAAATAGCAAATAAGCCCACTTTTGAGACCTGCACCCTTCATTTCTAGATTAGCATTACTTCTGTCTGAGCCCTTTCTTGCCCTCTCATTAGACCGAAAATTCAACTGTAATCTGTTGCTTAGGCAAACTATTTAAACCAGAGACATTCTAAAACCCTTAAATGTCTGGATGAGGGTGCCTGGATGAGGATGTATGGACTTTTGGACTGACATTTTAAAGCACTTCCTCACCTTTAATTTTTGAGTGCAGATAGAATTTTTGTCTTTGCTAAATTTAAACAGAGCTGGCCCCAAACTTGAAAGTCTGATGCCTCTGCCCGCCTCAGTAGAGTCTGCTGATATTTCATCTTTACAACCCAGAGATACTCAGGTTTGAGTAACCTGGTTAAGTGTATCGCTCCAATCTAAAAGAGCTCAACAGGGAACAACCCCCATCCATTTTCAAATGTTTTCAGATGCCTCTTCTTGCGCACGACCCTCTGCCCTTGCTGAGTTGCAGCAGTTGCAAGTTCTAACCCCATGTGCAACTTTTTCAGATACGTTTTACAGCATCGGGGATAGCTGGGGAAGAGGTGAAGATCATTGCCAGTTTGTGGATTCACACTTGGATGGAAGAACAGGGCCACAGTCATATGTAGAAGCCCTGCCTCCAATTCAAGGTAAAAAAGAAAGCAAAATTGGTAGTATGGAGTACCAGAAATCTACATTACACACCAGTGGTGGAATGGACTGTAGGCAGCTTGCAGATTACAGGTGCTCAGCATTAATGATTCTCAACAAACTCACATATTGCAGTTGCAAGCAAAGCAATCATCACACAAATGCATTGAATTGATTCTGCGCTATAAATTGTCTGCTCACCTTTGATGGGTTTTGAGGCACAGGTTGTGAGAATGGTGGTGTTTTTATAACCCTTTTGTTCTGAGGGCAGAAAATGCAGACGTCACAGGATCATGCTGTGCTTTGCAATCTAAGCAAGGGCAGCTAATCCAGATGTGCCTGGTCGCTGGCTCTAAAAAGCAGAAATATGAGACACAAGGAAAGTATGGAACTGGCACAGTGATCAGATAGAACACCACATGTGTGGAAAACAATGTTGGGAAGTCTGCTAATGCTTTAAGCAGCCACTTTTTCTTTACAAATAGCTTTTTTGATGTTGCTTTTACCCTGATACCTTTGACTTCTGTTTGAATTGTGAGTGCTGATATCCAGCCTCCCTCATTTTCCTTACTCCTCTATGGAAAACTAAAGTCCTTTCCTAGGTAAGCATATTTTGGGGACCTTAATTATCCAAATGACCCCAAATTATTCTGGGGCATCCTTACACCTTGCCACAAAGAAATGCATATGCTGTAGGGAAATCTCATTTTCCCAGCACTCAAATTGCATGGAGAAAAAGTTATTTTTTCTCCAGCTAGCACAGTCATAGCCATGCAGAATGCAGTTAGCATCATCACAAGTAACTGAACTTCTTCAGCCTGTCAAATTCAGGAAACGACATGGCTGGATCTTCCCATGCCACTCTTGTTCTTGCTTTGTGAAGTATGAAGTACCAGTTTCTGTGCCACAACACTGGGAGATGCAGGAAACCCGAAATATGGAGCAATATGTGCAGAACAAAGCTGGGTATTGGGTGTGAATAAATTGTAGGTCTAGAAACAGTACTGATTACCCAAGAGGAAGGGGACTCTTTCTATTGGGCATCTAAGGTGCTTCTTGGAACAGTTACGTATCCTTTTCTATGCAACTGTTTCAAGAATGCCCAACAGAAAGTTGTGTGCCATATGCAATAATACAATGGCAATCAGTGAGGCATTTGAGGTGATTTCCCAGACAGCAGGATTAGACCACACTTTACCATAACATTCCTATGTCATGAAATTCTACTCAATATTGATCCAGATCAGAACTCCAACTTATAGTTAGCAGAGCAAAAACTTAAGTACGTTGCAGGATCCCCAAAAATAGACCAGAGGCAATTATATTTCATCCAGCAGAGCTTTAATGGTCACAAATCCAATACATTCAGGATTAGCACTGTCGATAAGAAATCCAGTTGCAGCAGACTCAACTTAAACTTACAATAACTTAGAATAAATCTAAACCTTACAGAACACCACACCAGAAGGAAAGAGAGATAGAAAGTGAAACCCAGGATCCTTCTGGCCTCACTATTATAGTCAGCATGATCTTGACTGAAAGAGATAACAGAACCAGTTTAAGCCAGCTGCACTCAGCTTCTCTGAAGGAATAACCCAAACACCATGAACCTTCAGCTTGTTTCTTTCAGACAGTGATGCTTCCAGAACCCTCTTGAATTAATTAGACTAGGAAAGCTCTCTACACATCAGATCAATACTTTCTGCACTAAGAAATGCAAACTGACATCCTATGATGATGGTGCTAAGATACTAAATGCCGTTATTTTGACTCCTACAGGTTATTATCGCCAATATCGGCAAGAGCCTGTATCGTTTGGACGCATTGGGTACATGACGCCTTACTACTATGTGGGCTGGTATGAGTGTGGTGTGCCTATTCCAGGGAAATGGTAACTGTGTCGAGGTCTTCCTGCAATGATTTAGCTCAGTCCAGCCAGCAGTGCCTTTTGAATGACTGTCATTGGAGGACTCTGAGCAGTTGGTTTGGCAAAGAAAGGATAAAACTGAAACACGGAAAGGATGGAACTAGTGAAGAGTCGACGATAGACGCGGATGAAACTCCATGTTGTGTAGACTTTTGTAAACCTAAGTCTATGGTGCTGCTTGATTACTCTGCTTTAGAGCGCAGACAGGAGTCCTGCCTTCCTTCTCCTTGCCTTTAAAAGGCATGGAGATGTATCTACAATGGGTGCTACCTGTGCTCACTGAAACCTCATATACTCGGCTAGCCACGAAAAATCGGAATGGTGATGTATCTTGCAAGGAATGACTTAAGCATGCTTTGCTTGCATTACGGAATGCTAACCACTTTCCACTGCTATTAACGGGATTCTCTGCTGCCTTCCACTGGCAGAGTCTTATGCTTCAGAATGTTGCTATGCAGTCATGCCGTGTTACTTAAATGCCCATGAGAACCGATCAATGTTACTCAAGACTTCTCCTGTGGGTTTGCACATTGCTCCACGATATACCAGGTCACTATGTAAATTCAACTTATAAAAAGCAGCCAACAACCACCAGTACTGTATGCTTGCAGAAGTATTTCTTAGAACTGAGGTTTTCTTGTTGATTTAGATGACTATGTGTATGGGAAGGTTTTATGTAAAAGGTGCTATTAATTAACAAGTCTTCTAAAAAAAAAATCTGTGAAAAATATACTATGCACAATACATTAACCATGTAAAGAACCAGGCTTCTCTTCTTGTGAGTATTGTTGAACTGTAATGATGTTGATGTTTGTATAAAATAGAAGAATTCAGCACCGGGCTCTGAGCAAGTGATGTTTCAATGGGGGTGATTTATTTGGTACATTTATCAATGTGACTAATATCCCAATATGGATGCAGCCCAGCAATATAACAGTGTGTGAATCAAAGCCATGCCCAATGGTCTTTAGAGCTTACGAGGCAGTGTCACAAATGAGTTAAGCTGAAATACAAAGAAAAGCTGGCCTTACTGGAACCAAATGCGATTTCAGGTGCAATTCCACATTTGCTCAGTTGTATCCAGTGGAAAGCTGCCATTGACAAATGCTTCAAGTGGGGCAATGTTCATTAGGATTGCAGGGGGTGGGGAATGGTTCAGTTCACTCTCCCTGAACACTGTGGCCCCAATCATGCTGTTCCCCCCACCCCTAGTGGTTGTGTCCATTTTCAGAAGTGCATATTAAATACAACACATCGTTTAACATAGGGCCCTTCCAGACTTGGGAGTGGCTATAGGCATTATTGCCACCTGGAGCAGTATTCTTGCACTGTAACACAGCAAACGTGGGATTAAAAACAAAAACAAAAACCAAACTGGAACATTTGTGGGGGGGAAAGTTACAGGATTTCAGCAGGGTTGTGCACTGGTTGGGAAAGAAGCAGGATGTCTACCCTGAAACTGTTGCAGGCACAGAAAAGCGTTGAAAGCAGGATTGCAAATAACTGCCCCAATACCAACTTGAGCACAAATCTTTCACAATAAAAAGGATGCCTGGAGGGGTCTGTAATGACCAGTGTAGCCCTCAATGTAGATGATCACGCTGCATGTTTCCTTAAATCCAAGAACGTGGTTTTAGCTAGGTTGAAACGTTTTATTCAGCACAGCTCCAGATGACTCCAACATATAATTGCTCTCCTAAAGCACGTAATAGTATTTGTTAATTGCATTGATTTTGGTTATATCTCTCTGGAGAATGTCTATAGAGCATGAGGTCATGCAACCCATACATCAGAAATGCTTGGTCATAAAACTAGTATTGAAATGTTTTATGTGGAACAGGAAAGTGGGTCGGTCATATTTTATTTGAGTACTCAAAAAGAAGCTACTCTGATTTACTGAAACAAAAAGGAGATAAAGCATTCCCTAAGGAAATATATACCATCTCTGCAATGTTGTTATAGTGAAAGCAGCATATACCTCTGCCCTCTACGGACTATGAAATGAAAAGATAGCCCACTCAGTGAGTGGAAAGTTAAATAAGGAACATGCCTTCATGTTATTTTTATTCATCCCAATATAACCTGCTCTATACAGTAAAATCTATGCAGTAAAAACAAACAAACAAATGGACAACGTATGTTCCCAATACTTTCTTTTCCAAAATAAACTTTATAAGTGTTGACTTTCCACCACACCAAACAATACAAACATGTCCTTAAGCTTGTATATACCATCTTCTCCTTCAGGGCTGTGCCTATTGCCTGCAATAGTGTTCCTCGACCTTGGGTCCCCAGATCTTTCATCATCTCCAGCAGGGGCAGGCTTTGATAATAAGGCACCCTGAGCAAGGACAACATTTGGCATCCCTCCCTAGATGATTCCTCTTGGTACAGTTGCTTTTCTAATGGAGTTTCTCAGTAGGTACCTGGGGGAGGGGTATCATGAGCCCTTTGTAGGTGTTTATAGAGCATTCATCCTGATTTGTTTACAGAGAGATAAGGTGAGAAGAGGGGAAAGTGCTGTTGCGCTTAAGTCCTGCTGGCTGGCAGGATGCAGGAGTAGATGGGCCATTGGCCAGATCCATGAGAGTTCCTCTTATGTTCTTACAGTTAATGAGCATTCATTCTGATTGGTGGGAAGGTTAGGTGATGGGTCAAAACAAGCATCATCTCACACTTTCCTCTCTCTGTCTCTCTGTCTCTGTGTGTTCATGTTCTCCCTTTCCATATTGCAAGACCTCCCTATGAGCTATGTATGCACAACCTGAACTTGCTGGTATTTGACTGAATCTCACTGGAAAATAGCAACAATAATTGGGAAGCACCCAAAGAGTTTTAGTAGCTGAAGCCAATGCTAGGGGCTCTTTCAGGTCTGGCATCTTTAAGCAACTGCCAAAGACCTACTGATACCCCAGGCCCCCTTTCCCAACAGTTTGATGAGCACTGGATGGCTGTCATTGTGTTGTCCAAAATAACCCACAGAAACCTTATGATCCGTGTGGTAGGACTTACAAATATTCCATCCCCCACCCTGCATTTCCACCTCTTCTGCTTTCCTTCTCTACCGTTTTAAAGAGTTGGACTCTTTCATTTTAGTTTCCTTGAAATGCGGCTTTATCCAAACTGTGACTGAAATGTGAAACTAATTTCTTCAAATATTCGTAATAAACTAAAAGGCAAAGTTATTAGACCTCTCCCATAAACATTTTTCCACTTTGAATTGCTCTAATATGTAATCTGAGATTGTTTTACAAGCTCATGAAGGAATGTTTTTTGATTGTATGTTCGTATTTGTATCCAAGAATCTTTCAGAGTTGGATAGTCAAGCTCTTTGTGTGGGAGTGTTCATTATAATATATTGTCCCCTTTAGGCCAAATTTCATTAGCTGTTGTGCCAGGAAATACATGTTCAGGATCCGACATGATCACTGTGCTAGCATAATGTCCACCACCTGTGGCCAAGCTCAGATGTAAATAACTCAGAACAGCTTTCTGCCATTTATAGAATCATTACAATTATTTACACCCCACCTTTCAGAATACAACTTCTTCAAAGATGGATTGCAAGTAGCTCTAAATTACATATTTTAAATATATTAAAAAGCCACCAGGATCTTTCCCACAGAGCACTTGATGGTACATTGTCCTGGCTAGGACAGGGATGGAGTTCAAGTGGCAGAAACCTTGAGGTGGTCTTCTCCATCTCTTTTTCTTGGAATCCTTGTAATAGCTTGATATGAATGTTTACCCCAACAAGATTGCAGCTGTGTAAGGGGTGGGGAGTGGGTCCATGCATCTTGACCTCACTTCCACTATTGCATCCTTTTCAGCCTGCCCACTCCCCAGTCCACATGTTGGCATGTGGAGGTCTGAAGAAGGAAGCCTATGTTAGTAGTGGGGCATGTAGTAGAGCACACTCAATTTCCTGACACCAGCATCGCTGCTACTTACCTGGATGTGGGAGGGGCAGTAGGAGGTCCACCATCACAAATCTGGTGCTCCCACCAGTGCGCCCACATTGCTCCAACCTCACTGCTGTTCTGCCCCAGGTAAGCAGCAGTGATACAAGTGTTGGAAGGATGTCTCTGCCCCACCACTGGCTGGTAGGCTTCCTATATGATTTAGGACCTGGGGGGCATCCTGCCCAGTTAGTGCCACCACCCAAAATGCCTTGCTGTTGGTAGGCTTCTACTGAACTTCAAACAGTGATGACACCTGAAGCAAGACCTGTGAAATTGAATGGAAGGCGATTGTTGATGTACCCAGGTCCCAACTCATCTATGGCTTCATAGGGGCGAACAAACACCTTTAACTGTACCTAGAAGTGAATAGGCAACCAGTGCAGGTTAGATAGCAGTGGAATAATATGCTCCAACTGTCTAGTCCTAGACAGCAACTTGGCATCAATATTTTGCACCAGTTAAATTTTTCATTTTCATTTTTAGTTTGGTTCTGCCCTCAAAGAACATGTTACAATAATCAATACAGTTGGAACCATGCTGCATGTCGAGGTGCATGTACTTCATCAGCAGTATTGGATGTATTTCCTAGAGCTGAAAGACTAAACATGTTTCCAGAAAAACCCACAGGTCCAACTGAATAATGACAACAGGGGAAGCTACACTGCTTCACCGGTAGGAAAATAACATGAATGCAACCAATAGGAACAGCTGTTGGCATTTAAGAAATTCATCTGGAAACCTTGGAAAACTCATTTTAAGAGGTTTTTTATTTTTAAAAAATAAGCTGGAAATATTTTACTGGATGTACCTGACTCAGCTGTCTCAAGAGGTTAGTCCATAAGTTTGATGTGGTAACTGTCAGCTAAGTATAGTGGTTGAAGCTCATCAAATGAGCATCCAAAAGGTGATGTTCTTCTTCAAGTGTTTTGAGTTCCCTCCAAAACAGTTTTCCAGAGGCACCTCCCTATTCTTCTAGAATCCATGTCCCAGGGATGTGGTCCAGCTTTTTAAGAAAAAGGGACATTTTTGAAGAGTGTTCTCATTATCCTGTGTCTGAGTCAAAGCTTTATTTCCACCATTTATATCCAAATTTGTAGAGTGCCTCCAGCAGAAGCCTTGGCAGTTAAATCTTTTCATAGTACACAATTATTTCTTTGAGTAGCTCTGAAATGATGTTTTCATCGGGGTCTTGCTCTTATAATAGAACATAGAAAGCTGCTTAATACTGAGTCAAACCAATAGTGGATCTAGCTCAGTATTGTCTAGAGAGCAGTGATGGACAATCTGTTACTCTCCACAGATTGTTGAACTCCAGTTCTCATCAGTCCCAGGTATCATGGCCAACAGGGGTGATGGGAGTTGTAGTCCAACAACTTCTAGAAGGTTGTCCACCCTGAACTAGGATCTCTCTGGGGTTTCAGACAGGAGTTTCTCCCAACCCTACATGGAAATGCCAGGAATGAAATTCTTGACAAAAACAGTGGCCTGTTCCTTCCAGTTCTCTTAGCCCTTTGCTTCCTTTATCTACCCATATGAACTAACAGTTTCATTCAGCATTAACTGATAAGGCATTTTCCAGAAGACAATTTTCTCAGAAAAGCTGTTCAAGACTTTAATCTCCCCACCTTTCTAAATATTCAGCATAATGTTTCCTCAATTTCACTGCCCATCAGCAAATCATTGAAGATTCCATGCACGCACAGTAGGAGTGTGTATAAGCCCCAAACTCATTTCCACATTGTGCCACATGTACAATCTACTTTCAGATTGTAACCATGAATTTAAGAGAAGAAGAAAAAATATGGTGATTGACAAGTTGAACACAATAGATGACAAATATAGAATTATCCCATTTGTCATATTAAAATGTATGTATAACGCTTGGCTGTGGTATTTTTCTTTATGC